CAAATTTAATATACTAAATATAGAATGTTAGAATATTTTATTATAAGGTGAAGAATTTAAATTCTGTTTAGGTTTAGTAATTGACGAGTTAAGAGATACTAATGTACTACAATATGTATTGTAGGTACTGACAATAAAGTTCTTGATTCTTGATAATGCAATTTAATAAAAAATTAAATTACCGTATATAAAATAAAAATCTTTTTTTTATAAAAATTTTCAAGTTTATTTATGTAGCCTACTACTTATTATTTAGAAATCAGAAATATCATCATAATGAATACACAATAAGAGTACTTGAACTAAGTAGGTGAATTAACATGAAATTGTTACAAATTATTTTGTGGATATAACAGAATATTGTAGATTAAATTACTTATCAAGAGCAGACCGAGACCTCCCAAATGAATGTTGACTTGCTTCCAATCTCTTCAGAAGCCTAGAGTATGCCCATGTGTAATTATATTTTACTTTTCCTGAGTCATTGATTGTATTGTAGTTTTACTTATTGTTAGGCTCAACAGTCAGTGAGGCCCTTGTGAATCCCATTAACTTCAGTTATGACTTCTAAGAGGTTATTCTTTCTTAACATTAGATAGTAAATTTACTGTTATTGTTCACTGGCTTATAGAAAACAATCAAACCAATTTTAGTGCGTTCATTCACACTATTTGAATTCTTTTTGTGAATACAATTGAAAAACTATAAATGGAAAAACTGAGTTAGACAAGTATTCGGCATTCAGGGGAGATGGTTCACCCAACAGCTAGAAGAGGTAAGCCAAGCTTCAAGGTTAACTTCAGTGGAGAAAACCACGCTGTAGTTTTTAAAGTATAAAACGCCTATTACTTAGTCATGTGCCCATATCAAAATTAATAAGGGAGGGAGGATAGAACTGTATATTACATTTTGATAATTTATACTTTGAAAAATATAAATAGTCTTCTTATTACTTACAACAATTAAATAGGGCGTCATTAATTTCAGTTGATTTTTTGCCTCGTAGATTAGCCTCCTCAATTCTTCTCCATCCTCCGCCATTCGGATTGTTCCACCGTACTGGATCACATCCTTCTTGACTTGGTCATACCAATTTAGGCCTACCCAACGGACGTCTTCCTGTAGGTATAGCCTCACAAACCTCCTTCAGTCTTGTGCCTTCCTGTCTCTGAAGTCTTGACCTAACCGACTAATTCTTTTGGCTTTTATAAGCGCTATTATATCAGGCTCTTTGCACAGCCAGTAATATGTAGCAGTAATTGTAGAGTAATTTACCGAATAATTAGATACAGTTTTGTCAAAAATATGTTCTTTTTTTTACGGTTCAAAAGTTGTTGTAACTTATGTTATTTTCCCATAAAAAATCATAAAATAACAAAAACAAAAAAACTCATTTTTGGAGAAAAGCTGGTTTTCATAAAAATTCATATGTTATGGTCCTTATAATTCTTAAAAAATAGTAAAACACCCCATTGCTGTAACAACCTATCTGTAACAATTATGGTTCAAAAGTTATTTGTATATTGCAACTTTTGTGATGCCATATTTACTCTCACCGCTTACCCATGATAAAGGTTGTTGACAAGCTTATGGGAGAAAGTATGTGTCAGAATGCTGATACCGTTTATTTTACATGTAATACATTTTATTTTATTTTTCCCTAAAAGCACTTTTTAGGGCTGCAGCCCCTGAGTATGGGTGCCCTTGGACTTAGTTCCATTTTCTTTCATATAAACATAGCTTATGCAGGGGCCAAAGATTTTCTGGGGGCCTCCCTTCCACTGCCCATTGCATCTGAAAAATATTCAGTCACCATATAATATGTCTGCAGGTCTTACCGTTTGTCATTCGCTTTTAGTCACCTTGGAGTATGTATTTGATTTTAAATTGTTTTAACTCTTGATACCATAGATTTCAATTGTATACAAAAAGTATTATACAATTACAAACATCAAAAGATACGATTGTTATTGAAGAAGTAGTGAGCTGAACTGAGCAACTGCTAGGCTTATAATAGGGATGGTTCTAATTCTCTGTGCTTGTGTATGGGTGAACCTACACACAAAAGGCTTAAATTTATAAAAGTTTGTATGTCATATAACCTATTTGAAGATGATTTTGTAGTAGAACTTTTAAACAGACCGAGTCTACTTAAAAAAAACCATACCAAAATAAGTTTCACATAATCCATGGAAAAGTTTAGAAACTAAACAACACAAAATGGAAGATATCTGTGCCAGTGTTTAAAATAGTTTTTTTTTCATTTTAACATTAATGACCACTTATTAGACCATTTAATGTGAAAGTGTTTTTTCACAGGATGTTCTGCGTTGTAAAGTGCTAAATTAATAATCAAACAATAACCAGGCCTACAGGAAATATTCACAAGGAATAAGCAAGTTCCACTCTTTTTAAATGTCAAAAACAGGCCTGGGGGTTAAAAAGCTTAGCAAAGCAAGAGATAACTGCTTTATGAACCAATTACAGATTCAAAGATTATGAAAAAGACGTCTTTAAGTGGAAAATCCTTTATATCTGTATTACAACTTGGATGAAATTACTCATCTTTTTTTTAATAATAATTTTTTGTATTATAGAATTACTTTCTAGATTAGCATTGGAACTCTTTGTGGATACTCCACTAACCTCCTTCCTTAAACAATATAAATAGCTTTACACACTTTCGTCATCAATCCTAATTTATTTTCAAGCGACTAGTTTCAAAACAACAAGTTCATTTTCAAGCAACTAGTTTCAAAACAACAAGTTCATTTTCAAGCCTCTTGCTTCATAAGACCATTGGAACACTTTGTCTTCATCAATACACAAATATACAACACTTAACACACACAGAAATGGATACATTTTATTAACATAAACAAATATGCAGACCGGTGTTTACAATCGTGTCATCACCAGCCACATATTCATTTATATTAATAAATTGTATCTGTGTGTATTAAATTTTTTTTTTGTACGTATTGACTACAAAAATGTGTTGAAATGATTTTATGAAGCAAGAGGTTACCTAATAAAATATATACCGGGGGGTTCGGGGGTACGCCCCCCCCCCCCCCCCCAGGAAGATTTGTGTAAACTAAGTCTCCAAAATGGCAGTTTTATACGATTTCTTTGTCCAAAGTTAGTGTGACAAATTGTTGTACGCAATGTGTATGCGCAGTAAAAAAATATGTATATGTCTGAAGGGGGGCGGTCACCCCCCCTCTGGATCCGCCACTGGTTCTCAGGAAGTCAAATATTTGGCTGATCTTACAACCAGTGGTGTTGTCCTATATATGTCAGTGCGGGATCATTCAGCATTATCCAAAAACTGACGAACATATAGGATTAAAATAAACAATTCTTGGGTTCAGAATGTATTCCTCCACGTTTTACTTTTTGGCTTCTGAGATGTTTGGGATCAAGTTTTATAAAGCAGATTTGATCGGTTTATAGATGTATAACCTCACTTCATCCGTTGTATTTCACAATAGGGGGTTTCCCATGTTCTCTAAACTAACTTCAGTGACTCTTTTAAGAATCTTTTGCAATTCTGAGTTATTTATAATCAAGGGCACCGGCAGAAAGTTTTACAGGGACATAGCTGGACTCACCGGGGGAGGGGGGTAGGGAATACGCCCCTGTGTATAGGGGATCCAGGGGTATTTGATAAATATGTTGATATTTTAGTATTTTATAACTCACGTTTTTGGCCATTTTTGTACTCAAATCTTTCTTGTTAAAGCTAAATGCTATGTCTACTTTCTCATATTTTGGCAATATCATAAATATTTCATGATACTATTTCCAAAGAACAAAGATATTACGTAAATGTAAATATAATAGAGATGGGCGCTATTTAAGGTAACAGGATGAATAACAATGTTAATAACTTGTAACCTGTTACCAAGATAACACGTTACTCAGAATACCCTGTTATTTTTGTAACGCCATCTGCTCCACGCTCATTGGCTTATGAATTGATTTCCTGAACCGGTTTTGTCAGGATCGAAGCCCTGAACGTAACAATACATGTTTAAAATAATAATAAAATGTGAGGAAACTTTACTTTTCATTGCAGCTGGAATTTAACGTATACGAGAACTATACATAGCGTGGTAACATTAACACATACAATAAAACCATAGTTACGTTTCATTACGGCAAAACTGGAACGAACGATCCTAGAAGACCCCTGCTAGATTTAAGTTACAGCACAGCCAGGCCGAAACAAAGGAACGGTTAGTTACAGGTTAGAGCAATAACACCAAGCGAGAATTTCTTTCATTATATTACGGCCAAACTGGAACAAATGAACCACCCGCAGGGAGTAACACCAAGCTGGAATAACGTTACAGCCCAGGTTGGCCGGAAGTCCGCAACGAACAAACGGCCAGTAACAGGGTAGAGCAATAACACCCAGCGAGAATTTCATTACATTCTCGCCGAGCTGTGGCTGGGATGTAACGGTGTGGTGGGGAGGAACGGACCGGTAACAGGTTACAAAATTAACAGGTTACTGTAACCGGTTACCAAGTTGTAATGGAGCGGTGTTACGTGTTTCTCATAAGTAACGGTAATTTCCATCTCTAAAGTATAATATAAAGACAATGCAGCAATAAAGGTGGGAGAAGCAGCGACACACTATATTTGAAACAGTGTTATTATTTACCAATATTAAAAAAAAAAATCTTCTCTGATGCCTCTCTGCCGGCGCCCTTGGTTATAATATGTTTTACGTGTACTATTATATCTGTTACAATTCCTCAAAATTATCAAAGGAAGAGTTAACCATTTAAGTAAATTATGAGAGTGTACCATTGCACTATATTTTTTTTACCAAATAATTCAAAACTGGTTTGATAGTAAACTGATAAATCAAGGGTCTTTGAAGGGTACAGAAATGTTCAATGTTCAAGATGTTCATATTTTGTAATATCCAAGTTTGGTGGTACTTTACTTATGGAAGAGGGAATAGAAAATAAAACCAATATAACTTTTAACAAACTTTATTGTTTGCCAGTTCAATATTCTATCACATTACTACTCAACAAGTGCACCAAAATGTTCAGTCATTGTTTGGTTTGACTTGTGATCACATTAATTGAAACGGCTTTATGTACTTTTTAAAAAGTAACACATAGTTTTGGTTTCTTAAGCACATAAAATGTATTTTCAACACAGCTAAATCAACGAGTAACAAGTAATATTGCATAAATGCAACAATAAAATAGCACTAACATTGATCAGTGTTTGCCAAAATATATTTACTCACTTATGACATTTCTTGTAAACAAGGAACGGAACTAAGCAAAATCTTTTTTTTAAATTACAAGACTATTTTAGTGTAATGAATTAATAGGTTTTATTGGTCTTCAAAATCAGATCTGAAGCAATTTTTTTTACGATTTTAAAATACCATGTAATCAAATTCATCTGAAAAATGTGCATATGGGAGCTATCTTACAGCTTTAATATATTGAGAAACAAGTCATTTTTTATCTTGTTCCCAGCTTTAATAATGCAAACTAAATATGAGCGACTACGTAAAAGGAACTAAATTGTATTTAGTTATTGCTGTTTTGGTTTTATTTCTATCACAGGACTAGAGACTATGTACATTACTTCTATTTTTTACAGCTACAATTCGCATTGCATGTTTTATAAAATAAAGAGATATACAAACAAGGATAAATACCAAATATAATTTAAATTTATTTCAGTAATATTGTAATAGAGGTACTAAGAGGACATATTTTAAGATAAAACCACGTTAACTTCACAATAACTGTTTTGAAAAAATAATTTCATTCAAGAAATTTCTAGAAAATCGAATGGGCTAACATAAAACTAAATTACTGTTTTTCTTATAAACTGTTTTACATTCTAAGCTTATATAAAATTAAATGGATTTTACAACATTATAGTACTGTAATACTCATGTTTATAATTAAAACTGGGCACAAAACAATTTTTGTGTTTAATTCTCCCAATTAAAATGCTGTGTAAAAAACAAAATGTTTGGTATTTATTATTTAAATTTTCAATGGACTGATACAATTTATATCCAACTTCTAAAACATAATTACTAAATTTTACCTGCCTAATGGGCTACACTACAAGCTAGACTAGAGTAGGCCTATAAATGAACTACAGGGAAATTTATTAATTAATCTGTAAGAGGTAATTGACTTTAAGGTTATTGGAATTTTAAAATGACCCAACTGATTACATAACAAAACCAAGATATTTTGGTTCATTATTCAGTTGTTGTTCCTCAAAGTACTGTCGACTTTACAATCGTAAGTAGCACCTTAACAAACCAACACGAAACAAGGCACTGGAGAACTTAGAGAAGTGTTGTAACAAAAGTTGCCACATATACAAGTGTTTTTACACAAACAAACATCTAAGTATTTACACACAAATGCAAACAACTATGTATAGACTATGCACACAGACCTCTAAAAGCTTGATCTTTGGAGATGTCCACAATAAATGTGTTGGAAAAAGGTTTCGGTGTTTTCCACTGAAAATGTAATATACTTCAACTAAACTGTTTCTTTTATTTCATGTTAATTAAAATCCTACTTTCAAATATTTGGACAAAGCACAGAAAAAAACAATTATGGTATCTATTTACCTTACGGGATATGAACTTATTGAAATATGAAATAACGTAGGCCTACTTTAAGTTCTATAACACGCATGGGCCGTGAATGATAAACGTGGCATTCAGCGAAGAAGTTTTTGTTCAAACAACCTCAATTGAAAATGATTTGAATATTTTTATAACAAAAACAAAGCTTGTAACACTCCTCCAGGAGGGTTAAATAGATCAGATTTTTAAATTTTGTTGTGTTTTTTTAGCCTCAAATACCTATTATCAAAGACCTAATAATCTGTGCAGTGATTTACAGATAGCGAAGAGTTTTTACTGTGTAGGCCACATAAGCGATATGTGGTGACTACAGCGATAAAGATAATACAAGCTGCTGATCTTGAACCATCAATGTGACCAGCCCAAGACAAAACCCTAAAACTTAAGTTTTAATAAGTAGGCCTACACAATTTTTAAGGTTATTATTTTATACTTGGAAGCCATCAAATACATTGTTACATCGGAGGGATGCTTATTAGAAAATAGAAAAACGCTCAAACTTTTTAGTTTTTGGGAACGTTGGGTTGTTTACGATTACTAGAAGTGCATGATGCCAGCCGGGTTACATTTCATGTTGCCATGCTATTCATTGTATTGTATCGTAAAAAGCTACGGCTGCTCTTGGGCATAAGCCTTTCTATACCTCTAGCATCACTATCATAATTCAAATATGAATGAAGGATGAGTGTAGAAGGGTGATATGCCTTGTGCAACTGTGTTACTAACAAAGACCATCTGTTTATTTAATCTGAGTAATTTGTGTAAAGCCTATAATCAGTAAGGTACTACATCCACTCATCTGTTTCTAAACATTCAAATATCAGCTGACTTCCCAGAAAAACCAAAAGAATATGCATCATTGGCCAGAACAGAACTAAAAAGTTTGACTGCAGACACAATAGTCATCAATTCCTGCTCGGCAATAGGAGACTTCAAATGTCACCGCTTGGTAGGTGCTCTCCCACTAAATTATGCCTTTCTCGGTGTCAGGCCTGGTTCTAGACATTTTTCTAGTCCCAGAAAACAAAATCACCCCCTAAAAAACTTATATGGTAGTAACTAGAAGGTAAGGACTGTCTCTGGATAAATAAAAACAGATGTGTAAATATAAATGCTTAAGAACATCCAAAACGGACGAACGTCTACCGGACAAGTTCAAGTAGATGACGGAGGGATGTCCGACAGAGGAAGCCATTTTTCATTTGTAGTTATTGTTATTTGGGAATAAAAATAAATCAAGTAGTGGGAGTATGGGCAAGAGTCCCAGCTTATGATGTACGATTTTCCATAATTAACTACTCCTAGAGTCCTACAATTTGGCAAGGTAAATCGTCTTTTAACCTCTATTGTTAAATATATAACACTATAAGAAGTGAAACCTTACGGGCCTACCACCTACAGGGGAACACAAGTCAATTATAGTTCACAGAGATTAAACTAGAAGGTTCATAATGAGATTGGCAAACATTGTTTATTTGTGAGGGTTAGAGATAGGGAGGTGTCGATTCTCAATACAAGCGATACTAGGACATTGGTATCAGTATCGAGAATCGATCGAAAAAATCTTTGCCGATACCAATATCCAACACTCGCCTGCTAAGATCGTTCGATCAAGAAAATAACTGCTTTTGCCACGATTGTGCATGACAAAGATAACGCTTCTGTGACCGCGGGAGACAATGTTTTCTACATGGCTGTGGGGATTAACATAATTTTGCCGCGATCGCGGAAAACGGCGATAATGCCTCGATTTTAGGAGATCATGATTATGTCCACACAACAGCGGGTGAGGACAAGAATTTTGCCGCAATCGGAGGAGATGATGATGATGTCCACATTGCTGTGGGAGATTTTCATAGTGTTATATAGGTATTCAATGTCTCTATGCTCCTTACATTATACAGAACATTGCAGAGCGCTTAGGTACCCTTTTGCTTGGCACCCTACGCAACTTTGACCAGACCCGAAATAAAACAGTTTGGCCAACAGACCCCTAATAATAAACAGTGTTTTCAATGGCAACCAAAGTATATTACTACATGATAAAAAAGGTTACACTTTGAAAATAGACAAAAATTTACCATTCAAAATGATTTAGGTATTGTTATTATCAGTCATGATTTTAAAACAGTACCTTGTTAATTAGTTTTGTATATTTACCATCTCTTTTACAGAAATGGTATGTATATATAAGTCGTTTTAAACTGTTTTTTGAATCTGTGAAATAGTCAGTGAATACTTAAATATTTTAAATAAATTGAAATAGGTACTAAAATATAAACAAAGTACCAAACATAAAAGAAATAATTAACAGTACAACAATTCCTTATACATATCAAATTCACAGTAACAAAAATAGCTATAGAATTTCCATTTGATAATAGGCCTACCTTGAAAGTCATCAAGTTAATTTTAAGTTCCACATATACATTCACAAAATAACTCTTTGTTAACTGTACATAATTAGGCCATTTCTTATATTTACAAATAATGTTTAGCATTAGCAACATGGTGGAAAATATTCAACAGAAATTTGTGTTACAGATTCAAGAGTAACATTTAGAATAAATATACTTTACATCTTACAATGTAACAGAATTATATTTACTTCAGAGGAAATCATATTAAAAATATAATTAGTTCGACATTATGTTCAATTGGCCCTTTAGTCACAATAACCAAGTATATCTTAAGGTAGGTAATTTTTTATATTTTATTTGACCTAATTAGTTCACTTATGATTGTGACAACTTTACGGATTTGTGATACTTTAACACACATATGAGTAAATAAAAATTTAACTGGTACACGATTGTTTAATATCAGTGTGTTTTCAATAGATAAACATATAAATTAATGTGGAATCATTTAATATAAACAACAAAAGTGCCTTTAAGGTTAAGTACCGTTATTATACACGTTGGATGAGTTTAAGCATACAGTTACACAAAGCGAAACCCCCATGAAACTTAAACTATTTATAGACTTTGCTGAATAATTTATTTCGCAAACTTTAAAGAAATTAGGCTCTTTACTTATCGATATTTTAAATAAAATTAAGGGTGTTAAGGTATTTTATTTATTAACTAAATGCGGAACTGCAACTAAAAAATGTTTGTGAGATGTCTATACTTCAAGATATGAAGAAACTTATGAAGCAAAAGGATGAGCTGGTACAGCACAAGAATAAACGACATTAATAAAAGGCCCAGAACTGGGGGCAAATCCCTAACATCGATGTCTTGAACACAGTGCATTGCAACTGACTGAGCCACCAACTCACAAAGTGTAAGATATAAATGCCTTAATCGACTTTCTTCCTCAATCAACTGAGTAACAGCTGAAACCCATCAATGGATACGTCACACTATTAACATTATAAAACAGCTAACACTTCAAACTAATATCATTAGATATTTGATAAAGAAACACGACCTACCAAGTCTAACCTTTTCCTTATTCTGAAACAGTGTAAGGAATAAGAATTCAAACGTAAAATTGAATCTCATGCTGATGAAGGTTTAAGGATTAGAATGCTTTTGAGAATTTATAAAAAAAGGATCTACTTCTATGAGGTTATGGTATAATGATGACAATAAAGTTTATGATCAGGGGTAAAATCTTTTGACCAAGGATGAGTCCACATTTCCAAATCAAAACCTATACTCGTATTAAAAAAAAACTTTATAGTCTTGAAAGTATCAAACATATGTAGGGTTTATTTAATTTTTCAGTCATCTATCAAGTTAATTAGTACATAAGATTGTGTTATTTATATGTTTAGCAAGTAAGAGTTGTTTCTTTGGGTGTAACTTGTGTTGAATGTAATTGTGGGTATGTGGTTTTGACTTGCATTCTAAAATAAACTATTTGTACTTAAATAGATTTCCATCAAGTGTTTACAGATTAGCTTTTAACAAGTACAGTAATAACATATTATATTTGTAACAACATGCCATAGCAAAATGTTAGTTATAACTTTTATGATAGTATAAATCCAGCCGATTCTTTTTATATCTTAAATAACATGAGAATAAACAAAATATTTGGAAAATTAACTATCAAAATAAAAAAAAAAATTAAAAAAAAACAAATATTTTTCATGAACTCGCTTAAGCATTAAATTATAGTTTTCAACAAAGCCTAGACAAATTTTTGGCAACTGGGAAGGCCTGATAAAGGAAATAATGTCTTTCAGGGTAAGGGGACATCAACGGCAATGGTCTACATAAACCGATCAGTTGAAATACATGGAAAAGGCAATTTTCAACTTCAAACATGGCAGAGCGATTAACTGGACACATAAACACTCTAATTCGCCAAGAAGGATCTTAACTGTTTTGCACCTACTTCTACCAGCTACATCTTGACTAGACTAACACTGAACATACAAACGACTAAAGATACTACAGTCATTCTTAGAATTTCAGCTCAGTTTTCAAGACTTTCGGCAAAATGTTTCGTAAAAATAAATTATGGACTTTTTCCAGGATGGAGAGAAGTATACATGATGGAATGTTATAGTAGTCAAGAATATTCAATGAGTTGTAAGTTATGGATCCAAAAAGTTTTGCTCTACCAAATTCTTGATACTAACCAACCTGTTTTCAGAAAACAGTCCAGCCCAAGTTCTGTAGGCCCTATACAACATTAATATTTTACTATCAAAAATAATTTACAAAATTCTCTGTCAGAAATTATATTTTACTACTAAACTATTTTTGCTTTGACATTCTCTTACGCATTTCAGATTTATTTCATTAACTTTCACTATACGAACGGACAGAGTAATTTAGATTCATCTTACAGGATGATTTTTTGATCTGAAAACTGAGCTGATCTATGACGAAACTAAAAATCTGCCAACACAATGTTTAGTACAAGACAAAAAATATGCTTACGTCTATTGTACTAGTGACTCTAACGCCAAACGTCATGGTATTTACAGCAGTCTACATGACTGATCAGGCGTGACTAAGCGTATGTTACGACTTGGTTGTCGCGTTTAGAACTTCCAACGCAACTAAACACTGCTCTTAGGACATGTCTCGGACAAAACAATAATTGAAACCATAAAATTATAGTATTTTACATCAATGTCGTAAAACTAAATATCATTTGTATGTACACATTTATGTTCTCAATGATCAGTCCCTAGACAGAGTAGAAATCGTTGACGGAAGGACAAGAAGGGATAGGGGAATGGAACACAACTAGAAACTAGGAAATAAATGTCGCGAGATAAAATATCTAAACAATAAATTATAAATATACAATTAAAGCCCAAAATATTTAAAGTGTTGAATAATGAGTGAAACGTAACAATTTAACCTTATCTAATTGTATTTAACTAAAAATGTTCCTCTAGTTTTTCAACTAAAACATATCTCGTGTAGCAGTTCAAATAGGTTCTTATTCTTGTATTAATTGAAAACAAATTACAAACCCCAGTTGTAAAATATCCAAAAAAGAAATAACAAAATTAATACATAAAACCTCTCTGGTATACTGATACTATTTTACATAATGTTAACACGTTGATTATGTAGATTTAAAAAAAATATTACAATCCATTGTGACATGTTTGATTATGTAGATTTTCCTCTACATACCTTTAAAACTCCGCTTTACCTTTAAAACTAAAACCTTAAGAAAAAAACAAACATTAACACTGGTTACAAAATAGAATATTGTATAATTCTTTCACTGTGTAACAGATTATTATACTGCATGGAAAAGTAGTTCTTTACTATATTAGAAGTAGTACTATATTATATTAGTAGTGTTGAGTAAAAGATGTTCCTTCAAAATAGTCATTGAAGAAATAACATGTTAAAATTGATTTTGTTCTACATTTATAAATGTAGCACTTATATGAATGAATTCAACAAAGGTATAGCAGAGCTTTAAGGACTAGGATTACACAACTCAGTTCTCTTTTTACTTTTTAATTGAAAATCATGATGCATGATCAGACCTTACTGAATTTTAATCACACATGATTAACTTAAATTATTTTTACAGTGATCTGTATGTATCTTGTCATGATCACACAAATAATATTTTTTTTATATATTGACAGTGTCACCTATTTCTCCAGCTGTGCTGGTTTCTTTGTGAAAATAAAATTCTTGACGTGACGCAAACATTTTGATTGTAGGAAAAAAACAACGGTGATGTAATACAATGATAAAGAACAATTCCCAATTACAATAAACTAATCCAAAACATAAAACATAACTTCAGAAAACCTTCAAACTGTTTAACAGAAAAATATTCTAGTCAAAAATATATTCATAAAAGTATACAGAACACTCATATACCATTATCGAATGTATTACGATATAAAATTTAACGACACAGGCAAAATGTTGTAAAATTTTCCCAAATACAATAATTTGAAATAAATATCGAAAATAATATACATATATAACGAATAGATAACAATATAACAGTATTTAATCTGAAGTGTATAACTGATAGTTAAAATAACAAAACACTAACAGTACATAACAAATTAAGTACAAAGTACAGACTATTTATGTAGCTAGGCTAGACTGGGGGTTGGAGGGGGGTGAGGAGGGTGATGACAAGGGAGAGTCCGGAGAGGTAGCAGGGGTGAGAACTCCCAGAGTTGGGGTCGGAGGGGAGACAGGTCTAGCAGATTTGTCCACAGTTTTAGTGGCTACAACTAAAGTTTTCACAGGCAGACCGAGGCTAGCTATATGTTTTAGTGTCAAGGCTCGGATTGGCTGTATTGTTACCTGACTGCTAGGGACTTGTAATACTTCACCAGTTTGTGTTGTTATTGTTGTCATGTTGGCTCCACTGTGCATCACGGTTGTGTGGTTCTTCAGACCGGAGGCTGTTTTGTAACTTTTACCGCAGTGACATTTGAAACCTTTTCTGACCCTGTAACAGTAACACACAACTATTAAAGACTATATAGATTAAATTGAGGAATTGGATGTGCAAAATAACACTAGAACACTGCAATAAAAACTAGAAATTTTGAATCTCTAAACCAAATCTTCTACCAAGTTTTAGTGGTTTTGAGATTTCAGATTCAGTTTTGACACATCAGTGAATAGTGAATTTAATTGACGTTAGAACCATTTTGTGAACCTATGGTACATGGTACGGTACAGAAAACCTTTACTGATCCAGACCTTATCAATATAAACTTCCCTGAATCCCCCATTTTACAGCAGTTTGCAAATATGTTTTTTTCAGGTGATTTAAGAATATGTCAAGTAAATTACATTGTTCTATTGCAAGATGTTTACAAAAGCTGTAGAGCACACAAATGACACGATTTGATTGGGCTGTTACTTGTTAGGCATACCCATTATGTTATGTTTTTGCCTACTGAATCCTCAAAAAATTTAACAAAAAGGTAAACCAGGCAAGTAACGGTTTAGTATGCTAAAATGTAACTCCAAGAAACATAAACCTACAAATAATATTTTTTTAGACAGGGTGTCCACCAGGCCAACCAGGAAAAATTCATGAGTAATTCATGAGTAAAAAAAAAAATAATTCCAGGTAGTTCAGGTCGTACTTTTCATACTAAAATTTCCAACAAGTTTTCTTGCCAACTCCCGCAATGCTGTTTTAGCGCTAACACAGCTCGCTATTTTAGTTATCGGAAAGAGCATTCTCAGTAAAGAAAAAAAAAATTATGATTGCTGTAATATTGCCTGACACAAGTATTCAATTGTTGCATATTACTGATTATAAAAACTAATACTTAAACCTGCAATTTCTTAATAACTTCCAAAAATAGTGATATGTCGATACCAAAATTTATTGAATCTCTGTACAGACACCTGAAAAATAGATTCTTAATACTGATCATTTCAATTTTACCAAATTGTCTGAAGGATTACTATACCAACCCCTGGCTTTATGTACTTTCATATAGTATAATTTTGGAGTAATGGGTTGTTTTCCAAGTGGCCTACAGAAGTAATATTGCAGAAATTACAAAAATTCCACGTGGCCAATTTATGTTTTAAACCCTTCTAAACACATTAAATAAATACCACGTTAAAGGTAGATAAAGATATTACAAACAAATATTTTTAAAAAACTTTCTAGAAGGTCGTAGCTTAATTTAAATAATTTCCCGCGGTCATCATCGTCAAGCAATATTTTCGGACATTATCATCGTTTCCCGGAATCACGGAAACGTCATCGTCATCTCCCGCGGTCACGAAAACGTCATCTTCGTCTTCCGCGGTCACGGAAATGTCATCGTCGTCTCCTGCGGTCACAGAAATGTCATCGTCATCTTCCGCGATCACGGAAACATCGTCGTCATATCCCGAAGTCATGGAAACGTCATTGTCTGCATGCGCGATCACAGAAATGTCAACGTCGTCTCCTGCGGTCACGGAAACGTCGTCATCATCACCCGCGGTTACGGATACGTCATCGTCGTCTCCCGTGGTCACGGAAACGTCATCGTTGTCTCCCGCGGTGACGGGGAACGTCATCGTCGTCTCCCGCGGTGACGAGAACGTCATCGTCGTCTCTCACGTTCCCGGCAAATAATTCCCAGTTAAATACAAAATTCACGCATAGTTCCCGGTTCAAAAAAATTAACGCATAATTCCCGCTTTTCCCGGTCGGTGGACACCCTGTTAGAATATGTGTTTGTCACTGTTAATCCTTATATCCAGAACATTGACTGGGTAAGGATTGTCTTGAATGTATTAGACCTATTCATTTTCCTCCTAGGTGGGAGGGAGGTCAATCAAACAATCGAGATAACTTTATTCACTCATTTATAACATAAGTAATTCTTCAAGCAGGACTAGTTCCAAACACGGCACCTAAAGAAGTCATTGATAATGTTTGTCATATAAAACCCGTGATCAACTTTGTATTGATACTGTTTCCAGTTCAGTAAATTAGTACTAGGTCAGCTTATCCAGGATTTTCAGTAAAGCATAGCGGGCTATGCAGATTCAGATTCTACATGCAAAAATAAGTCGAAATTGTAGAATAACTTTTTTTTTATTTCGGCTTAGTTTAGCCGTAATCCGCCATTTTGTATTTTTTTGAAAATAATTAATAACTTAAAAGTCCTTTGGAGATATTTTTTTAAAACTTGGTATAAACTTTAAGTGTATAGGAATAAACATTCACCGAAAATATCTTTGATGAGGCTCATCAAATTTCTAAATGGCAGCCATTTAAAATTTTTAAAGTTAAATTCCATGAAAACCAGGCATTAAAACCAAATTTTAAATGGCCGCCATTTTGAAATTTGATGAGCCTGATCAAAGATATTTTTGGACAATGTTTATACCTGTAGCCTTAAAGTTTATATCAAGTTTCATAAAATATCTCCAAGGGCTTTTGAGTTGATAATTATTTTAAAAAAAATACAAAATGGCGGATTGCGGCTAAACTAAGCCGAAATCCAAAAAAAGTTATTCTACATTTTCGACTTATTTTTGCATGTAGAATCTGAATCTGCATAGCCCGCTACGCTTTACTGAAACACCCTGTATAGCCCAGGCAAATTAAAAAAAAAAATTTCATCGCGAAAAATAAGCCATATATCAAACAAAAATATATCAGAATCGGCTGAGCCATTTAGCTGCAGTGCAGTACCTTTTGAAAGTTGGACTATTGTGACCAACATGGCCAAACCCTTAATTCTTTGGTCAGTTTTTGGCTTTTAACTTCTAGCCAGCTATAGAAAAATGTACCAGGAATTTTATTTAAAGATCATTAGAATGATTTTCAATTTATCAGGATCGGCTTAGCCGTTATCGTTTGTTAACAGTTGATTTGGTGCATGTGAAGTTTCTGTACTGACGTAAATTGAAAGCTAGTCTGCAAACGTCTGTAATTAGTTAGGAAGACAAAAAAACTAGAAAGAAAAAAGTACTATAAATTGTTATTTTCAGAGCACCACATGCTTTCATACATATTAAAATATAAAATAAGAGGTTCAATAATAGTAAAATAAAAAAAAAAAATACAGTTCAATGGCAAATTGATTAATACTAACATGGTTATTTCTAGGGATGGACGGGATTGAATTTTTAGTTCGGGACGGGACGGGATGGGATTTGTATTTCCTTCCCGATATTCGGGACGGGATTTTTTCCTGTGCATAAAAAGAAAGTCTTGAGTATTGCAGTTACCAAAAAGACTCACGGTCTCGGCGGGATCGTCGGTATGACTCCTTTGTCACGGCGCGATCGTTGAAGTGACTTCGCCTCCTGCGTTCGCGGATCATCTCTCGCGATAGCGGCGTTATCGTCACTCGAGAAGTGGCAAAATCGCCGACAATCGTACCAAATCCCGCCCCGAAAAATTCCCGAATCAATTGTAATCCCGTCCCGAAAATCGGGAATATTTTTTTCCCGAAAATTTCCCGAAATTTCGGGACCCGTCCATCCCTAGTTATTTCACAATAAGGCGTAGCAAAGATCATTGGTGTGGATTATGGTCAGATACGGCCATCGAACAAGAGGTCATGAGAGCAATATCTTGTAGGCTCTCTGGTGCGAGAGGAATCAACTACGGGACTCTAGCCTGATGGATCGCTGGTATGTCCATCACCTTGGACGTTTAACCATCAAACTGAGGGATATTGTGAGGGATCACCTCCTCAACATCTAATCAGCATGTTGACGTGACAAACTATAGAATATAGAGGGATGATAACAATTTGAATAAATTCAGCGTATCGTTTCTGTGTCATGACCCATTTACTGAAATGAGTTCCCCCATGTCTATCAGCACTGGAGTTGTTGCAGACGATAGTAGCAACAGCTACAGAATATATAAGAAGGGCACAACTATCATAAAAATTGTTAAAAGGCAAACCCTTAAAGACAGTGCAGCAAAACATAAACCTTAAGAGCTGTGAAGGCAACAGCTTAGATCAACCAAGACTCGGCCCCATCAGTCTGGACATAATTTTCCACCACATTCCATTCTACATGAAATCTAAGCCCCAGCTTGAATCGTACTTTCGAAATAGTCTGTATCCACTCGCATTGTTTGATAAAGACAGCATGTTGTGGAGGAGCTGAAAATCTGAACTGTTAAGTTGTTCACTCCAATCACAGTGGATTTCCCTGTGCTCTAGCAGATTAAAACTTCTGACGAAGTTGCAGGAGCAGGTGTTTACTTAATAAAAACCCTATACACGGGTGAGAGCAGCAAATCTGTGAATCAAATTAATTTTGGGTTGGGGACCTTGCCCCCTACAGAAGGGGATGCTCGCCAGCACTCCTTCAGAGCTTATTTACAAGTGCAGCTTTGGAGTAGTAATGTACTAAATCCAGAAGGATGAGGATGGCAAATTACCACCAATGGGTTAACTCCTATCATAACGACTAATACACTGGCTTCTCAATTTCATGTACCTAACCCAACTATCATGCAAATGTAAAAATGGGTGTACGTTAGATTATTGGGTGTGCTCTTTGTAATATATGCATTATGGTTTATAATGTTTTGAATTTAGATTTTAATATTGGCAACAGTGATGCAACAAACAGATTTAATATAAATAAATTAATAGTGTTGGTTGACGATTCAAAATTCATAAACCCAACCAATCACCGATGGCATCACTATCGCAAACTGTCCGAGACAATCCATCCAAACGGTCTCAGATGTCCACCAGCTTCACCATGCAAAATTTATTCCTTCTTTTTACTATGTGAACTGGAAGGAGTTTTCTTATAATTCTGACTTATTATTACACCCCAGTCTATGTAGTGACAAGTTCTTTCTTAAGTGTTATGTTTTATTTGGCGACGAACATGTTAATGGATTCATGGTGTTAGAGCACAGTGGAAGGACTGCCGATATCGTACCAAGTGCTTTATTATTATGATATCAAGTATCGGTATATTGGCTAAAGACAGGAACTACAAACACTTTATTACATTACTTTAAACTTTGGTGGAGTGAATTTTCTGTGAATATTTTATTTTTGTAGGTCGAAGTAGCCCAGACGCCATTATTCATAGAAAAGTTGTTTGACACATCGAAAATGGCAGGACTCATCAGAACAATGTGGCGGAAGAGACTTGGTCGTCCTACATCGAACGTTTGGAAATGTTCATCGATGTTAATGATATTAAATCTGAGATAATTTTGGGAATATTGAATCCAATGTTGTTATTGATCTTTATCAACAATTTCCAAATATATATACAGACAGCTTAGGTTGATGTTGATATATAACTCAAGACGCACCATGGCGATTCTAAGGGGAAAAGTTGTGATCGCACCCGCAAAAGGCTCATAGGGCAGTGTACTCTCACCCTTACGTTAGAACCTTGTGGAAAATTCATAAACATTGTAACTGATGTCATTAATGTCACCCTACAAAAAAACATACGATAATGTTAACCCAATACCTGGTGTTTTATTTTCAGCGTTATGTTCATAGATGTACATTGCTATGAACATATTGGGTTGGGGGTGAATTTTGTGTAAGCATGGTGTCTCAGAGAGGGACTCAATATTGATCTCTCCAAGACAGTCGAAATCCCTTTCACCAGTTAAAAGAACTTGGACTATCTTTCCAGGTTGAAAATTGGCACTACTCAGCAGGGAGTGTCAAGCACAGTAAAGTATTTAGGACTGACACTTTAATCCAAGCTGACGTGGAACAACAACCTGAATAAGCACCGTGTAAGGCTAAATGGGCGCTCATGACGTCCAGGAATTTTTTCTTTTTCAATGCCAGTGACATTTCACGAGAGAAATGTTTAGTGGATGTGCCGGGGATTGAACCCGTCCCTCCCACACCGAAGTCCGAGACGCTAACCACTAAGCTAGCAACACAACCAGATTTGCAGGAACCACTTGGGGAATTGAACCCCACATAGCACTCAAGCTATATGAGGCTGTGGCAAGGCCTCAAACTACCTATCGTTCGCTCCTCTGGTAGAAAAAGGTGAATCGGGTAACTGTCATAGCCAAATTAGAAAGCCTTCAAAAGCCACTGGTGCCTTCAGGAGCAGTCCATCAGCTACTCTAGAAGTCGCTCTTGGGCTGCTACCTCTGGACATCTTTATCAAATCCGAAGCCCTCAAGGCAGCCTACCGTCTGAAGATTGCAAATCTGTGGAGGGACTGCCTGTCTGGGAAGGCCACTGCGCTATTGCCAAAACTGTGTAGCTGTATGTCCTGTGCTTGACATGACCACAGGTGTCCTGAGCACAGAGGCAGTTCTCACCAAACCCTTCACTATTGAATTCCGCTACTGGGATGAGTGGAAACATCAGGAAGGACTTAGATAGTGGTTTTGTCTGATTGTCAGGCTGCTCTTAACCCTTTAAGAATGTTTTTCCATCATTGAAATCTGTAATATGTTTAATTTGGTATAGTTATAAGAATGTGATAAATGTAAAGATTAATAACTGTCATTACTTTGAGTTTTATAAAAAGTGGTTTGCAATGTTCAGTGTCACTTGTCCTAAAAATGTTTCTAATGATTTGTTTCTGTATTCTAAGTATGTTATGCACAAAACTCGAATGGCCCCAAAGAGTAATGCCATGGGAAACATGGGACTGACAAAAAGCAAAGTAAACTACTTTTAGATATTCAAAACTCACAAAATCCCAAAGCTTCCACACGAGAAAAGATACTCTTGAAATTTTTCTGCATACATGATCAACATGAGACTTCCAGTTCAAATTATTGTCAATAAAAAAATCTAGTAATTTAGTTTGATAATCTTCAACATGAGCCAAACTAAGCAACATGCTTTGAGTTTTCTCCCTGGTTACATAGCAACTTATTTGAAGAGAACCAATTTTGAGCTGTGTTGAAGGCACTACTTATTTGTTCCTCAAGACACATTAAGGCCCTGTGTAAAGAGAGTAAGGTTGTGTCATCTACATATACGACAACCTGAAAGGTCGTTAATGAAAACAGTGAATAAAAATGGACCAAGAACAGAACCTTGCGGAACACTGGTATTATTGGTTAGTATTGAAGATTGACACCCATTTGCAGAAACATATTGGGTTCGATTGGAAAGATATGATTGCAGCAACTGAATGGAGCTCTCTGAGATTGTAGTATCGAAGTTTGCTTAATATGATTTTATGAGGAACACAATCAAATGTCTTGCTTAAATCACAAAGCTTAAGAGAGACTGACTCTTTATTTTCAAAAGACAATAGCACTAGATTTTGTTGTTCCTAAAACTATGTTGAAGACGAATAAGAGTGCAGATAAGCTGGAAAATAACAGTACGAGCATGCCATTCCTTGGACTGGAGCCATTCTGTGGTCTAAAGCCGGCCCTGCTTGGTCTGAAGCAGCCAGGTGATGAATCAGACGCTAACATTGGGCAAAAGCACCTTCACCTGGTCAAGGACAAGGGAATAGGCTTACCCAGTTGTTATTGGCAATTGGGGTATGCACAATAAGCGTCGGTTGATGTGCTAGGACCCTGAGTCCACCCACTCCTCTCTCAATACAATACAAATAGGTTGCTATGAAGGTGAACCGGCAATGTTAGTACTAAAAGATAATGGCCCTGAGATTTGTGAAGCCTAGACCGATTCCTTTTGCATCAATGGATAAAATTGAAGCAGAGATAGACCACGTAGAGGACGGTATCTTGTGGGTCAGTAATAGTGAATGGGGAAGTTCAGTTGTTCCAGTAATTAAGAAATCAGGGGAATTACGTTTGGGTGCTGATTTTCAGAGTTCTTTGATAATCAATATGCAGATAATACAATCTTGTCGGAAGGCAGGGATAGAATGCACCCTGGTTGTCTCAATTCCATATCTGAAGACAGGGATATTATATACTGGATATCACCCTTTGTGACAAATAAGAGCAAAGAATGAATCTATATTCTTAAGATTCTGATTATGAGAATTTAGATGAAGTGATCGGTGAAGTGATCGGTAAAGACCTCGTTTTCTAAAAGGCGAAAGAAACCAAAAAATGACTACCATGTACATCTATCTCATTATGATACTATTTCGTTTATTCAACTAATACATGTTATTGTTTTGTTATATTGAATCAAATATATTTCATTGTAATGTCTTCTTATATGTTGAAATTGCAGAACATCATTTTGGATTGTCCAGTTGTCCAGTGTTGGGATGGATCCAGTAAAAGGGAGGTGAGAACGAATCCTATAACTTCTGGAGCCCCAGACAACAATACTAGACTTAAAATTACATAGGAAGTCAAATGCTCTCTTCACCCCTTTCTTGGATCAACCTCTGGATGATTAAAATAATAATTAAACACTATTTATTTAATGATTCATATAATTCATTGACGCTTTGGCCAAATTGGTTAAATTGGTTAACATTAAAAATCAACTGTGGTAACGTGGATGAGCATCTTGGTGAATTAATAACCATTTTATGAATTTATGAATAATTTAATATTCTTCAAACTAATTACAGGTACATTTTTTTGTAGCATGCGTCGTTTAGGAGTTGTAAGCAGAAAACTGAACAAAGAATCAACTTGTTACTTAAAATAGCCCAACTTTTAAAATCTACTGCTGCTCAACCGATTTTGATTCATCTATCTAACACCAATCAATGCATACTATACTGTGCTTAATGGAACAACTAAACAAAAATAAAACTGTCTATCTTGATTACATAAGAGAAAGTAAATGTGGGCCTACAAAGAAAGCCAGGTCTTATAACATTTTCTTTTAGTGAATTCTATGGCTGATTCACATTTTACACCAATCTGAAAGCATTAAATATGGACATTGTTTACCCTGGACAACCATTTGCAGTAGTTATCAAACAGCTGAAAGCGCGTTTTCCCCCAACTTCAGTAACCGCAAACACAGTACAGTCAGGAATAGTATGGTTAAAACGCAGTGCTAAAGTGTTTTCCTACAAATCCGCCAATGTGTTGCGTCACCATCAAATTTGCAGTTCCACAGTACAGTCCTCCTATGGATCAGAAAATGAAGTCTCTTGCGGTATGCTGATGGTCGAAGAGGAAGAGATGGACAAAGATGTGACCATAGCCCTTTCCAAGAGTCAAAAATCCCGAAATGAACTGTTTGGATCTAGGAGCAATAAGGGTGTTTTAGTATTCTTATTAATTGACACCCTATAGACGATGGAGTAAAATTTTAGGAATAAATAAAGATCAGATTTCCTGCCTTGTTGACTTGGTGTGTAGTGATATAACTTCAAAGCCGACAAACAGAACTTCAAAACTAGACATACAGTAAATTAACTGTCATAATTAAGAGTGAACTTAAAAACATCACTGAAACTATCTTTCTCCATATTTCTAATGTAAACAGAATCCAGGTGTGCAGGGTGGCTTGCAACTGACTGCTCTCGAGGCAGTGCTCCCAATCACGCTGCATGCTTCGTGCTGCCCGGTTGGCAGATAGTCGTGCACCACATTGCTAGGAAAACAGTCCTATTGGTTTCAAAGGGATCGTTGTCTCCGGCAACCATGAAGCTTGCTGTGTAACTGGCACTAGGAAAACGCTACTTAAGTTAACAAAAGGTTACTGTAAACTATCAAGTTTTTATGTGCCCCAAGCTATTTAGAAGCACGCAATCCTCACTGATCATGTAAGTGGTTATTCCTGATCTTTTTAGACCATAACTTGTAATTTACAGTTTCTAAGATATTTTTCTAAATTTTGAGTAATTGATAAAAAACACTTACCTTCCATCGTGTTTGTGACCGTTTTTTGAATGGTATTTGATTCCGTTAACGTTTTTATACCTCTTCTTACAGCCAGGTACAGGACAGGCAAATGGCTTTTCCAGGTTGATTCCGTTAGGACCTGGTGAACTTGGTGTTACCATTCTGTAAACAGAAACCAGCTGTGCAAAACACAACATTGATGTTTGAATATGTTAGCAAACAATACAGCAAGTCACAGATGTTATGAGAATGAGATTAAATTGTGAGAGTCAAACTACAAACGATAAGACAAAAAATAAAAGTTAAAAAAAATACAATAGGTGATAGGTAACTTCTAACACATGTCCGATGATGATTAGGACCAATTAAAATTTCATTAGACTAAAATAATGTAGGTTTATGATTGAAATTACAACCCTAACAAATCAATAGAAACAATGTACAAACTACACACTGAAAATGTGTACTACCGTGGTAGCTTGTAATTTTTAATTTTTTGTTTAGTGTAATCTTATAGAACTTCTCCAAGTCAATGGAGTACCAGTATTACTTACTTTTTTAAGCTATTATTGTCCCTAGCTTACATTTTTTTGTAGAGTTTAGGTTTATTGTGAATACTGAATACAAACTAATTCAAACACAAAGAAATAAATTAATAAAACACTACAAGGAAAAGCATATAAGTACAAAAATTAGTAAAATGTTCTTTAGTGCCTTCAAGATAGATGGGAGGACAGTTGACCAACGAAACATGAGGAATGTTAATAACACGACTATCTTCTATATGGACACCATTGGATGGTGAACATGGAATGAAGAGTGTTTTTTAGAAGATAAAACACAGGAAATAATATGTTACTTACTATGGTAATAAATTTATTTCATTGGTACTTTTATTCCATTTAGTGTTTTAAAATAATTAAGGGCATATGGGTGAACTGCTGGCTCGAATAAAGTGCAATCCAGATTTCGATCACTACCTATATAGAAGCTGGAACTGTATTTTGACAGTCACAAAACTGATGTTTGCTTTGAATCCTCCAATATTTGTTGAAATTGGAGAAATTGGAATTTGGTAAAATTGAAAAACCTCAAATTTTCTACATCACAATTTAAGTGAGGAAGGATGAAGTCGTTAACCATAGTTCTATAGTGCTCTTCAATCACAGTAACATCATTACCGGCATCATCTTTGAACAAATGTGGGCCAACAGTCCCTCCCACCGGCCCACAATGCAAACCAACCAGTGACGTTTAATGGAGGCAAAAGCTTTTCAACAAATGTTCTTGGATTTTTTTACTCCAAATCCTGTTGCTTTTTGGGGATACATGAAGCAACTATCGATTAACCATAAGTGTTGGATGATTTGGAAGCAAACATCCGTCATGTGATTACCAGTATACAGGGCCGCTGAATTTTAAAGTGATCGTAAACTGAACTTGCAGATTGGGCCTAATTCGAGCAAGTCACAGTAGCCATATGCCCAAAACTATATAAAAAAAATACACACACAGGAAATGGCTTAAGAGTACCAATGAAATAAATTCATTCCTATGGTAGTTAACCTAAATTTTATGATTAACGGTATCATTTTAATGTTATACTTCTAAAATAACACATTGAGGTGTGTAGAGATGTGATGGACATGCTCCAATCCAAGATATTGCTATCCTCTTGTCAAGATATAAAGCTTTTTCGACTTATGATATAATTACAATACAACTGATCTATTACAGTAACAATCAGTAAAGAACACGGATATCATGCAGATGATACTTTAACCACAAGTAACTACTGTTCTCTAAGCGGATGAACTTTTAAAAAATACTAAAGTCTTGAGGGTTGTTTTTGTACCAAACGGAGAAGGTGTTATGGTATGAACCCCTTGACATGTTTGATCCTTGTAATGTTTCAAGGAGGAATAAGAATGTCTGTGTAAAGGTGACAATGGACTCCTGCCGTTGTTGAAATGGACGACAATCGGTTGGATGATATTTGTACAAAGAGGAGATCAGATTAAGAGTTTACTCATGCTAAAGCAAAGGATTTTATCACCCAGCCAGCTCCTAGGACCCTGGGAAAGGGTGATTGGACAAGCGAGAAAGACCAATTCCATCCAAAAGTACAATCAACATATCAACGTTTACAGGATATTATACTCGAATTAGATCAAATGAACCAAGGCACAAATGAATTCCACACAGGATATATCCTTTAAGAGACCTTATATCAATTACATCCAAATGTACAAACCACGGTACAACATCCAAGTTCATGGTACAACAATAAAAAAAACAGTCCTAGGGAAGAAGTTTGAAACATTTTACTGACAAAGGAATTTACACAAGTAAGACTATCCCTTTTGTTGTCCCTAATTACAACCTCTGTGAAATAAAAAAATCAGAAAGCCAAATAGGTCCAAGTTTGATTTTTACTGTACTTCCAATCATAACTTACTTGCTACCGTAGCGTAGGATGAACTCGGAACTGAACTCTTCTGGGGTGGTCCATGAGTCGTTGCTATCCTCCAACTCACTCATAAGCTCATCGTCATCTGCCTCGCTGCCTGGACATGAAACAACCAAACTTTTAAATAGCATTAGTCAAAACTATCTATTAAAATGCTGTGTGTGTGTTTTATAGGTCTTTGTAAATTTAAAAGAAATATCTCTTGGAATATAACCCTTTAAGCATAGACTAATCAGTCTTTCTTAAGAACCATTTTCAATGGTTTAATTTTGTAAATGTTCTCTTCTACTACAGTGCTTTAAAGAGGCTAACCTGTTTAAACTACATTGAAAGATGATTTTAACCATAACACCTTTACAATATATGCTATTTCATATTCCAAATAGTTTGTACAAAAATTCATAAAAACAAATACAAATACTTAATTTGGTTGGATTTTTGGTAGTTTTATAGTTCAGAGCTAATACAAAATATTACAAAGACTTGTTTTTACCCTCTCTACTAGCAAGTGTCAATTAAAGTAATTAAATTGTTTTTAATCCTCATGATAGAAAAAATTGTCGTTGTTTAAAACTATAAATACCACAGCTATTATTTGTTGTAATTGGCCATTGGTTTTCTTTCTACAGTGAATAGATTCTTTAACTCGAATGTAACTTGTGTAACTGACAAATTCCTAGTTATAAAAACGCCCAATGATTATTTGCATTTCAAGTTCATTGAAGTAAAATCCTATAGAACAATAACTTTTAAATTTTTTAGCATTGATAAAGTCTGTACCTACATCTATATCAATAATTACAGTTCCATCATGTATTTCAATAACAAGTTTGAATTTAAGTTATATAAATATATATGATAAGATGAAGAATCAGCACATTAAGTGTAATATGGGTTATTCTTCAAAACATACAATATCTGAGAAACATTTAAGGTTTACAATAATTAATCTAAGAGATAGGCCTACGAGTAATATGTTTAGAAAAATTGATTCCTTTTCCAGAAAAAAAGGTTACATTTAGGGCAGAGTCTCAAAGAGACAGTGTAAGCGAAAATGATATTTGGATTAGTATAACCTAAATATACAAAACACATGCAATGTAAATATATATATATACCATATCAAAAAACACAATTATTGGATTGATAATGTAATATGTAATGTAAGGAAAGTTTACAAATATACTGAAAGTAAAGTGATTATCTACTTAGTGTTAGTATAGAAGTAATATTATGTAGTGTACAGTGATGAAAATTCAATAAAAACAATGAAATAACCTTGCAAAACAGAACTGTTGCGTCTTTTTATGTAAATTTTTGTCACTTCGATCCAATTTTTGAAATAGTGATGTGTTATCTATTTTACTTATATAGCTACTGTAGTTACTTTTCCATGTCCTATCAAACTTCTTTTCTTCTTTGAAACCCATATATCATAAAATGAGAATAGGCAATCATTATGTCGAAATACGACGATAAAAGCTAATCATTACAACAAATTTCAACCACACAAAAAACCAAAGATACAACACGTGTTAAGCAAACCAATGTTAGTCGATTGAAAAATGATGAGGTAAAACAGAGCTTAGAACTTGCCCGTAATAGCTCGTGATTGAGCTTTCAGAGGTCTAATTTTTGGCGTAACCTCAATGATTGCGACTGAAACTGGTTTGGCTGGACTCACCCGTGAAACCGGAACTTCAACTAAAAATTAAAAAATCTAAAATATGTTAATACCCTTTTTTATAAACTTAAACACTGTTAGTAAATTTAAGTAAATTTTTGTTTAAGGAAAGTTTAATTAGGATGCTCGCTCCATTTTGACAAAACACTAAGCCATGAAGCACCACTTAGTGTTTAAATGCTTGGTTTTCCTTTAAGTGGGATTAGTTTCATATAGCTTACCAAATTAGTGGCGAGTGAGGTATGTACAATAAGCTTTGGTTGACGTGCTAGGACCCTGAGTCTTACTATAATACCTCTTACAATACAATACAATGTTTAATTGTATAACAAGCTCAATAGAAACATTGACTTTTAGACACCAGTGTACGCATCCCATTTATATGGTGACAATTAAGTCTTAAGACAACTTTATAACTTTTAAAGGAAAAGAGATATCACAACCAAATTTGGCATCTCTTTACTGATAATAGTACCGTAAGCTACTTTTATGTGTAAATAGTGATGGGATATCACCTATGGGGGACGGCCCATAGGGAGTAAGTTGAAAATTTTAAAGGTAAGCATAGGTGCCACCAACTGGATCTCAAATGGACAACCGAGTCAAAAATGGCAGCCGTCCAAAGATTTCTCTTATTTGCCTATTTTCTCTCTTATTTTTTGAATACTATGGTTATTTTTAAAATTTAAAATATGCTATAGATTACAATAACTTTATATTTTTGCGAGGCTTCTTTAAACTGTGGATGTAATTGAAACTAAACAAAAATCAATAATAATTAATTGGCAAACATGTGTTCTGTAAGTGGTTTGATTCAATGTTCGTTTTACATCCAAACTGTTGGAACCTGCTTGGAAATAACAACTTACACATGGAAATGGAATGTTTTATTATATCATCAAAGATAGTACTTAGTGCCCTTTGAGTTCCAGAAACATAAATTTTAAAATTTTGATCGCAGAGTGTTTTTAAAATAACAATAAAACTAGGACAGTTTCACCCTTTCAGATTAAATTTGCACATTATACCAGGCTACATAATTTATGTTGATCAAATAGGGACAACATATATTTATAGAAGGGATAATAATTAAAATTTACAATTTATAGTAACTCATTACAACTTTACTTTGACCTACTTCCAATTTATGTAAACAATATTTTTCAAATCAAATTCATTAGACAAACTCTTTCCTAATTAAGTTCATTCAAATGCATGTATTAATTAGGAAATTATTTCTAGCATAAAATATATTTGCTTTAAAACAACCTTGATTCTAAACTCAACAGTAAGTGAAGATATAGCTTATCTCAGGGTCAAGGCGGCTCATATCAGCTACAATGGCTAGGTCTGCCCGTTCATACCGTCTTGACAATTGGGTATTTAAATTTAAACATTTTGTTATACCAATCCCATTGAAGATGATAAAGTAATACAATAAGATAATTTTTATCATTGGTTTAATAATTTTCTTGATTATTTTTACAGGTAACAAGACAGTTTTAGACATAACCACAATTTTCTTATGATTTTTAAAACCAGCATTCATTAGTAAGAATCAATCTGACAACACAATTGGTCAACTATAGTATATTATTTAAAAAAATGTTTTACCAAGTGTTATTTTCACTATAAATAAATACAAGTTTAGTAATGAGGCTTTTTTGCAGCTTGACTACTCATACCTATCATACCCTCAATTAACTTTATGTTAACAGAAAAAATTATCTATATTTAAATTGTTAAGTAAGGATTTTGTGGTCAACTATGATAGTGTCTCTATTTAAAACAGTGGTTGGGACAAATACCCCTGCAAAAAACTACTTCAAAATAAAACTGTCCTTAAAATAATAATCTGCATAAACCCTTCTCAGCAAAGCCATTAAAATCAAGAACAGCATTCTCACATTTGTGGATTTAATTGAGAAATACAATTCAATTTCTCTTCAACCTTCAAAGATTTCCCAACAGTCCAAGAGTGTATTTCTTCAATGCCAACTTCCTAAAACTTCCTAGTATTAATTTCAATGAAACACTTAAGAAAAAAATTTGTACCACCAATAAAAAAATAATGGGATGCGCCAAAACAAAAAAATCCATCCATTTACAAATGAACCTACAATTATCAATATTTCAAACAGTTTTCTTCATTAAACTCTTTTCTAACCGCAAAACACAAAGGATTTGTTCGTTTTGGTGAGAAAACATTTCCTACTAGGGAAACATTTTTGAACTAGAAATAACTTCTTTGACTAAGATAGTAGTTTTTATCTGGTACAAAAAATGAAAATAAACAACAAATTTTTAGGAGTGGTAATTACATTTTCCAACTCATTAAATTAACAACCCAAACAATTAATAGGTTAATTAATTGGGACACAATCAAATGCAGTATTATTATGAGTAATTGCAAATCATTTATGATTAATTTAATCAACAGAGATTTTCCTAACTAATTAATCAGGCAGCATTTAAAAAAAATTCAAATCAAGATAGTTTGGTAAAACAATAAGTTACTCATACATCAGCCAATGGCCAGGTGCTTTATCCTCCAAAAACTAAACCAACCTTATAAACTAAACTAAGGCTACTTGGTGGTGTTTGGTTTTGCTAACATACATCTAGGTTTTTTGAATTTTCAATCAATTTAGAAGTAACAAATAACAATGATTAGGCCTACATAATAAACAGAACTTCAAACACTGGTATTATGGATGTATTAAAAAGGAAGGACTGACTAGGCTGTAAAATTATCGAACTAAGATTTTCGTTGATGACTATGAAGTTGCTTTCATTCCGTCATGATTGGCCGGTAAAGAAAGCTGAGGATCTCTAAACTCAACTCTATGGCCCCACGCACCCATTCCCACAGGTATTCTTTTACATTTCTTAGCAGTACAGTAGAAACTCTTATCCGGCTACCGGTATAACATACACAAGTAAAGAGAAGAAATGTCTTTATTACCTTGCAAGTATATGGACATGTTGACTTTTTATGGTGTTTATCTTTTAATCTAGAATGTAGGCATTGTTTTTAGAAGTCCTGCAAATTCTTGCATTTGCAGAGATTGGTCCACAGAGTTGAGCTGGCTCAGAACATCATAAAGCTTTGTCTATTGTCTATCAAAACAAAACGCAGAGAGAGATAATAGTTGTCCACCAGTGACCAACGTTGCGCCAAATATCTATTCTCTAAACCTATTGGTATCCTATCAAAATTAAGAGACTGCGCACACCAGTATTCCAACCAAACAACACAAAACAGCGTGCTTTTCTTATGCACGTAATCCGTGTACGCTTGAAAATAAGTTGGCAACACTTAAAGATATTACGACTACGATCAGCTGGTGAAGAGTTTCACATTTCGTTCAATTTTTGGATTTAACCGAACCTAAAAAAGTGTTGTACAGTGTTTGAAAGACTAATTATTTATATGATTTATAGTAACTGTAGGAAAAATATAATGTGTAACACGTGTGCAAACTGCCTTTGCTGCACTCGAGAAACTTTCCACTCGCCTACGGCTCAAGTGCGTTAACATTTCTCTCAATGTATCAAAGTGCCACTTTGCCCACACAAAAACTATTCTACATAGTTGCCAAACAAATTGACACACTTATCACAGCGGTGGACGAGTTTTAAATTCTATTGTGATGGTCTGCAGCCTGTGAGCTCATCTACCCAGTGACTACGCTCCTCCACGTCAGCAAAGCCATATGCTGCTAACCAAGTCTTCATTTTTGGAAACTAGTGAAAGACACTCAGAGCAAGGTGTGGTCTGAATCAATAGTTGAGGGAACATCTTCCATTTCAACGAATGAAGCAGATTTTGAATAGATTTATCGTGTGAATTAGAGCATTGTCATGCAAAAACAAAACTTTGGCATCAACCTTGTTTGGTGATATTAAAACTGAATGCACCATCCCCGGAGAGATCTTTAATCTACAACCGGTATGTAATTTCCATACACTTTGCAGACTTGACGATATATTTCTATAGGTTTAAAGTTTGTGGCCAACAAAATCGTATTACAGACCACAAATCTTTACTAGCTGGATTTTCAATTGCAGCAGACTTTATAAACTTTAATGTTGATTGAGGCAACGAGCAACACAACATTTTTTTGCTGTGAGAGCTGGGCTATCATTGACAAGACGAACATGTGCAATCAACGAATGCACACCTCGTCAAACGGGATCGTTGTTTACTTTCTGAATAGGCCTAGCCCTTGTATTTGCAATATAATCAAGCTATGAATATACCTTCTGTTGCTAATGGTAAGCAGGAATAATACCGAGCATCTAAGTGAAGATATATGTATCATGGGACCTTCCAGGACAGGTGGTTTGAGTAAACAACTAAACATTTACATTGCCTAGGCCTATTACTAACTGTTAGCTTTTAGTCAACCAACTGAGCGCCAATCAAAAAAGTCTTTTTCTATTGGTGCATGGATGTAGAACTGCTTAAACCAGACAAATTTAAAATACCAGGTTATCACAACTTTTTGGCATTTGAAGAGCTGCAGAATAACCCTTTCCACAGCCTGAAAATTGTAAATGTGTAAACTGACGATCGCTGATGACTCGGAAACAGAGAGTGAGTCTATTAAAAACAACAATCCAGTATACAGATGTGTCAATATAGAGTGGACGCTCACATATATCCATTTAATTGATAGATTTATGAGCTGTGGTCTCTTAAGTTGCTATGCACCTCCACTTGAAAGAACTTTGAACTCCTGGTAATTCAACAGGTGAAATATAGGCCTAACGTAAAGATTAAAAACCTTTCCAACAGCTTTATGGCATAATTTCTTACCATTTGGTGTGACTGACTGTGTCGAAGATTGGACCGTGACATTGGTAGGGGTGGAGGGGGAAGGCAAGGTCTTGGTCACCAAAGGTTTGTTCATTTTGGGCTTCACGTCTTTGTGGTCCTTCCGAGCCGCATCCGTGAAAAACGGCAGAATGTAGCTCAGTGGCATGCATTGTGGTTGCTGTTGCTCTTTTTGTTCTACAACTAGAGGATCGTAATCTGAAACCATTCAATTGAAACATTACCCGTAACTTAGCCACATTTGTTGATAATACTACGTGATCAACCGATTATTATAGAATTAAATTAGCTCATAATATCTGTGTCTAAAATATTCATGAAAAATTAGCAAAAAGAACACAGTTCTCATGTATACATATAAGATTCACGTATAACATTTAAGATTCTGCTAATCATAGATGTAAAATGTCGACAAAACTGTAATAAACTATACTGACAGGGCTGCAGACAGTTGGATGGCTCAAATTCTTAACCACATTATCAGTTTGGAGGGGGCTGAAACACTTTCCATCCAGATCATTGACGTTTCAGTCAAGATTACCTAATACATGTATTCTGTGAGGGTGGTTTTAAGTTAGTTTATGCTTAACATGGAGATTACAAATTAAAGATATGCGTTTGTCAAGAGTCTTATATATATAAATGCATGCCTGCAGCTAGTTTGAGGTGGTAATCTCAGAATAATTTATAGACATGAGAGATTTTTTTTTTAATTTATTCACGACCTGACTATTGAGATAGGCCTACAGGAACAAGTAGAGGTACATGAGAGCTTGAAGATGCAGTGACATTGTTCCCAAGACGATTTACAATGCCCGGACAAAATTCAAGTTAGCATTACAATGTACCTAACGATGTGTTCCCTGCTTTTACACAACGGTAAAGTTTTTCAACTGAATGAAATATAAAGATGTATTATGTCGGCCACCAGTTGAACAAGCTATTTTAATTAGATTACTTAGTAGAAGTTTAACATATTATGTTTTTAAAGAGTAAGAGTTTTCTGAGATGTTGTTGTGTGTTTTTATCAATTTGTTGCTAGCCTAGTGGTTAGCATCTCAGACATCGGTGCGGGAGGGACGGCTTCAATTCCCGGCACATTCACTAAACATTTATTCTCTTGTGAAATGCCTCTTCTGGCGTACGAAAAAAAGAGATCAGGTAACACTAAAGTTTGATGTGAAGATAAGTTATTTAGATGTAAATTACAATTAACGGCAAAAGTAAGAACAGGACCAAAACCAGGGGGACAATAGTAAAGGGTTTTAAAAAAGGTGGTATTCTCCATACTGACACAAATCTTAGTAAGTTTACGTCTAGACGGAAACAATGTGTGCTACACTATAGGTATATATTGCGCTCACCAGAAGATAAAAATATTCCTCTATCTTTCTTATAAAAAAAAACCTGTCATGGGCCTTTGGTAAATATATTTGTATGACTTTCCTCGTTTTGTTATAAACTGAACGATACCAGATAAGTCATACTTTCGTCCGCCAAATACCCTCCAAGTACGCCAAGGTCAGGTCGTTGACCGGAGCGCGTGCATCACCTGTCACCACGCCTATATCTGGATCAGTATCCTGAGTTATGACTCATTTGGTATTGTTTGATTCATAGCGAAACGAGGAATGTCTTACCAACATATTTATGTTAACCTAACCTAACATAACCGCCGCAGCGCGATGCATACCTACTGGGAGGAGTACATCTGGCAGCTAGCGGCAGTGACACATTCAACTCAATCCTCGCCGACATCGCTGCCTTCTGGGAGGCAGAACTCAAAGGCCGCTAATCGTAATCGTAATCATATAAAATTTGGACAGTAAGTCAATTAAAATATGTTCTTTTCAATTGTGTAGTTATTTTTGGTCACCCTTAAAATAAATCCCTCTAAAATAAATGGCCTCCGGATGATACCAAAGTACCAAAAACACTACTAGTGGGTGATGTCTACAAAAACCTATCCCAAAACGACATTTCATTTTTATGTTCCAATAACTCTCATCTAAAAAAGTCACACGCTCCTTAACAGAAAGCTATTCTATGTAGGTAGGGTAGCATTTCAGAAAAGTAAAACTGAAGTTAGGCTTTTACAGGATATAAGTTAAACCCAAAGCTCTAGGAATGTTAAACATTCAATAACTTTAGTTAATTCCTAACCCCCCCCCCCCCTAACCCCTTTAAGTGTGCAATTTGTTATTTTAATTTGTAGAAAGTTAATGATCACAGAGTAAATTGATCTTTAAGTTAGTTTTGATGAGCTAAAAGTACCAACTAAGTTAATTTTAGTGAACCTACTACTGGTTTTTATCGCTTCAGTAACTTAGACTAAAAATTCATTTTTGCAGTACCGAAACAGCGTTTTGACACAATTTTGAAACAACCTTGTCGTCTGCAGTTCCAAATGGTTAGAGTGTAGACTTAAGTTAATACTTTTTAGATCTTATAAATCTGGCAATGTACACGGGTCTACAACTGAATGAGGTGATAGGCATATTATAAAAAGAGTTCTCGAGTCAAAGCCCGTGGCGGCGATAGTGGGCCTGCGGTGCGGGAGGGGGGCCTGCGAGCTAGGGGGGCCCATGAGCCTTGACCGGGATTTTTCGGGAAATTTTACCGGGACGCTGGCCCGCAGTTGTGTGACAGGCTCAGCCACACTTGCCCCCTATCAAAACAATATTTATATGAGAATTACCATATGTTTTTTAAGACGAAAATTTGTTAAACCCAGTAAGAGCACTAGGACAAGTACTGTAGTTTACAGCAGCTTAACTGACACTACTGTATTATTTGGCCGATTGATATAAATTCTCTACCAACCTTAGTAAAAGAATTGTCATCGGTAATGCAGGTTGCATCAACTGTTCTCGTGGACTGTGTGAAGGCGCTGTATATAATAGGGCCGAATTTAGAACCAATGTGGCCCCGGGCCTAGGAGGATAAAACATTAATGTTAATCCTCCTAGCCCCCTAGCGGGTCACTATATGCAGATTCAAATAAATGAACATTTTTTACGATCAGATCGGCGAATTAATCTAAGTGGCTAGAGCACTAGCTAATAAATAATTGTATTCATTCATTGATGCTAAAGAAGGATTCTCATTTAACCCTCCAAGTGTCCATAGTTTAGGCCTTAATGTCCGCCTATTTTTGACGCATTTGCAAGGTTTTATTAAAATGGATCTGAGAAGCTTAAAACAATGTTAATTCTACTGTTCTATATACCATTTTGTTTGTAAAATCATGGGCTTCAATATTATACATAAAACATAAGGAACATTTGTTTCAAAAAAATTTTTTAGGTAAAAAAAAATATTTTTGAAAATTTTCAAAAAAAAAAAATAAGTTCGCGCTCAATGAAATTGTATAAATTATAGGCCTATAAATATTTGAAAATAGCCACTTTGTTCTAAATTTTATGAGGATTACAAATATATAATAATATAAGGAAGTAGATTTGCAAATAAATAAGTTATGGGCAAAAAACAGATTTCAGTACATAGCGTTTAGCTAAGAATGCATAGCCTAACCATAGCTAGGAATCTGGCTGATAATTTACATCAATATCACTACATCTACTTCTTCAGGATCATCAACCAGCCCTTCAAAATCACTTAAATCTTCTTATAATGCACCACGTATATCACTACTTTTGATTTTTAACACTAAAACAATGATAAACGTAATAAAACACATCAGTCATCGGTCCGAGGGTAACCTAGCTGCTTACAAATACGCACGTCAGCTGTCTGCTACAATTACGATCGGCTCGGAGAACATAAAGCGCTTAGAGACAGACCTCTGGAGAAAGCGTAGAATATAACGAAAAGAACGATACCTAACTCGATCCAGTTCAATCCGATTCAGTCAGTCATAGAGCCTTCGCCGTAAACGATGTTCGTGCGTCGAAAAATCGACGCGTGACACTACACAAAGTGTGTCGCGCGTCAATTTTTCGACGAGTGACGCTCGGAGGGTTAATTTCATTTTTTACTATTAGGAGGCTGCACTCTAGATTTGTTACTTTGCACTTTAAATTTATTTACTTCGAGTCAGGTAAAAAATGTTACTTACCTATAGGCCTCGGGCCAAATCCGATCGGTTCAATATTGGTTTGCTTTGGAAACTGTTGATTTTTATATAATGTCGATTTTCGATCCGAGCAGTGCCTGTCTGGCCTACAAGCTTGAGAGATCAATTACATTGTCAGAAAATCAATCTTGAGCCTATTTTCTCAGTTCTCAATACAATAATGCCCGATTGAAAATAAAAGCCTTATGTCAGCAAGGCTTACGCTCACGAAATTGAAAGATTAGGCCTACGTTTTTGCCACGATCAAGGATATCAAAGAGAACATTTCAACACAGGTGACGATGACAATGTTTCCATGGCCGCAGGAGACGTTCAATATTTTGCCGTGATTGCCGGATTGCAGAAGACGTTATTGACGTTTCTTTTCCTGCGAGCGATATACGGTATTTAGGATTTTGCCACGACTGTGCAAAATGACTTCCCCGTCACAACGAATCGCGGGAGATATTAGGGATTGGGCCGTGAATGCGGGAGACAATGATGTTGTTATCTGATGATGTCATAGGTTCGGTTGAAATCACGGTAGACTATGATAATGTTTCTTCCAAGGAAGTATTCACGATTTTGCCGCGATCATTGAAGACGATGATGACGCCTCAGTGCCTCGGGAGATACCGTGCCAAGCTAAAGTGCAAGTTTAGGCGGTAATACATATGAAAATGTTTTTAGGATTATTGAGAGAGGGGGCCCGGCGAACAAACTTGTGAGGGGGAGGGGGGCGAGCTCCTATCGCCACCACTGGTCAAAGCAAGACTTGACACTAAGAAAAATATGTGTATGTAAGACAAGTTAACCGGGCTTACGTTTAAGTGGTTTATACTTAGGCCTACCTTATCTAAACAGAAAACTACATCCACCTAAAAATTAACATTGCCCTTCCCCTATGTAAGTTATAGTAGGCTACCTACCCTAAGGCAATTTTAAAATTAAGGGTGCGCTCTACCCCTGACGTGCAACCGAATGCAAGGGTTTGCAAGATTATGCCTACTGTTTTCACCTGCTAAGTTACATTGAAGGTAGAATTAAAGTTAAGGCCTCATATTAAAGAAGATGAAATTTTCTATAGTTCTGCGTTTCATTATTTCATTAATTTTTAATACACACCTTATAAACTTGATTTGTAGGACAAGAAAAAAAGGTCTTTTCAACTAGCCCTAACTTATGAAAACACTTTAGGGCCTATTTGAAAATTTGAAATAGCCTACGCAGAACTTATAACTTAGATTGGTATTTGCACTAGGCTACTAAGTATAAGCCGTTTATAGTGGGTAGCTATCATTATTGGTAAATTCGAAAACAGTAATCTTGGAAACCTCTGCAAGCGCTGCTTGCGGCACTGTCCAATGGTGCAACATGGCCCGAGCTGAGGTAGAGCGCACCCTTAAGATGATTCTGGGACTTTTTTTTCTTTGGCTTTTAAATTATGATAACACTTTTTCGTATTTTAACCAAAATCATGTCATAGGGCCAAACAAAAATTTAGGAAAAACCAAATACAAGCAAGACCACAACTTAAGAGCTGACTGGCAAATTATTAATGCACATCATTCTTTAGAAATGTTGTTCTAAAATGGACTGTGTGTATTTTAAATAACCTTAAAATGGATTTCATTGAAAACTTTTCGTTTCTCTGAGAACTAGGGTTGGCTCCAAATTCGATGGTAAGCCTAGACCTTGACCTAACCTAACTTAGGTCTATCTCTTGGATGGAAAGGGTTACAAAGAGTTCTAAAAGTATATTATTGCTGTTACTAATTTTTATATTACCAATGTGGTTATCTTCTATATGCCATATTAGCTCTCCTAAACTTTGAAATGTAAGTCCACATCCATTAAATTTACAAATATTAACCATGAACACGGCCATTACACAGTTAAACAGCTGATTCCATTTCTCGTGAGTATGAGCTGTCCTGCACTTTAGTCAATTACAAACCAACACATTTAATTTAACACAATAAATTCAATGAAAAATCATACGTAGAAATGTTGAAACAAAATTGACTAATGGGCTGCATGTAAATTTATATTTATCAGTGTGGCAAACATTTCAAAATGTAATAAGTCACAAAATAAAGTCTTGATTTGACTTTACCCTGGAACTTAAATTTAGGAGATCAATAGAAGTAGGAGGGGCCACAACCTAGTAACTTCCAACACCAACTCAACGGAATCCAACGGCTAGCTTCTTTCTGATTGGCTGAGCTACGTTGATTCCGTTGAAGTGTGGAACTCTGGGTAGGAAGTTAACTATTTCGACAACGTCTAACCTTCCTCTACCTCCTCTCATCTGTTCTTTGGTGATTTCGCTGCAGCAGAGGAAGTAAGTGAACTTTATCTCTTTGAATCCTTGGTATTTGTAATTACATTGACTTTAATTGTTTAGAATAGTAAGCCGTTAACCGCGGTCAATCGTTTCTTTATTTAATTATCGGGGTTTTACCATAGAATTAATATTAGAAGTAACAACAGAGTTCTCTTCGTCTGCTAGCGATTTTCGAGACGGCCATTTTTCATGTAGGTCAACCGGTAAGACAATCCGGTAAAGGCAAATTTAACTCTAAATTTAGAAGGTGCAACGCTTTTAGTGATTGAGTGATAAGCGAACATCACTCTTCAGTTGTCTCATTCGTTCCGGGACGGAGGTAGCAATACATTCCATTTTCGTTGTGAGTAGCTTTAACTCTTACATACTAGGCCTAACTTGCTCTTGTAATTCATTTAGGTCATAAGCTTAGTATTATCTTAGGACACACTTCTTGATCTAATCGCAAGTTACTTTTGTTTTAGGACTCAAATCCTAAACCTCCAACATGTACTCCATTGCAAAAATCATTGCCCCTGCTGCCAGGACTGCTGTAAGTAGCCTACTTATGCCTATTACTAACTTAGTATTAGTTTAATTGTATTTTTACAATTTTATTTATTCAGCACAGCCGAAAATTTTACACATTGCTAGTAAGTTATTCACCCTTAACTTGTGTCTAAGGGGAAAGCCCTTCAAATCACTTGCTACTGTTTGAGAGGGGCCTTTGTAAAACCTGTCTCAGATCTCTATTTTGTCCTGATCAGATCCAAGTTATTGCACTCTATTTAAACAACCTTATGCCTATATTCTTTTCTTGCATCCTTGTCGAATTGAAGATAACCAAGGCCTAAGTTAGTTAATTATTGGGATTCTCACTTTGGTCCCAGTCAAGGTCAATTGTGGGTCACATAATAACCTATGCACATTTGAATAGTTTGTACTCATTATATTTTTAATTATTGTTCCCAATTGATTGGGAAATCAATTTTCTAAGCTTCCAATAGACTTCAAATAACTTAGACCTATTTTTTTCTAACCTCCTTTTCCTTAAGTTATTTCACTTTTCACTGGCTGGGTTTGACCTGATTGAGTTTAGGCCTACTAACAACAATATGGCCGAGTAACATAGTTATCAATGATTCTGAGCTGAATTTTCACGAAGCTTAAAAAGTAATAAATTAGGCCTGAGTTATTTAAGTTAAGTTATTATGAAGTTCCAGCATCATTTGGTGGCGACAGTGATCTGACTGGCAAAGAATATAACTAAGTAATGTAAATGACTCAAGCCCTAATCTGTCCCCTTTGTAACATTTAGGACATTAACTTATGCCTCATATTAATTACTGATGGTAAGCTTAATAATGTCTAATTTAAGTTAACTGCTCTGGAAACTAAAATTAATCATTTCATTCCTAATCTTTTAGGAAATTAACCTTAAGGCCTATTTTGAGGTTAAGCTAACCCAATGTAAATAGGTTGGTTAAGTGTGTATTTTTTCAGTAGGCTATGTTATTCCCAACTTAAGTCAAATCAAATAAAAAAATCAGATTTGAAAAAGTCATCAATCGGATAATATTCTATTAGGCCTACGCTAACTTAATTCATGAATTATAACTTTTAATTTCAGTACTGTATTTGCATTGTTCTTAAGCTTAACTTTTGGCCTACCGTACTTAAGGTAGATTTAAATGTTTAAATTGTATTGGCCTAAGTACAAGTAAATTAGTCTACCTGTTTGTAGAACTTTGTCATTTATATTTTGCTTAAGTTACACAGGAAGTTATAAGTTTAAACAGCTTGGCCTATTCCTCAATAAATCTCGCGAGTTGCAATTGATGAGAGGAATTAGCCCAGGTGCTATTAGTTTGGTGGTCAAGGTGACTTTAGGTTGTGTACAGGTTAGGTCAACATAAAACACATAAAGTTCAACGGATTTCGTCAATTGTTAAGGTTCTCCTACTTTCTATTCCGGGTTTAACTTAACTTATTTAATTTTTGATTGTCTATTCTTCACATAACTTAAGTTAGGCCTAAGTTAATTATCCACTGGTCACCATCATAATGCAATACATATAGGCTTGAACGTAAGTAAGTTCACACACTTTGGTTGCATATTTTCACCAATTTTTTAAACACATGTTAGATATTAATAAATGTCATGCATGTACAGTAACGAAGTCTAGTTTATCTAGTTGAGCCAAATTTATAATAACAGCTGTAAGCCGCAATAACAATACAAGGCGCTGGCGTATTACAGCTGTTTTTACACACCTCATTGATGTTTAGATTTTAATTGTACCCTAATGATTTCTTTAATTTACTGTTTACTTTCTTGTTTAGGCCTAACTTACCTAAGCTCAAAACTCAGTTATGTTATGTTTCACGGCTTTAACTTACTTCTCTTCTCTTTTGTTCACTTTCTTGGAAAAACAATCTAGACTACGTAACCACCCATGGTTTGAACACGTAAATTAAGTTACAGACATAATGGGGGGAAGCTAGATGACGCTGTCAAGATTCTAAGGACATAAACCATGTAGCAATACACTTGTCAACTCGTAATTTCCCTTCACCTAGGTATAAAATATACTGTCCCATTGACTTGGATACTGTAATACATCTAATCTATAAGATATAAATAAGCTATCGTAAATTCTCATCCTAATAAGAATTAAATCAAATTTGAATTTCTCCTTAAGTAGTTTTTTGTTCGGTGACTATTGATTAAATGTGCCTTTGTAGTCAACATTAGGCACTAAAGCTAATTAGGTTGTCATTTCAGTTTGGATTGGCTGAAAAGTTTGCTACTTGCTTGCCTCTACCACAGTTATTTTAAAACTGACTTTTTATATGGCCTACCTACTTGAACTCATTTTGGTTAAGTATCCTCTATTAACTCAGCAGCTCAAAGTTATTTCAAATGTTAATAAAAGGAAAAGAACCTTTTTCTCCTTGGAGACGTTAAGGTATGCGTTATGGTCCATTTTGCGGCAAATTTAGATCGTGTTACATTGTCAACAATTTATATCCCATTATCAGTACAGCACAGGTAACTTAAGTTAAATTCTTAGACCTAACTAATTTAGATGTTAATTTAAGGTAGGCCTAGCCTAGGATCTTAACTCGAAGCTGTTTGCCAATTTAAAGTAGCCTATTGAAAAGAATTAAAGTGCTCCTATTTAAACTCAAGTTGATTAGACTTCTTTAAAACCCCTATTGCATTCCTAACATTCTATTTTATTTAAGTTATTATCATTGGTAAATTGATGTACACTCTCAAACTTTGAAATGTTGTGGCTCTTAAAGTTGTAACAGGGTTCTTGTGTGGCTGTGAAAGCCTGAAATTTTCATAGTGTGCACTGGCAGTCCTTGGATTTAGCTCTCTGTCAGGGAATTATATATTTTATCTTGACACTGTCCTTAAATGTTTCATTTTACAGTTTTTATTTCTCTTTTTTTCTGTAGTATGCCACGTATAAGTATATATTCACTTAATTTATCAAACCTTTGTCCTCAATCTAGTTTATTGGTGGTTGAGTGAAACAAAATTAAAGGACGTTGTTCCAACAATTAAGTTACCTACCAATACCATACAATATTGAGGCTGTATTCCTTATGAGTCTTAAAAAAAATGTAATGGATAAAATGCTGAGTTTTTATTTCTGTGTGGTGGAAAAATAAGTTATGAGTTTACTTGTAATACAACGCAACAGTTCATTTAACTTAAATACTGAAATTTTTTCCTAACTAGTTTTAGCATTTTTATAAAAGAGCGTCTGGTAGGTATATACACGGTGAATCGGACCTGTGCACATACTTTAACCCTCCGAGTGTTAAGCGTCCCCCGCCGTGGTGTTATGCGTCGCTTTTGCGACACACAAACATCGTTTACGGCGAAGGCTCTGGGACTGACTGAATCAGATTGAACTGGATCGAGATTGGAATCGTTGTTTTCAGCAGATTCTAAGCTTTCTCCTGATGTCTGTTTCTAGACGCTTTTCATTTTAGTTCCAAAAATATTGTAGCAGTTAGCTGACGTGCATATTTGTAAACAACTTTGTTAACCTCACACCGATGACTGATGTGTTTTATTATGTTTATCATTGTTTTAGTGTTGAAAATAAAAAGTAGTGATATACGTGGTGCATTATAAGAAGATTTAAGTGATTTTGAAGGGCTGGTGGATGATCCTGAAGAAGTAGGTAGTGATATTGATGTAAATTATCGGCCAGATTCCTAGCTATGGTTAGGCTATGCATTCTTAGCTAACGCTAAATGTACGAAATCTGTTTTTCACCCATAACTTATTTATTTGCAAATTTACTTCCTTATATTATTATATTTTTGTAATCCTTGTAATTTAGAACAAAGTGGCTATTTTAAAATATTTGTAGACTTATAAATTATACAAATTTATTGAGCGCAAACATAATTTTTTTTTTATTTATTTTAAAATTTTTTAGAAATGTTAACCCCACAAATATAGTAAAAAAAATTTGTTTGCAATGTTTTTACATTGAAGCCCATAATTTCCCAAACAAAATTATATATAAATCAGTATACTTTACATTGTTTTTAAGTTTCTAAGATACATTTTAATAAAACCGTGCAATTGCGCAATAAATGGGCGGACATTAATACCATGGACACTTGGAGGGTTAACTCACTGATCAGGTATATACATGTTTACCCACTTAGGGGTTTTGAAATTTTTGTGGAGGTCCGTCTCGGACCCAAACCACCCAGAAAATCCCAAAAAGTTACATTTTAAAATTACAACCCCCCCCCCCCCAAAACAACTCCCTTAATCCCCCTTTTTTTAGGAAAAAAACAGTTTTTTCTTTAAACGGATATAGCTTGAAAACGGTAAGAGCTTGCAAAGATTTGAAAGAATTTTCATTGTAGGCCTATGTTTTTAATTGTTTAAGTTACTTTTCTGACATATATTGTACATTTAATGATCCCAACCCTGAAAGAAAAAAAGCCTAACGTGAAATCTTGAAATTGTATCCTACAAAATGTTGTGCATGGGTGGTCTGATTCACCCTGTATATTGGATGTTTTGAGCCTCGAAACAAATTTAGACCTGAGCAAGAAAACCAGCTTTAAACTGTTATCTGGTTTGTGCATGTACTACAACTTGTTGGACAAGTATAGAACCACTGTCAGGGTGGTGTTAAGATAACTGGTGTGTGTGTGTGTGTGGTAAAGGACAGCAGATTGATTAAATGCTAAATTGTTTAATTTGTTGTTACCAACCTTCCGTGATTGGTGATTTACTAACAAAAGAGATTCTTTGGTTATTGTGCCAAAAACTTTTGTTTAAACGCCTACGATTTTCATTGCTCCAAATAATCTTAGTGTCCTAGAAAATCATTAAACTTTCCTGACTTGATTTATTTGTCTTGTAGAACTACATCCCAAAGAATGACTAATGGAGGGGCATGCGTTTGATATATCAGTTTGGCTTATAATTATCTTTCTCTGTAATCTTTGCCCACTCATTTTGCTGGGAGTGTTCTTTTTTGCACTGGACTATCAAATAAAAATGCCTTTTATCTGTGAGAATTTCTCAATATATAAGACTGCTGTTTGAAACAAGTAATACGACATGTCTATTACACTAAATGTACTATCTCCCACATCAAATTTTGGTATTTGTTCTACTGTGTTTCTATAGCTCCCCCATCCCTGATCTCTCTCCAAAAACCAACAGAGTTCTGTAATGTTTCCATGATTTGTTGTAATTTATGTTTAGATTGTGTTAAAGAAGACTTAATCACAGTTATACCTACTTAAGCCCATTGCATAACTCTTTCAGTTCTGAGGTTACAGGCAGCTGGGAGCTGACTATATTCTTCTTGGAACTATGATATTAAGAGGGTTCTACCCGGTCAATTCAAGATGGCGACTATACATGCTAATGTTTCTAAACACGCCTCTACGGTACAAGCTCTCAACACTCTAAAACTAATTAGTTTCCAATGACTAGATGCTTTTTGTGCTCTTAACATATCAGAGCTTGCAATGGATGGTGATAAGTAAATGTTTAACTATTAATTAGAAGCTAAAATAACATAAAATACTCATTTACGGATTTTCAAAATTATTTTGTACATAGTTACAATTACAAAGTTTCAGTTACACTCCATTTATGCCACCGGGTTCTTTTTTTTAGACCCATGTTTGCGTGGTAACATGTCGGCGGGTGGAACCCTCTTATGAGCCCACAAATCAAGGTTTTTTTTTTATCAGTTTTCAATAAAATGTTTTAGTCGAATATAAATATTTTATTACACTTCTAATACATAGGTACCCAATTGTTCAGTATGGTATTTTATAAGAGTTGTGATATGTTTCAGCTGGTCAACGGATCCAGAACAGCCTACATGAGGCCCCTCAGCAGCATCGTCTCACAGAGCAGCCAGTTGAGCCAACCACAGACACAGTCTGCCCCCTCCTCCACCGCTGTTAGTCTGGTATGTTAAACACTCTCAGTCGATCCTAGCTGAGACCATACTCTCCTTTCTGTGCTGCCACAAACTAAAGATCTCTGTTAAGCAGTTTTGTAGTGGAAATTGTTTGAAATAAAACAAGGCAGCTAAACAAAAGCCCCATATGCTCTCTACTCCTATGAGGCATGTGCATAAAAGCAGAATGTGCAACATGCCTAAAACGTTTCAAATGGTTAGAAAATCTCTAATAATAGTTCTATTAGGGTTATAGGATTTTCAGAAGTGGATGATATCCTGATGCGGAGGTTTTAATAGGTATTAGTCTCATACAGTGTCTCCCTTTCTTTCTTTTGAGTTCTACACATTTTCTCTTTGAGGAAAAATAGTTGCCCCATCATCTTAAATTATGCCCAAGTGTGTCAAACAAAAATAAAATGCTAATTTATAAAAGATTATTTATAATCTGCTTATAAGATGAGATAGTTTAGGTTATTAATTTCCCATCTATTCTACTTGTTACTAATTGCCGTGTTCTGTCATGTGTTATCTATGCCTGTTGAGATACATTACTGACTAATTTTTAATTTTTTTAGTTACCCCTTGTACGAAATTTCCAAACATCCGCCGTCTCCCGGGACATTGACTCGGCTGCCAAGTTCATCGGTGCTGGAGCCGCAACAGTAGGAGTCGCTGGCTCAGGTGGGTGAAGTTAACCTATCACGAGTGTTATTTTGGTTTTGGTTGGTGCTGTGTTTAAGTGTGTTTGTTAGTAGCCTATTTTTGTAACCAATGACCTAGGAAAGCACACCAAATTTTTTAACAATATCATGATTTTATAAGGTATAAATTGAAGAAAAAAATATACTCTGAGACTGGCTTGCATTTCTTGCAGAAGTGTAGGTCAATCTCCTTTAGCCTCATTGTGGAGTTGATATAGGAACATAATGATCTATTCCATCTCTATTCTTGAGTCTTTTCTTGCAGTATAAAATGTTGATCAATTAGGTTATAACAATCTAGGCCTATAGCCTATCTGCATTTATTCTTCACAATTTTTTTGCTTACATATTAGTAGACCTATTGCAATCAATAAAAAAAAAAACTGAGAGTAAGGCTAACTATCCACCATCATCATCATCGATGTAAAATAACCTTATGATGAACTTCTTACAGGGTGTCCAACTATTGAATAAAACGTTAATCTTCCATTGTAAAATTGTTTACCTTTACTTTTATGACCTAATTCATCACCAGTTTATAAAAATCACAGCTTGTTACAAAATTTTGTTATTTCTAAATTTTCTACCTAGTTATTTCCGTTCATTTCCATTATGTTCTTTTGAAAATATAAAACTTAGTACAAATTATCTTAACGTTTTATCGTTTTCATCTTCCCAATAATTTGTATAGCTAACATTTTGTAGCTTTGTTGCATGTTTGCTAATTATTTTTGTATTTTCAGGATTGGTGTTGCTTTGAGGGATTAATGTATTAGTTTTGCACGAAATCCCTCACCAAAAGGAGTTGCATGTGTGGAGCAAAGGGACTGTTCTGTCTTGTCTTAGCTTTTGCATTATGCACCTAATTTTGTGTAGCCTACTTTTATATTATAAAGGTTTCACCTTTTTTTTTATTCCTAGTAAAAAGTACATGAACAATTTTGAAACTTTTTCATTTGTTATTTCAAGCATTAAATCAATATGTATATGTCATACAGTATTGATTATCCAAAGCTAAGTCATACAAAATGTCAGTTTACTGAAAGGAAGAACAAAATAATAAATCTAATTAAATCATGCGTCAATCAAAAGTTTAGTAAACGACCGCTTCACAGGTTTTGCTTATGAGGCTTTTGTCCCCCATGGCATGTCATTTGTACTTATTTCTCAGTTGCATATGTGGGCCTTTGTAAGTTTCAGACTGACAAAACAAAATGTTTAGTGTTTCTGATAATTTGAAAATATGGTAGTAGTTACAGAAGATGCTATAACTCGGTATATGTAGTTAGGAATGTGACGATTCCTGACATTTAAAAAACCGCAAGGCTATCAAAATTTGCCTGTGCTTGGCAGTAAAGATAAGTAGGCCTAAAAGTATTGTATATAATTTGTCCAGTCTGAGCCCAATACCAGTTATCCAAACACCACATTTATTTTGGATAATCTACACACTTGACTGTATGTGCATAAAAAGACGTAAGAATAAGTGTATACAAAATGGGATGTCAGATTGATTACAGCAGAGAACATTTAATCTTATTTTGTACGTCTTTCTAAGTCAGTAAATTTTAAAGATTTAAATCTAGCACAAAAAAAGTTTTGAGGCTAACTGGGAAAACACTTGCCCATCTCTTGCTCACTTTGTTGTGTATTGTTTTTGCTATTGCACAAATGTGACTTACTTAGGTTTGATTTGTTGTAATTAGTGCACGTGACTAGTTAAAACATTTAAGATATAATTTGCCTGTTAAACGTAATGTACTCATTGGATCCTTGACTAAACTCTACATTATGTTACAGGAGCTGGTATCGGGACAGTTTTTGGCTCCCTGATTATCGGCTACGCCAGAAACCCATCTCTCAAACAACAACTGTTCTCTTACGCCATCTTGGGTTTCGCCCTTTCTGAGGCCATGGGTCTTTTCTGTCTTATGATGGCCTTTTTGCTACTGTTCGCATTCTAAATCACTGCATTTTAGTTATCACTGCCCGGCAGATTCGATCCTACCCTTGGAATAAACCCTAGGTTGACCGTAACCGTCTTTAGGTTTAGGGGTCACCTGATACGTTGCTACGGACTTCTTGGTAGAATGCTTGTGTTCCTCGAGGGAGTACATAATATACTACATAATATTGTTGATTTCGAAATTATTTAAAGCCCTCAGGGAGACAAGTTTCAGGTTTATTCCATCGTATAGGTTCGTGCGTAGAGATTCAATCCACCCGAATCTGGAGTTTTATCCAGTATTCTGGAAGGTACGGAAATTCATTAATCGGTTCTACACTAAATTTTTTTGTAAAAAAATATGTTAAACTATTGTTTGTTGTATTATAATTTTTCTGCATAGCGATAAGCGACTTGAGATTACCGACCTAAGCTATCATTGTTGTATTGTTATTTTTAAAATATACCATTGTGGAAACAATCGGATCATTGAGTAGTAAATTACCCCTTTTCTTTAAGGCAAATTAATTCAACTGTACAGTGTTAGAAATTAAAAACATAATAGTTGGAAAGCTGTGATCTTCTTTCCTTTATCAACCTTGTTAAAAATGTATCTTGGTATTCATAGTGTATTACTTTGCTTAAAGTGCTGATTTTATTTGAGCTTAGTATATCCAACATTGACTATATCAAATGTTTTCATTACTTAAAGAAACACAATATGAAATATTCTGTCACTTCTCTTGCCAAATATTTTAGTATAATTTCTTTCTTGGTAAGAATCAATGATTCTCTGGACAACAATAAAAAATAATTCTTCAACTTTGGCAGTTTTGCTTTAGTAGTGGGAATCTGAAAGCTGTCTAAATAGCAAGTTAATATTGCTCAAATTAAATATTGTTTTGACAATGTAAGAATGCCCATTCACATTTGGTCAAATGTTGAGCATTGCTGACGCAACTGTAAATATGAAATGCTAAAAATAATTACTTAAATCATTTTAAGTCAGCTTAAGAGCTAAATATCTTTTTGTACAACTTGCTTTGAAGATTTTGCACTGTTCTCAATCGAAACCTCGCAATGCATACATATTTCCAAGTAAAATAACAAAGATATGTGTGGCAGTATGGATATATATATATATGCATTGTTATAGATGCTAATGTTAATTAATATATTGTTAAATCTAGCAAAGTTCTAAGAGAATGTGCATTGTTCTCATTATTAAACTACAAACAAGTAAAAATGACATTGTGGATCAAGTTGACCAAGGTATACTGGTCATGAGCTCTAAGTTCATTAGGTATATTTATTCCAATAATGCTCTAGAAGAAGAAGTCCTACAGTCAGGAAGAAAGGAATCAAAGACACTTAAGTAATTGATTTGTATTCATTCACACTTACCAGCCAGAAAAGTCATAATCTACTTTATAACTGGTGATAAAATATCATTTAAACTTTCCACAACCAACATTGGTGATATCGTGCCTCTGCCCTAGATCGAGTGGTGCAACCTTGTCATGTGTAAGAACAGGAAAAGAATGTAACGTAGAGAGGACCAGGACACAATTTTGAGGATTTTTGTGAGGGTTGGTAGACTAGACTTACCAGAAGTTCACTCCTGCATGAGAAACGCCAAGTTATAATATTTTACTGTAACTTGGGGGACTAGAGATAAATTGTACATGGTGAATCATACCACCCGTGAACAACGGTTTGGCCCAACAAGCGTTAAGATTAAGAATGACCTTTTATTATTGAAAATCCGCCATTTAAAACTTAAAGGGGGTTACGACAAGTTTTAAAATGTAACCAAGGCACTTTTCTTTCAATGTTTGGATCATTTAAAGGTACAAATTTCTGTCCAAAAAGTAATTAAAAAAATTAAAAACACTTCAAATATCCAAGACATTTCACAACAAAATTTTGAAGGTGAAGTGCGATTTTCAAAATAAGTTGAGTGCCTTGTTGAAAATTGAATTCCTGACCATGAAAATTCTTTCCAATCTTTGGTAGCTCTTATAGTTTTCAAGCTATGGCCTTTTTAAACAAAACTTGTTTTTATCAAAATGGGGGGATTTAAGAGAATTTTTTTTGGGGGGGCTTGTAATTTGAGAATGTAACTTTTGGATTTTCTGGGTGGTTTGGGACCAAGACAGATCATCTCAAAAATTTCAGATCTCTAGCTATTCTAGAAGTGGGTTTAAGCAAACATTTGTATACCTGATCAGTGAGTTACACAAGTGGCTGTATCCCGTTAATGTGCACGGGTGGATTCACCCAGTATTACTTAAAAGGATTGTCCTATGACAACTATTGTCCACCAAACTTCATTTTTTAAAACTTCAGATTATTCAGTTTAATATCAAATACTTAAAAACGGAAAGTTTTTAAATCATCCTTATTATTTTTACTAGTGATGTGTCAAAACTGAATCTCAAATATCAAAACTTAGGAAAAGTTTCAGTGTCGATGAAGATTTTAGCAGTTTTATTTTTTAAACTGCTGACATTTATTTGTGCCATTGTTATTGTTTTTAACACTGTTTCCCAAACAAGCTGGTAGCAACAGAACAAATATCACCATTAAGTAATGAAACAAGTAAATTTTATTGTGAACTTCAAAAGGTGTCTTAAATACTATAACCGGTACAATTCAGTTTCACATTAATATTTACTAAACACAAAGAAATATTGACCACTAAATGTTCTAATTAATTAATCTAATATTCATGTTTATGTTGGTGTTAGAAGTTTAATTTATTTTTCCTACAGTTACCATAAAACAAATAAATTGGTAAAAAAGTGACATATTTTTACACAGAAGTGAAATTTTAATGTTACATTTAATGATACAACAGTACAACAGCTGACCAGCTGATTTACAGCCAGTGTTGCCAACTATTTCGCGTGCATACTATTTCATGCGCATACTATTTCGTGCCTTCACGTTGCAAAAGTGCATACTATTTCGTGCCTTCACGTTGCAAATCTGGAGTGAGTGAGACAATGTTAACATTCAAATCAATAGTTATTTGTGCAACTAGTGAGAAAAGTGAGCAATTGACTCACTCGAGAGAAATCCTTACTCACGAGCCGTAGGCGAGTGAGGAATGGTTTCTCGAGTGAGGCAATTGTACTTTGAACTCGAGTTGCACATTATACTTTTCCTACAGTTACCATAAAACAAATAAATTTGTGAAGAAACGTAACCTATTTTTACACAAAAGTGAACTTTTAATATAACATTTAATGTGAAGTGACAAATACAACAGTACAACAGCTGACCAGCTGATTTACAGCCAGTGTTGCCAACGTATTTCGCGCGCATACGACGGTGCCTGCAGGTTACGCGCTCACTATTTCGTGCCTTCACGTTGCAAATCTGGAGTGAGACAAAGTAATTAAGAGTGAGACAATGTTAACATTGTCTCACTGATGAGCGAATTGGCCACTTTGCTTTCTCAAATCAGTGAGAGAACATGTACATTGTTAGGTAACTGTAGGAAAATTATCTTTATTCACTTTATACATTTTATATACATGAATAGTGTCAAAGCATATAACATTAGTTATACAACTTAATCTAAATGACTTAACCATAAATTTGACAATTATTTTAGAGTGGACAGCTAATTCATTTTTGATTTATAAACTCATCTATACTATAGGGAGCCAGATTAATTAAGATTGATTTTAGCTTCTTCAAAAAATTGGGTTTGTTTTGATCTTTTTTTAGTAAGGCAGGCAAACTTTTAATGAAAAAATTGCCAATATATGAAGGCTTCATTTTTGAAATTTTCAGACGATGATGACTTTTTACAGTAAGATTTTTCCACCTTGTATTGTATTTATGGGATAGTTCAGTGTTTTTATCTTTATAAACATGCCGAATAGTTTTAAAAATATACAATTTCATTTCTTTAAAGTACTTTTTCACCGACTTCTTATCCTTAAATTTTTCAATAACTCTAATGGCCTGTTTTTGCAGTTTTAAACCTTTTTCAAATTTTTTTGTGCTGTCACACCATAAATTTTGATTCTAGCCAATATGACATTCTATAAGCGAGTGGTATATCAATTTTAACACAGCTGTATCACAGAGATATTAGCCATTGATCTCAAAACAAACAAGCCTGAATTAATTTTACCAACCAAATATGTAATATGTTCATTCCAATTTAGATGTTCATCAATTATCAAGCCTAAAAATTTAGTTGATTTCACTTGATTGATCAGGTTATTATTTAGAGTAATTTTAGGGGGTTGATCTTTCTTTATCTTATTTGTATGAAAGAGAACAAAATTTGTCTTGTTTGTATTTAGTGTTAAATTGTTGTTTGTTAAGAATTGTTCAATATTTTTGAGCTCCAATTCAGTAGAATTTTTAATATCAGTAATTGAACTACCCGAAGTTTTAAGATTTATATCATCAGCATATATACTTAATATACTGGCTGACTCAGTCAATTCATTTGGGAGGTTTTTAATGTAGCATATAAATAAAATAGGGCCCAAAATAGAACCCTGAGGGACCCCTAGATGCATCTGTAGTAAATCTGATTTTGTCTTCTATATCCAATTGTTTTTTGATAAATAAGAGAGTTCTACAAATTTACCATTTATGTGCAACACCCTTAATGCCCATTATCTTAAGCTAGTTTAGCAATACCATATGATCTACATTGTCAAAGGCCTTCGACATGTCCATAAATGTTCCAGCAGTATTTGAGCCTTTATCAACAGAATCTATTATGGCTTCAATGAGACTAATTGCTGCCGTAACTGTTGATCTTCCAGCCCAGAAACCATGCTGTTCATTATCAATTTGCTCTGATCTGCTTAAAAATTCTATCAATCTGTTGTAAACTGCTTTTTCATATACTTTTGAAATTGTGGGAAGAACTGATACTGGTCGGTAATTAGAAACGTCATTTTTAGAATTCTTTTTATTCTCATTGTCTCACTGATGAGCGAATTGGCAACTTTGCTTTCTCAAATCAGTGAGAGAACATGTACATTGTTAGGTAACTGTAGGAAAAATATAATGTGCAAAGTGCAATTGCCTCACTCGAGAAACCATTCAAGATTCAAAGAGACTTTATTCACACAGTACAAATTTTCGTACATGAATAGTGTCTATTGTTACTTACTACCTAAATTAGCAATAAGAAACATTAAAACAAAATACTATAGGCTACATTATTTTAAATTTAAATAACTATAATCTTCTATTTTGTAAGGTGCAAGGTCAAGTAAGAATGCCTTCAGTTTTTTCATAAATTTAGATTTGTCTTTTTCGTTTTTTTTTTAAATAGGAAGTTTTCTAAAAAAATAGTTTCCAATATAAGAAGGTTTATTTTTAAAAAGTTCCAGTCTTGGTTTTTCTTTAGCTAAATAATTTTTACCCCTTGTATTATAATTATGCACAGGCAATTCTTGAGTCTCAGCAATATTTAAAAGATATTTAATTGTTTCAAAAATATATAAGGCGTGAACTGTAAAAATGCCCATCCCTTTAAAATAAGATTTGACGGACTGGTTATATTTTAATTTATGTATTATCCTGATTGCTTTTTTTGTATTTTCAAAATCTTTTTGCTTTTTTTTGTATTTTCAAAATCTTTTTAAATTCTTTTTCTTTGTCCCACCATAAACACTAATTCCATAGTTAATATGTGATTCAATATGAGCATGATATATCATTTTAAGGACTGATCCTTCACAGAGATATGACATTGTTCTTAGGACGAATATACCAGAATTTAGTTTTTTTATTAAATACTCAACATGTTTATTCCAGCTTAAATCCTCATCTATTATCACACCCAATAGTTTTGAGGTTTTAACTTGAGCAATGGAATTTGTATCTATATCTAACTTTATACTTTATCATTTTTGTCTCTTTTTGTTTTGAAAAGAATGAAATTAGTTTCACTAGTATTAAGTGCTAAATTATGGTCTTTTAAAAACTGATTCAGACTTTTAAATTCTAATTTAGCAGACATTTCTAAATCAGTTAGGGATTTCCCAGTTGTGTTAAGATTAATATCATCTGCATATATACTTATCTTACTACCTGGGTCTTTTAGAGAATTTGGAAGATTTTTAAGGTAACATATGAATAAAAGAGGACCAAGAATCGATCCCTGTGGGACACCAGATAATATCTTTGATAAATTAGATCTTGTTTTTTGGATGATGTTATTTTTTGACAAAGTTGATATTTCCACAAATTGGTAACGTTCCTCTAAGTATGATTTAAACCATTTGAGAGTGACTTCTTTAATACCCAAATTATCAAGTTTAGCTATTAATTGGTGGTGGTCTACATTATCATGTCCATGAAGATGCCAGCTGAATTTAAACTCCTATCTAGTGAATTTATCACGGCTTCAATGAAACTAACCGCTGATGTAACAGTTGATCTACCAGCACGGAAACCATGTTGTTCATTATCAATTAGATCATTCTGGTTCAAGAAACTGTTCAACCTGTTGTACACTGCCTTCTCATATACCTTTGATATTGCCGGGAGAATTGACACTGGCCTGTAGTTTGAAATATCTTTCTTAGAGTTTTTCTTATAAACGGGTACCACTCTAGCAATTTTAAGCTCATTTGGAAAAATTCCTGTTACAAATGATGAGTTAATTAGATGCATTAAAATGAATTTCATCTCCTCTTTCACCTCTTTTAACATTTTTACCGATAAATCGTCATAGCCAGATGTTGTTTTATTTTTTAAAGATTGTATAATAGTTATTATTTCGGTATCAGTTACTGGTTCGAAATACAATTTTGTATGCCATATATTTTTTGAAGAGGTGTCTGAAGTAGTATTACAAAATTTTGTATGTAACATTGAGGATTTTGTAAAAAAATGAGTTAAAATTATTTGTTATTTGTCATTCCTCTCTCGCCTACGGCTCTCGTGATTTCTCTCGAGTGAGTCAATTGCTCCCTTTGCTCACTAGTTGCACAAATAACTATTTCTGTTGGTTGTTTATAAAAAATTATGTTGTATTGGGTTTTAAGATTTTCAGTCACATTCACTTAATGTATTTATGTTATGTACGGTCAGGAGGGGTCGATCTCTTTCAGTTTTGATTGCATACTCAACATTTTATGATTATGTGTAATTTTTGTAACCTTGACCTTTGTAACCAGCTATGTAAAAAAGTTACGCGTTTAGGTTTTGAGATTTGAAATTTCTGGTTTTGACCATCACTAATTTTTACTTCACCAGAGATCTCAGCCTGTAAATAACTTTGATAAGACTAACAGTTTTTTTCAATAGAAATGTTTTATGATAAGAAAAACTTTTATTAATTTAGCTCTTGCACAAACTTAAATACCTTTGAAATAAGTTTGACAAACACTATAGATATTTCGTTAAATGATGAGACTACATTTGAAGAATTAACTCTGTCGTTCTATGTCAGCTGAACAACTTAACCTAGTAATTGTTTAATAATGTCCTACCCAGTGTTTCCCAACCTTTTTCCGTTCAGGGCACACTAACTAGAACAACTTTGGAGTCACGGAACACTTGTCTACAAAATATCATTGGTTGAAATTACATTTAGTAGTGCATAAAAAATCTGTTTTTTTCGATTACATCTTACTCCGTATAACCTATTTTTTACTAGTAAATATATAGGTGTATATAATATAAAGGTGGGTTTACCAAGGTAAAAAATATAAAACTCACATTTTTTATCCAACATATGTACATTATTTAGTGTTTATTAAGTGGAAAGTTTTAAATAATAATAAAACATCGAGCTTGATTAAAATGTTGTATGAATTTACAAATAATGAGTGAGAAATATTAAATAAACCCTAGTTTCAGTTCTATAGTGGGAAACTTGTGTTTGACGTATGGTTATTAAAAGTTTCTTTCTTGATCAAAAATTGTTTAACTACTTAAAATTTCGCGGCACACCTACAGAGGCCTACTGGCACACCAGTGTGCCCCGGCACACTGGTTGGGAAACTGTCCTACACATTAAAAAAAAAAAAAAAAATTGCTGGGAAACGATTACTTAAATCTCTATTAAGGATGTTACAATACTATCAATGCCAGTAGGTATCGATACTTTTCTTTCGAGATAGGTGCTTAATTGGTATTGAAAGAAAATATGCAGTAAAGATGTGGTTGTTCTTTAAAATGTATATATTTAATGTGAAACCACTGGAAAATTGATGTCTTCAGAGGCTCATTCGTTTGAATTGAATACATACATAAGGATTCAATAAGATTTATTGCAGCCATTAAACATATCATTATGTAACAAGCATTTGTTATTGTTACATAATAAGGATAATAAATTGCAATAGTGGCCCATTCGCAAATAAGACTGATGAATTGGCCAACTTCTTTTATAAGCCCTTCTATCACACACAAGAGCTGTTAAGTTTGTAAATATCTAAGCCATTCAAGTGTGTAGACCAGGGTTGCCACCCTAAGTCAGGGACAAATCTGGACATTGCCTCCCTCCCTCCTGGATTAACATAGGCTTATATACAGGCATAAGGAACCAAAATTGGGACTGTCCGGCAGAATCGGTACGGGTGGCAACCCTGGTGTAGACCATTATTGGTTAGGTTGGATTTGATGGGGGAATTTTGACAACTACAAGTAGATGGGATATACTCTGGAACTGTGGATAACACTATTGCTCTAGCCATTCCTTAAACCAATTATGTCTGGCTGTTTTCAGTTCCTGTTAAGTTCAAAATTTGGTATCATAATCAAAATATAATTAATTTCCAAACAAGCAAAAATTGTAATATTAGGTGAGGGGGTGAAAGAATGAAAAGTGTAAACTTGTTTAGTTCAAACAAAAAAGCAATTAAAATGGTTGTAGGACTGGAAATTTAAGGAAGAAATTTGGTACTGGGCTACTGTACATCTGTATACACATAAAGTAAAAGCATATTGGTTCAAGGGGTTTTCTATCTTAAAAGTAATATATATGTGCGAAAGTGCCATTAAGTTCATCTCACCCGACACAAAGTGTTGAAAACTCTCACGTGGATCAGTGTGTCATAGGCTGTTGCAACAGATTACTTATGTGGCAAGCGAACCATTAGAATTAAAGCCGGGTTTTCCTAGCCGCGGAAGTGGAGAGCGGAGAGAGGAACGTGGAGAGCAAACTCGCTTGTCTTAGGTAATTTAATGTTACTGTTTTCCTAGAAGCGGAGCAGAACACCATGTTAAACTCTTTTCCGGTCTCCGTGTTCCTCTCTCCACTCTCCGCGCCTAGAAAAACCCAGCTTTAGGGGAGGGGGCAAAAACCACATGGAAGGCACGGGGTTAAATAAATATATTTTACTTTTGAAGTAAATCCCAAATAATTTGTTTATGAGGAATCAATAAATCATAGGTGAATCAGTTAGACAGTTCATGTGTTTTGTAAACAACTGTAATTAAAAAAATATGTCAAACCTATAACATGTTTAAATTTATAAAGTAAAAATCAATCAGCCTTTCAGGTAGAAAGGTTGGCCTGAATAAAGGCATCATGCCTTGTGCATACGTCAGAAACGATCTTTTGTTCTATCTCAAAATCAGATTGGATTTCTTCTTCGCTCAGTGTTATCTGGTAGTGTGAAGATGGTTCTACTATTGTTACACTCCACTTCCTCGTTCCAAGAATATTCCCGATGACAAGCTGCAAAAGAAAATCATAATGTTAGACAACACAGGTCAAAAAGTGTTGAGTTATCAACATGTCATTTTATCCCAGATACTTTTTAATTTCTCCCCCTATAGCCTACATAGTATATGGAGAAAGTATTGTTTTCGTAAAAAATTTTCGAGTTTGAGTTTCCAGTGGATATATCTGTTTCAGGACCCCCTAAACACAAAAAAGTAATGTATGTCTGTGTGGATGTGTACAGAGATACAGACTATACCTGAAGTCCGATTTTGATGAAATTTGGTATGTAGGTACTAATCCATGGTATTTCTGGGAATTTAAAAATTCTGAACGAAATGGTACCACTCACATTGCTGTATATAAATTATCGTTCAAAGGTTACTGTAGCTTATGTTATTTTACTTATTTTCCTATGAAATAACAGAAAATCAGATTTTTGGAAAAAAACCTGTTTTGATTAAAGTTAGTTAGTATGTTATAATCCTTATAATTCTAAACAAAATACTGCAAACCCCCAAAATATTGCTGTAAAAATTACGGTTCAAAAGTAATTGCAACGTTTGTGATTTTCCTAATATCATAGTTAGCCCCACCGCTTACACATAATAACGGTTGTTGACAAGCGAATGGGAGAAAGTATGAGCCAGATTGCTGATACCGCTTATTAAAATTTGCGCCAAAATCCAGACGAGCTATTGTCATTGAATTATATTCCAACTTATGAAATAAAAGAACATATCAACTTAAAACCTAACGTATGGGTTTAAGTCAGTCAAGACAGTACTGCAAAGTATGCATTTGAATTACACTCTGTGATTATATTTCTGTGGTTTAATTCATCAACTACTAAAGTCAATATTGCCAGTGATGGAAATGAATTAAGTAAAGTGGTTGAATGTAGAAATACAATACAAGACTGCTGTACGAAACAAGTAATACAACAGTCCATTGGACTAAACGTACTTTCTCCCACATCAAAATTTGGTCCTCTTTACATTCAACTGAGTTTCTATAGCTCCTGCATCTCTGATCTCCCCTAAAAACCTACAGAGTTCACTAATGTTTCCATGATTTTTTATAATTATTTTTATAAAATGGCCGTAAAAGGTGGAGAGAGTTTGGAGGAGGTTATAAAATTTCCACAATGGTGACAGCCAAAATGTTTTGGACAGTTTAGACAGCTTGCAATCTTTCTTTTGAGGCAGTTACCAAAATTAAAGAAATTGGCTGATTGAATGAGAGATTGCTAAGTTGATAGGGGACATTTCTAAGATTATTAAGGACATGGATAACCCTAATAGCCTTAAACGTGTCGATGAGCAAGTCAAGTTTCTTCAATTCGAATCACTATTTTGATAGAAACTGACAGACTTGTGCAAATGAGTATGGCCTCCTGCAAACTACCAAAGCCACTCATACTCTTTTGGATACATATCCTCTTTGGTTGATCCCCTTCCTACAGAAAAGCCTAACCACAGAACTTGGCAGGAGGGTTTCTTTTGCACCCATTTTATCTATTCTGACAAGACTACTTGTCACATAGAAGTTGAAACCGGCATCAATATTAGTGGATGAAGTACAAACAAAGTGACAGTTTTCAAATCCAACCAATCTCGATGGAGACCTCAATTCATGGACAACCATTGCAAAATGATGGAAAACATTATAAATTAGCGTTGTGAAATCAATAAAAAACCCTTAAGGCTAAAAAGCTAAAGTTCACATTTTCTGGTACCTTATGCTTATAGGTTTCCAAAGCTCTTCTGGCCTTGCTAATTAGAAGTTCAGGGTTAGTCTCCAGCTTAAATGACACCACAAAAGCCTCGGGTACCCACTGAGACACAAGAGGAGCTAACATCTTAGGTACCAGGTGCAGCTGGATAGTCGGAGCCCCATCACCTGACTGAATTTTGTGTTCTGGCTGAAAAATACATAAGGGTATTTGAGGAGTTATTGACATTCTCAATACAAATAATGAAACGCTGCAGCAAACTAAGTAAGCTTCCATTTGCCTGATGTGTGCGATTTGTTGATTTTCAACCTCGAGCCGAGCCAAGTCGAGCTTTTTCCAACCAAACCTGATCTGAATTATTAACTTGTTTACTGCGGTTGCATGATGGCTGGCCGATGCCAGGAGCGTGGACAACTTATGTGCTGTGTGAATGAGTGCGCAAAAAAGTTTAAATTTAGTTTCATCCAATAGGAGAAGCATATGTACTGTATCCCTGTCATTGTGGACGTAGTTTTACAACCCAATAGATAGCAGCACTAAACAAAACAGCTAGCTGGCCCTCGGTATTGCCGAAAGGAGGGAAAAAGCACGGGTGAAGTACCCGGATACACCATCAAAGCATACCGCAAAAAAGGATCCAGCACAATTTTGAGGTTAGATTCCTCCACAATGCTACAGTACATTCAGTATAACACAGACAACACTCTATTCTCATTTCTCTTGTAAGCTACTCTCGCTGGCTACTCTCACTAAACTTTAAAACTGATGAGGTATCAGGCTTTGTAGACTATTCCACCCTTGTTTAATTTCAATTTTGATATGTGACTAAATACTAAAATAAAATATAAATAACGAAATACTGTAACGTCCGTTGTCATTAGTAGTGGTCAAGGTTAAGTCGATGGCGGCAATAGTTGCTCGCTGAATGAGAAAAATGAGAAACGTTGGCCGCCATATGTACTAAGGGAATACTACATTGGAACTAGGGGATTGTGGGATTGTAATAAAGCCAAGAGCCAATGAGCTGGTTGATTCTTCTAGTTATTACCAACATAACAACATTAAATGTTGTTAATAAATTTTAATAATTTTAATTTTGATAATAAATTTTAACAGAGCTTTGATATAGCAGAGTTGCCGTGCCAGCTGTATAATTTCTAGCTCAGTGGATGCTCGCTATGGTAACAGAACTAGGAAGTTTTCAGTCTACGATTATTTCATTTCATAAAAAGCAAGAGTGGTTCCCTGATTCAGTTTACTTATCTTATCAGACTTGGATATGATAAATAACTGAGAGCACACAATGTTTTTGGGTCGCATTAACTATACCGGTTGTCTGATTCAGAATTTGAACATGGATCATTACAAACAAAAAAAACATTGACCTTGGCAACTTGCGTAAATTGATAGTTTTTACTGTGCATGTATGTTTCACTATTCAGATTTTTAACTAATTGTTAGGCCTATTACTAACTTTTTATCTTTTAGTTGTCAAAATCGAAAGTCAAACAGAACTATCAAATACTGTATCCTAACCGTATTACCCATCCAGATATGAATTTTTCTTTTTTCTGTGACCTTTTTTGTAAAATATGTAGCTTTCGTGACCCTTCACTAAAATCGGGGACTTCTACTTTTGGTGATCCCGCCCCAGGATAAAAGAGGCTCTACTATTTACAATCAAATCACAATATTCATAATTGCGTTCGGTTTTGTAAAGAATTGGAGTTGATACGATAATAAACTGGAAGTGCACGGTAATTTTAAGCTGTGTGAGGTGATGATGGTTTCCTGATCGAGTTCGGTTTCACCATCCCCAAAACTGTCTACTCTGACACTGAGTCTGAGACGTGAATTACATGTTTTAACAACATCTGCTTCGAGGAAAGCAAATGCATGAACAAGGTATATAGATTAAATTCCTGAATTCGTTGTGTCCTGTTTTCAATTATTAATAGACAAATTAAGTTTATTTTTACTAAGTATTAAAAGCTTGACTCAAAATTCGAGCTTTTTCAAAATGCCACGAGCCAAGCCGAATAATGGAAAGCTCGAAGGTTCGAGTACTTGCACCCCTACTGATTGGAGTTTCACTCAAATATTTTCTTCAATGTAAGTTTTTTGTGTATTAAAAACATGAGGTTTAACAAGGACTGAGGTTTGCTGCGGAACGCAGTAAAGGTCTTTTTCAGTGAAACATATATCATAGCTTAGTTTGAAATAAATATATTAGAGATATTAAATTATTACAAAGTCAATCAAAACATATCAATAAACAAGCAAAATACAACAGTTTACTCATTCTCCTAAGTATTTATGAGAATATAGGATGTGCTATATGATCCTGTCTTCAAGTGAGACAGTACCCAATCTACAACAAGGCAATATTAGAGATAATGGTTAGAAACATAAAAATTAAGGTGGAAGTAGGCTCCTACTATCTTACTTTGATTAGGATGAACCTAAATTTCTAGAAATTTGTTTCTAAGGTTACAGGGTGCCATGGATAGCCTTTGTGATAGCCAAGTCTATATTTTGAGTTGCCGAAGCTACATATTTTGGGTACACAGACTTCCTCGTTTATGAGGAAGAACAGAATTTTAAGGATTAAAAAGCAAAGAAATAAGAATGTAATTATAATTGTTAGTTGAATTCAATAGGTAGCGAAAAGACAGAGCCTGATTTACCGTTAGGCAGCAAGCATAAGGGGGCCACAGACGGTTGACAAAAAACATTTTTTTTAAATAAATTTTTCTAAGTCATCAGTTTCCCGAGGGAGATGTTCACGATTTCACCGCGGGTTTCGATGACCCCGTGATTGCGACCGGTGGGAGATGCTCACAATTTTGCCGTAGTCACGAGTGTCGATGATGATGTCTTCGAAATTGCGGCCCGTGGGATATGTTCACGATTTTGCTGCAGTCGCAAGTGTCGATGATGATGTCCCAGTGATTGCGGTCCGCGGGAGATATTCACAATCATAACACAGTCGCAGATGTCGGTGACGATATTCCCTTGATTTATGGCAAGTGTTCACGATTTTGCCGCGGTCGTGGGTATCTGTGACGAAATTCCCTTGATTTAGGGTAAGTGTTCACAATTTCTCCGCGATCGTTGGTTACAATGATGAATTCCCCATGATTGTGGCCCACAGGAGATGTTCACGATTTCATCCGTGATTGCGGGTGAGGATGATATGATAATGATGATGATAGTGGGAGATTTTCACGATTTCACTGCTGTCGCAGGGAATTTCCACCACAGTCGTGGGGGCCGCTCAAGTAATTTGGCCTAGGGCTGCAAGTACCTAAAATCCGGCACTGTGAAAAAACACAATATTTGTTCACAAACTTCCTATTTTATAGAGCATACAGTGCTTATGAATCAAAGATATTCAACAGCTATACATACAATTTTGTTGGCAGGAATGTAGAAATCGGACACAGCCGCAGCTAGGTATAAGAGGGCCTTGCTGCCATGATTGGTCAGTTGTTGGCAAGCTCCTCGTAGTAACCACAAGTAATCCGAGAGTGTAGTGAAATCGATGCACAGCAACCGTTTCTCCTGAATGGCTGTCTTGTAGCGTTTGAGGATGGGCATCACTCCGAGAGCAAACTCTGGGGCAACTGTAAAAGAAAATGTGCTTAGGAACGGATCAATTTTCATTGTGCAGTAGAGCATTAACAACAGAATTTGATAAATTCTATACAATTCACAAACTTTCTGTAGTGCCTATTAAAAATTTAAAATAAATTCACATACATTAAAGTAATTAGGAGAACTCTAATCTCCAGTCCTTTTTCCTAGTCTGCTGGTATTGTGATTTATAACACAAAAGACCTAAATAAAGCCTAAATAAAGAGGTACAATTAAATAAAAAAAGATATATTATCTGCTCTTCATTTATCCATTCATAATAATCTTTTTCCTAAATGAAGACACGACCATTGTGAACTACTTCTCATATCAGCAGGACTGAATTTTGCTATATTGGTTATTGGTTTTTCTCCTTGGAATCTTTTCAGGGTCGAAAAAGCCTCCTGGTAAATGACAAGTCAGTCATTAAGGATGAGAGCAATAAGCATTTTCACACTTGACGGCATGTCACCAGCACAACAGTTATAACATCAATTTTTAAGCGACATATCAGCAGATCTTACTGTGTTCACTACTTGTTACATTTTCAGTTTTCAGTTCAGCAAGCAGTTTACACTTTATTCATTCTTACATGAAGCTCTGAATAAAACGGCAGTTCCAGGGTTGAGTTATGACCCATTTCAATTTGATTTGTTGTACTTAAGGTGAAAAAGACGGTACAGGATACAGGTACTCAGAGAGAGATAGAGAGAGCGGTAGATTTATCGTATGCTGAAAACACGTTATTTACGCTCATTACACATTGGGTATTTTAAAAGTTATCCGTAAACCAAAGAATTTATTTTAATATCTTTCGTATGAGCTTTATTTTGAAATATTCATTCTAATCCTCAGGGGATACTTAGATATGACTTTTTAGGCTATAACTGGCTTGTATACGTTGGTAATCTAAATTATGTCAATGTTTCAATAATTTAAAGCTGACATGTTTCGTTGCAATGCAACACCATCAGAGCTTTCAACATGTCAAAACATACAAATTTACATCAAACTGTACATTACATACACTACTTTTACACGTACGAAAAACAGGCGGCGGTTGTTGGTAGACCCACAGTCTCACTACAACAGGCAGTCATTGAAATGTTGAAATGTTGACATAATTTAGGCTACTGGCTTACCTCAAAGCAATAGCCTAAAAAGTCTTTATTTTGTCTTTCATTTCAATTTAACAAACTCAATAAGTGTCCTGCATCATACTTTGCAATTGAAATTTTAAAATTTCCACTAAATAACTTTTATAATGTTGATACTGTAGCACAACGGATTGAGTTATCAAATAATTAAATAACTTACGTCATCAATCCATAAATTTCTGTGGAGTACGCGTTTCAACCATCAGGTCATCCTCAGCTCCACTGTCACTAGGTTGAATCTGTTTCTATGTTGCATTGATTTTGTAGCAACAACGTCGATATATTAAAAAAATAGGACAAACACATTTTACGTTCATTACACATACACGACACGTACGAAACATTTAAATGACGATAAAACTACAATTATAACACCGTGCGCACGGCTGGACGGGCTTAGGTATGAGTGTAGCCGCATACCTAAGCCCGTCCAGCCGTGCGCACGGTGTTATAATCACACAGAAATTTATGGATTGATGACGTAAGTTATTTAATTATTTAAATAACTTTTGAAACATGCTATGCTCCTAGAAGAATCATCATACATCAACATCGCCATTGGGGCAGTTTGACTCCATTTACCGTCTCTTCATTACTGTGAAAGTTTACATTATAGACACAGCTGTGCTGGTGACATGCTAACAAGTTTGAAAAACGTCCAGTGAAACTTCCATGCAAGCAGTGGATGCTGCTCAATCGCTTTTGCACAGAAATAGACAGTTAGTTGCCATGTAGCTGTGGTGAGAATTGTCTCTAGGTGTAAATTTAATAATTAACTGTTTCACTTTGACAGTTCCTCTTGTAGATTGCCAGCAATGGCGGTTGGTCCATAAGGACTCTGGGACGGAGCACTCCCAATTCCAAGACAATACTGAACCTCTCATACCCGACCTTGGAATAAACCGACTCCACGGGACCTAGTGTCCGACCGTCTCATTGATTCCTGTCTGCGGCGATAACGCCGAGCGCAATCGGTTAACTGAAAGGCAGATCGCAGATGTTGCCGTAATCGCGGCAGACGATCACTGCTGTCGCCGATTAAAGGTGTTGCCGCCGTTGCGGGAGACCACTACTGAAATCACGGAGAATGAAAGTTACGCTCACAGGGGATGTCGGGGTCGCAGTGTTGATAACCGAAGTCGCGGAGACTATAAGTTTTGCTCAAGGGTATTGCCACAGTCCCAAGAGATGATTACCAAAGTTAGAACAAATTACGCTTACAGGTGTTGTTACTGTTGCGGGAGACGTTTACCAATGTCGCGGGGACTGTAGGTTATGCCTCCTCCTTAACCGACCTTATTCCTGTTCCGACCATGGCCCCGTCCCATCATGGTTCTACAGTAGTAAAAATAATAATAATTTAACATAAATATGATTTTTAGTCCTACATTTGAATGTACATAAACGTTAGCAGGGTCAATGTTTTAGGGACGGGGGATAATGTACGCAACATGTTTTTGCAATAGGTAGGTGCATGCACTAGTAGGCTCTAATGCAACTGATATAGGGCGTTTCCAGTCCAAAATGTATGAATTGTTGTTCTTTAAAATGAAATATGAAAACCATCATAAAATATATTAGCTGACCTTCTATTCGACTGCATGTTGAAGCTCTTTCTTCATCATTTGCTTCCACGTCGCTGATGATAAGTTTGTCGAGGAATTGGTGGCCAACAAAATGTCGAACATATGGCTCCAAAGACTTCAATCTAGAAAAAAAACCTTGGCTTGAATGTCACTGAATATTAATATCAAATACACTGTTTTATAAGAATACATTTCAACATTTTGTCGATAATCAATATCAAATTGATCAGGAATTGTAGAGAGAAATTTCATGTTTTCTAGCAATCCTCAAAAATACAGGGTGATTCTAAATTATTGTTACACTTTTTAAACTCTGTAAATGAAAAACTATACAACCTATCATCACAGGATGAGAATCAATTGAACGAGGATATTATTCTTTTTTTATACCAGTTTGGTAAACATTTTTGCAAAATTAGTCTCTAAAGACATTTTTAGATTTTAACTATGATTTAAAATTAATTACACAATTTAAAATCAATGAAACTCTAAAACACAGAACACTTTTAGCTCTTTTGAAGTCATGTTCCTCGCAGCTTACAATAATGGTGAACAACAATAACTGAGCGGTAAATTATAGAACTAATTAACCCCTAGAGGTATTACTTCAAATTTTTGACAATTCAACATAGAGCATTAAGTTTTGAGGTTCATACAGGTAAAAGTGTGTAATTAATTTAAAATCGTAGTTAAAATCTAAAAATGGCTGTAGGGCTAATTTTGCATTTATGTTTAAAAAATTGGTGTCAAACAAAACTTAAGAATCGCCTCTTTCAATTAATTCTCACCTTGTGATGATAGGTTGTATGGATTTTCAATTATAGGGTTTCAAAAGTGTACCAATAATTTAGAATCACCCTGTATTTTTTTTGCCACACTACTAAGCTTTAATAGCGGTTGGCCACCTGCTTAGTCAAATGGGGTTTTATTGTGTAGCCTACTAGCCTACTGTTAACATCAAGTTTGCCAGACACCAGCAGATTATAATTGACAATGAGTGGTTGTATACAAAAGCATAACCTCTCTAGGAGGTTATGTGTAGTGATTGATTAGTACTTAAGTTGGGAAAATATATAACGGAGTTGTACAGTTTTTATATTGTTAGGTTAATTTAGAGTAGTATGATGAAAAATATTGTACGTCACTCTTCCAAAATGTGTTCACTCAAACTGAGACTATTTTCACTGACAGACTAGTGCTGCTGGTGTGACTACTCTTTCTCGTGACATTTCTCGGTCTCGGTTTCATCTCTCCTCTACCATCAGTCCAGGAGAGGCTTGCTTATCCATCCTTTGGTTATCTGGCCTATCCCACGGATGATCTATTACCATGAAATCCACCTCCCTGAATCAGGGGGAATCCAAAGACAAAGTTTGGGGGCACCTTCCAGGGGCTCTGGGGGGTATGGAATCCGCCCAGCCAGGGAAAATTTTGAACCTTGAAACAAGCATTTTTGGCTATAACGACACTGTAATAGCAATGCCCAGAAGATAGTTTAAAATTCCTAGCAAACTAATCCAAATCCAGTTAAGATTGTTTGTTTGTTTGTTGTTGGCTTCAACTGGGTCTTGGTTCCAAGGCCAAGCTTGACCTAGCGGTCACTTTAAATTATTTTTATTATTTGTGGGGATATAAACATATTTGAACCCAAACTTAAAAGTAATTCGTAAAAAAATCACTCACTTCACTACGGAAATATCATTAAATGTTTAGAATTATTTACTTTATGTTTATATTGCTTAATGGGCGTTCCAAATGGATTATAAAAAGGGTAATGAATATGACAATTTTGGGAATACATATAATCTAGTTCCAGGTAATTAAATTTAACTGGATTGGTGTATACTATATTCATGTAAGTTATATGTATATGTCACATCTGTATAATCAATGGTAACACTGATTTACTGCTGTATCTGACAGCGGGAAACTGCAACTGCAGTTCTGTCTGTCTGTCTCGACTTGATTAACAACTTTTGTGAATATCCCTATAAGTTCTGCAGCTGCCTTTAACTATGTTGCCGATATCACATCTAGACCACTTGATATGCCAGAAAATCAGTTTTTATTTTCCCCAGTTAGTGAATCTGAAGTCCGCAGGGAAATTCTGGGGATGACAAGTAACGCAATCGGCGCCGATGATATTCCTATCAGGTTTATTAAAGACACTCTACCAGTTACTCTCCCGGTACTAACATCCATATTTAACAGATCATTAGCAACTTCTACCTTCCCCTCCATCTGGAAATCTGTCATTGTTCGCCCACTTCAGAAAATTTCTTCTCCCAATACCCCTTATAGACCAATCAGCATTCTTCCTGCCCTTTCTAAATGCTTTGAAAGAATAGTGTATAATAAATCCTCTGTTTTTTTGGAAGAGAACAAAATTATAACGGATTTTCAATCTGGGTTTCACGCTAAATATAGCACAACCACTGCTTTGTTGAAAATTACAGATGACATCCGCCGTGCAATGGATAATAGACAGGCCACAATTTTAACCTTCTTTGACTTTTCAAAGGCGTTTGACTGTGTATACCATCCTCTTTTGCTCCTTAAACTGCACTTGGATGGTTTCTCTGACAACTGTGTTGAGTGGATTGAGTCCTATTTATCTGATCGTCAGCAGTGTGTCAAAGTCGGTGACAAATGTTCTACCTGGGAGCAGGTTACTAGAGGTGTTCCTCAAGGATCTGTTCTTGGCCCACTACTGTTCTCAATTTACATCAATGACATTATAGAACATATCACTAACTCACACTACCATTTGTATGCTGACGACCTACAGATTTACTCCCACTTTAATGTAAACGAGATGGATATTGCTGTACGACTCATGAACATTAACATTGAATCAATAACTCACTGGGCCACAAACAACGGACTTAAACTCAACATTGACAAAACAGAAGCAATGATTGTTGGCTACCCCAGACTAATGACTAAAATCAACTTAGTCACTGCACCACGACTTAACTTTGACGGAAAGGATCTCACCTACTGCGACAAAGTGAAAAACTTAGGACTCATAATGAACAAACATTTGAATTGGTCTGATCAAGCCAACTCCACTTGTAACAGGGTCTTTCGAGCTATTCACACCATCAAACGTTTTGCAGACTACCTTCCGCTGAACTTGAAAATCATGTTAGTAAAAACTCTCATCTTGACTCATTTCAACTACTGTGATGTAGTGATCAATGACATGACTAATGAAGTTTCTAGTAGACTTCAGCGAGCGCAGAATTCCTGTATCAGATTCATGTTGGCCTTATGCGATATGACCATGTAACTCCCTATTTCAACCTGCTTTCATTAATGAACTTCGGCAATTTCACACCCTCCGTCTTCTACACTCCATTATCAATCAAAAAATTCCCAATTATTTATCAGACAACTTCTATTTTATTTCTGACATCAGCACCAGCAATTCACCGGTTAACAGTTTTTAACAAATCCTTCTTGGTATCTGCAATTCGAATGTGGAATTCTCTTCCTGACCATATCAAATCCATAGGAAACCGTGCGAGGTTTGGGGCAGAGATTAAATCTATTATATTGAGCAGCAGGCGTGAGTGAGTCTCTGGCGCTGGTGTGAGGGGTTGTTGGCGGCTTGTGTCAATGGAATTTTTTTTAGGATTACTAAGCTTAATTTCTTCATGTTTACTCATTTAATGTATTACTTTAGATTATTTAAATTTACTTATATAAGTGAATAAGTTTTATTTATTTATGTTTTAGAGGTTAAGTGGTAGAGAGGACTTGCAAGTCCTAACTTCTCCTCTTAAATAAAGACATTTTTCATTTCATTTCAACTGCAGTCACTGACAGGTCAGGTCGTCTAGATTTTAGGTTAAGTTAGGTTGTTTAACTTTTCAGGCAGCTACTATGTAGTTTTAGCTTTGGATTTTGAAATAATATATACGTGCATTAAGTTAGGCTATATTATTGAAGCAGACATCTTTAGGCACAAAAATGTATTAATTAGAAATTATACCATATTTAAGAATATGCAGTGCACTGTGTCGTGTCTCCCACTCGCTCAGACCAAAGGATTTTAAATTCACATTTTGATTGCTAAGTTAACTTATTCCATTTCCAATTCATTGATAAAAACTTTTACAATATCCTAATTATAATATCATTTTTTAGCTTTTCATCGTTAATGTGAAATTTGAAATATTAACTTATTCCGGTTAAATTAAAAAAGATTTAATTTATTTTAAGTTATATGCTACATTTTGTATATTTTGACCAAAAAAATCTTTGTTTGGGGGGACGTTCCCCCAGTTCCCCCCTCCCCGTGGATCCAACCCTGCCCTGTATTCACAAGATATATTCATTTTTGAAAGCTTCGTACCTCACTCCTCATACTTCCATACCTCTCTGCTGCGCCAATCACCTTAGCCACGAAGCGGAGATCTATGACTGGTAGTGTATCGCTTTAATTTAGTGGTGTTTTACTATTAATTATCCTTTTTTCATGTTGTTTGTTATGATCGTCTCGTGGTAAAATAAACTTAAATCCTTGAATAAGATAGAGGGAAATCTGTATTTTTAACGTTTTTTGCTATGTTCACAAGGGTTTTTATTTCATATTATTTTCCTTGTTAACTTATCTAAATTTTTTGCTTATCCAACATTGCCGCAACCAGATTAGGACGATCTAAGATTATCTACAATCTACTATAGTTGAATAGATACAACTTCCGTATCGGAGAGGTGTGGAGGGGTAGCGAGCAGTGGGGAGATTGCCGTTGCGATGTTGCCGCGTTGTTAGTCGCAGTGAGCGGGAACTGCAACTTCCTCAATCCTCACAGACACAGAATATGCGCGCCAGCGCCAGCTTACAACAACGCACACAGCGTTACACTGAGTGCTGTGCTGTAATTTCGTGTTATCTGTTGATAGTTAGAGAACATCTGCTGATAGGGAAGTGTTGTAAACAGAACAGCTTAGAAGTACAGAAACATTTGTTCTAAAATAAATGATTCCCTATGTTTGGAACGCTCTATTTACTGACTTCTGGTGGGAAACGACATTTCTGTTGTAAACCCAAAATATACTGTGAAATACACAAGTGATGACTATTCCAACATCAAAAAGTTTTTTTTTCTAGCTTAGGGGACTTCTAAACTCTCGCGGACAGTATACTGTACTCGAAGTAGTCACTGTCATAACACTGGAGGAACTGCACATGTGCGTGCGGGCGTGGAGATGCAGTGCGATATGGCAACAGTGCCTGTTGCTATGGAAACCGCTCTCCTTGCGGCTCTCCTTGCTCTTATTGCTCAGGTAGTCAACCTGGCAGTTCTCCCTCTTACTCGAACGTCAGATCGCCCCACCACACCGATACGGAAGTTGTATCTATTCAAGTATAACTGTACTGTGCAATCTTAAAGTAATCGACAATTGGTTTGGTTGATAACCTTAAAAAAGGTATATTTTATAAATCTATACAAGCTTGAGAAATCATCAGTGGATTTATGACTGGAAATGGTGAAAATCAACTACAAAAACATCAATGACTTTACTATTGGAAACCAACCTAACTGCCACAGCACTGTGAGTTGATGAATAGGGTTATACATGGGCTAGTAACATAGCCAGTGAATACTTTAAAACAATCTTTTGATAGTGTAGTTCATTACTTACCTATATAGAAATATGACATTGTAGCCTGAATCAATGAAGTACTCCGCAGAAGCAGAGCCCCGAGTGCCGGCACTGAAGTTGTCTACAAATCTAACTGTGTTGTGCTCCAACGGTATGGTTGTTCCACCTGACTATTCAACAAAAAAATATTATATTAGCATTTCCCAGTAATGCCAGTAAGAATAACAAGTGAATAAAATGCAGTGATAACTGCTGATCTACTACAATGGAGAGCAAAGGGAGAATTAAGTAGGCCTACTTTCTTTCCTAAATTTACCAGCCTCCTTTAAGATTTCAATTGCCAGTTCTAAGTAGTGCTAGATTTGTGTGTGTAGGCCTATTATCAACTACATAATATACAAAATAACATGGTACCAAATGAACATTAGAGCTTTCTGATAGTTTAAACAAAGTTAGTGGCACTGACACAAAATCCTGAACATCACTGCCATGTTTTACAGTCTGTCACATTTAAGTGTAACAATATGAATACCGGTAGTATCAATAAAAATATTTAGATTAAAAAAATATAAAGTTAAATGGCAACAAGTATGAAGTGCATGAGTGAGATCAAAGAATACAGTGTAAAATTATTGTACAGTACAATAAATATGAACATGGATGGATGCAGGAACAAACATAAATAAATTCAGTTCAACAAATATTGCATACATCAGAGACAAGATGAATAAATACTGGTGAAAATCTAGCGTCAGGTGGTAGGCCTAGTTTACGCTAATGCAGGTTCAAAATTGTGTCACAGAACAGGTCACAGTCTGGAGTGTGATATTGTTACTGTTCACTATTTGTTACAACTATTTACTATTTATTTCTGTCATTTCATTGTTCATTTAATTTCATTGGGTGTTAAATTGTTGTGCAGATACATACTGCAGATATACATGCAAATATGAGTGTTTCTTTGTTTTCTTTCTTTCTTATAATAACAATGAAGAGTGATGGTTGAATTAACTAGGTAATAATAATAGGTAATTAAGTAACATGCTTGCCGAATAATAGACTATGCAATATGGAAACGAGTAATAGTTATAACAATAACAGACTAGAAATAGGTAACAGGAGTGAAAACTATGTAAAGCAGGCAACGGTGATAAAATTTAAACAAGATTTTAACAAAGATAGACTCTGATGCAACAGCAGATAAAATCGAAAACACTTCCCTCGCCCCACAATGTAGTTGTGGCCCTTTAAAGGCATTCCTGTTAATTCGAGTTGAAAGACTTATGCCGGTTTACTAAAATCGTCTGAACTTTACCTTCCTAATCTAATCTAATTTAAAAACACTTAATACAGTCACGAATCTGCATATAACCCGACTTACCTTCCTTACACTTGTAGTGGGTTTGTTTATCATATTGGAGATCTGTTAGCTCTCCATGTACGGATTCCTCCAAACCGCCAATAAGTTAGGCCTACCATCAGAACCGCTCAATAGACCTTTAATTTGTCATATTTGGTTTTGTTTTCCAATACTTACTTAGGCGTAAGTAAGTTCTTATTGTTCCGAGAAAGATTTAATGCATTTTTGGGTTCAGTGAGAAAAAACTAAGTAGTCACCAAAAAATTCAATTAATCGGTTGAAAGTATATTCTACATTTGCCATCAATATCTGTGTCCTTCTCATATAGGTACCTAACCTAGTGAAACTGGAGTAAAGCAGCAAAACGGGTAATGTGTGATTCATATTTTGCCCAACTCACTCTGTCTTGAATGAATGAATGAATGATCCCTTTATTCCAAAAAAGTATTTACAGAATATGTACACAAATATTTAAAGGAAGAAAAAAAAACATAAGTGAATTTAAAAGAATAAAATAAAATTAACCTTTGCATTACATCGTACATATAAGGAATAAGCCGACATGGGCAGCGAGCCTGTGCGTCGACTGTAGTTGCGTCCAAACATAACATCATTTATCAAATGCAATAAATAAATAAATGACAGAAGATATGATGAGATGAAAATATGATGTAAATGGAGTTACAAGAACAAATTGTGAGATGAATAACTATGTGAAAAATATTAGGTGGCATAAAAAACTAATTTTAAATAAAAATAATAGAACTGTAACAGTGACAGGAATTCTACGGCTTTCAAAGAGTGTCTAGAGGGGTGGGGCGGGCGGCGGAGAACGAGTCAGGGTACAATGGTCAGGTCGCATGTCGTGTCAGGAGCGTCTGTGTCCGTAATCAGCTGTGATGATAAGCTCAGCCTCGTCCCTGCCTAGACCAAGTAACCACTCATTGACTCGGTGTTTTAATATGTTTAAAGTGGGGGAGTCAAAGAGATTAACACTTTGAAAATAGTTTTGTAAGTTACAAAATAGAACATGTGCAATATAAAATGAGTTGGTCGATGAAAAGGATTTGTACAGTTGTAGTGATGTATTCCAATTCGGGTAGAATATCTAGTATTATGTGTATGGGAAATTACAGAGAAAATGTTGCTATAATTTTTAAAAATATGACTTAGAACATTTTTTATGAAAAGTTGTCTGATCGTTAAAACTGACACATCCTTAAAGAGAGTGTCAAATGGGTAACGCCTGCACTTCCCAAAACCAATTTTTAATATTAACTTTTGTGTTATCTTTAATGGCTCTAAAATACTTTTAGAACAACCCCCCCCCCCCCCAGCTTATGATTCCGAAGGATAAAAGTGATTGAACAAAAGCATAGTACATTAATTTCATTCCACTTTCATTTAGAATCTGATTCAGCTGACCGATAAGCATAGATATATTTTCTAATTTTACTGTTTAAATGTTGAATATGATTAGACCACTTGAGACGGTAATCAAAGACCACTCCTAAATTATGTGAATGACTCTACTTTTTCAATAGATTCACATGTAGCCTACAGTTGGCGTCTAGGTAATCACCACAGGTGTGAATGACGAGATTTTCTAGATTATAATCAGATTTTAAACTTAATGAAATTGGCATAAACTTAGTTTTTGATGAATTTAAAGAGAGTATATGCTGGTTTAACCATAACTTGGTTTCCATTAGGTCGTGCAAAGCTTTGTTGCGGGCCTCAAGCCAAGTTTTTCCGCTGTTCAAAATTAAAGAATCATCAGCAAATAAGAAAAGCTTACAAAAAATATTAAGTTTTGAAATATTATTTATATGTATTAAAAATAAAACAGGCCCAAGTGCCTTGAACCACACCATAGTTAACGGATTCAATATTACTGTTGGTAAGTATTGATACAAGTTGAGATCTTTAAGACAGATAACTTTTAAACCATTGAAGTGCGTTACCCCTTATCCCAACTGCTTCTAATTGGAAAAAAGCTTAGATCGATCAACTGAATCAAATGCCTTTTAAGATCTAAAAATATTAATATTGGGTGTTCATTATCTGAAATTGCCGAATTTAAGTCCCTATTAATGTCAAAAAGTGCATCTGAAATGTTTTTGTCCAAGCGAAACCCATACTGACAATCACTCAAAATGTTGTTTGCTTGAAGAAATGTAACTAATTGATCTTTTACTATTCTCTCAATTAACTTGGCAAATACACTCAAAAGAGATATTGGTCTGTAATTATTCATATTGGCAAACTCATTGTATTTATAGAGGAAAAACTTTGGCAAGTTTCAAACGTTCCGGAAATGTACCTGATGAAATGCATTTACTATATGTAAGAGTGGTTGTTTAAACAAATGGAAATTGGCTTTCATGACTTCGGCTGAGATACCATCGTAGCCAGGTGCTGACCCACCGCGCAGACAGTAAATGTATCGTTCCAGTTCGGGTTCAGTGATTGTGTGAAGTGTAAATGTACAATCATGGGCAAAGTCATTGTCATTCACAACTGGGTCCCCACTTGAATCAATAGAGATTGTTAAATTAGAGCCTACAGAGGAGAAAAAATTGTTGAAGACATTGGCAACTCTTAGACATTGGGCTGGAGATATCTGGTCCGCTGGAACAAACTTATCAATAGGAAAGGAATCTTTTTTACATTTTCTACCAGATATTTCATTGATTCCCCTATGCCCCAAAACATTTTAGGGTTGTTGCCGGTCAAGTGTAGTTTATTTCTTTAATAGTTACAACTATTACTATTAGTGGCGGTGGGTCATAGTGACAGTTCGGTGTCCCCAATGTGATAGTGATCCCGGTGCTGTGGTGGTCGGTAACATTAGTCTGTAACACAGCCGACTTTACACTCTCGAAGTCTTTGTATTTGATATATATGTGGTCAAGGCATGTTGCTGTGTTTTGAGTCACTCCTGTAGGTTTGTGAATGCATTGTGTAAATCCCGATCCAGTTAAAATGTTTCAGTACCTATGTGTGAGAACATTCATGTTTAGTATGTCAATGTTAGTGTCTCCAAGATAAATAACCATGTGATCTTTATTGATATTAAATAAGTAAACTTCAAGGTCATGTAGGAACATTTCAACATAACAATCAAAAGTTTTGTAAATTGCTAGTAGATTTAAGTGTTTGTTGGATAGAGAAAAGTGTAATGAAATGACGTAAACTTCCCCAATGGTAATTTCAGTAGCCGTAGCAGATAAATGTTTATTAACGTAAACAATAACCCCATCGTTCTGATTGCGATAAGTAGAAGTGTGATAAAGGTCAAAGCCCTCCAAGGTAGCCACCCCCTCCCCTCCAGACAGCCAGCATTCTGTAAAAACAATTATGTCAATTCCCATAATACAATTATTAAGATATAGGCCCAAGCACTTTTCATCAAAGTTTTTCTTGTAACTCCTGATATTTGAGTGAAATATACCAACAGAGCTATACCCAACATTACGTTTGTAAAATTTAGAATATTCGTCAGAAGAATTGAGGTTTAACTTAAACAGTTTAGTTTTTCATAAAATAAATTGTAATCATTGACATCTGCGTGCATGACAACTGTCCAGTGCCCGCTGCCAGTCCCGACCTATGACTATTGTTAAATGTATTGTTGACATTGGCGGAAAAAAATAAATAAAGAATGCCTAATTTACCATTGATTTACATAAAAATTAAAAACAGTACAAATACAAAACTCCATAATAAGTAAATGATTGTTTAGCTTTAACTAGCAACATTTTATAAATAGGCTACATAATGAAATAGTGCCTATATGAATATTAAACATTTCTTTTGAATAAAATAAAAATATTTTGGTTTTAACTAGCAAATGTTATTAGATCTGAAGTAAAAATACAAATACTGTACCTAATAAGAATGGAGCATTTCCCTTAACCCTCCCAGTGTTACTTGACGAAAATTCGACAAGCAGCACACTTTGTGTAGTGTTACTTGTCGATTTTTCGACACGCAGACATCGTTTACGGCGAAGGCTCTATGACTGACTGAATCGGATTGAACTGGATCGAGTTAGGTATCGTTCTTTCCGTAATATTCTAAGCTTTCTCCAGAGGTCTGTCTCTAAGCGCTATTCATTTTAGTTCCGAAAATATTGTAGCAGACAGCTGACGTGCGTGTATTTGTAAACAGCTAGGTTCCCCCGGACCGATGACTGATGTGTTTTATTACGTTTATCATTGTTTTAGTGTTAAAAATCAAAAGTAGTGATATACGTGGTGCATTATAAGAAGATTTAAGTGGTTTTGAAGTGCTGGTTGATGATCCTGAAGAAGTAGGTAGTGATATTGATGTAAATTATCAGCCAGATTCCTAGCTATGGTTAGGCTATGCATTCTTAGCTAAACGCTATGTACTGAAATCAGTTTTTTGCCCATAACTTATTTATTTGCAAATCTACTTCCTTATATTATTATATATTTGTAATCCTCATAAAATTTAGAACAAAGTGGCTATTTTCAAATATTTATAGGCCTATAATTTATACAATTTCATTGAGCGCGAACTTTTTTTTTTTTGAAAATTTTCGAAATTATATTTTTTTACCTAAAAATTTTTTTTTTTTTTTTTAATGTTCCTTATGTTTTATATATAATATTGAAGCCCATGATTTTCCAAACAAAATGGTATATAGAACATTAGAATTAACATTGTTTTAAGCTTCTCAGATCCGTTTTAATAAAACCTTGCAAATGCGCCAAAAATAGGTGGACATTAAGGCCTAAACTATGGACACTTGGAGGGTTAAATAAAAAAAAAACATGCTTTACGACATTACTGACGGATCGTTCTCTGCAAAATACCTTTACGCCTTACTTAATAACAATAATGTAAAATAAACAAGATAATAATACAAGATAGTTTAGCTTAAAGTAACTTTACAAAAGGTATTTAGGCATTTCCTTCATACTGACCTAGGCCTAAACCAACACTGACCTAGCTTGCTATCTTGATAAAACTAACCTATAGGTAACCTCACCCTGTTACTTGTGAATAATTTTATTAGAAAAATAAACAGGATTAGTTTGTATCAAACTAAGTTATTACGGTTTTTCCTACCGTAACTAACGATATCTTCTTATTTTTGTGCATTTCACAAAAATTACGTATTTTTGTAATGTTTTCTTCAAAATTTGTAGGTGGATTATTTGATGCATAAAATTCTTCCCACCCAGACATTTTGGTTGATATATTTAAGAAAATAATAAAGGTTAAATGTTACTTTCACCATAAAACATCAAACGATCATTTAAGTCAATATGTCAGAACAGAACGTAATAATTTTATCCTTAACCTCACATTTCACTTAATAACAATAACCTAAACTAAACCTAACTAAACAGTAAAAAAACCTATTAATTTTTTTCTCTCTTTTTTCCTTGCCGAAAAGGTGGTCTAGGTATTTTTACCCATGAGAGCAATGTTCTCTGTGGTGTGGTTGTCCATTAGTAAACACTATCTTATTTTCCAGATAATTAAATGGTGAATAGATTTTTGTTAGTAAGAAACATAGATGGGGTATATCGTGGTGCATGTTGTTTTTGTTAATTAAAAGTAGGATACTTCATACTTCATACTTCTTTTCTTCATCTTTGACCAGCAGTTGCTGGATAGATTGAGTCGATACTAACTAAACTAATAATTAGAACTATGCAGTCCATCGTCACCAAGAAAAATAAAAACTTAAACTTGAATTTACTGTTTGAATATTTACAGATTGGCGGCAGGATTTATGGTTTTTTGACCTCTTCAAAAAATTCTTCAATAGAGAAGAGAGGTGTTTTTTTCAGCCATTTTTCAATTGTTCGCTTAAACTTGCGGGGATCAAGATCCTTGGTACTAGCTGGCAATGCATTATATAGTTTCATTGCTAGTATCGGGAAACAGTTTTTCTTCTTACTTAGCCTACAGAATGGCACATCGAGTTGGTCTTTACCTCTGGTGTTGTAGGAGTGATGTTCTGCTCGTTTCATTCGTATTGAAGGATTCGGGAGTCTAAAGATTTGACGGATTTCATGAAATGGAAGGTTAATGGTTAAGGTGACTCTTCTCTGCTTGGGGCCGATCAAGCAATGTCCTAACCCGAAACAAGGTTGGCCACGGATGAAGCACCCAAAGGATTGAGAAAACATGTATGTACTTATGTACTTATGTTAAAGCCTTTGACAGGGTCAACCATGCAATCCTGGTCAATAGGTTAGTTGAGATTGGCCTCCCTTCTTGGCTGACATTGTTGATTAGCAGCTTTTTAACCAATCGTATTCAGTATACAGAGATTTTTTATGACAATGGTTGGTCATTGGACAATGTCATGTCAGAACAAAAACATGTTGTTTCAGGAGTCCCACAAGGGTCCATTTTGGGCCCTTATCTGTATAATATCTATGTTAGTAATTTTCCTGCTATCAATAAGGTTGAAATTAGTATGTATGCTGACGACACGTCAGGTGTATGCTGGGCTCAGTCTTTTGATGAACTCAAGCAGGGCATGGCCGAATTTGTACATAAAGCCAGCTCATATTTTGAAAATATTAATTTCAAAGTCAACCTAGATAAGACAGAAATTGTAGTTTTCGGATTGAGTAGTACGGGCATTCCTCTGATAGATTTAGTTAAGGATGATGTGATCTTTGAAAGTAAAGAGTGCTGTAAGTTTTTGGGACTATATATAGATCAGACCTTAACTTTTAAGAATCATATATCTCATGTAAGATCTAGACTTTTAAGTGGAATCAGCCTCCTCAGAAGAATATCTTTTTATTTAGATACAGATACGTTAAAAAGAATTTATTTTGGTGTCATATTTCCTTTCTTGTCTTATGGCCTTATTTTCTGGGGAAGTTCTCCCGACTGTAATTTACATACAATTTTTGTTCTCCAGAAAAGAGCAATCAGACTGATAGCCAAAGTATGGTACAAAAGGTCTTGTAAAGATATTTTTGTTAATTTAAATCTCCTCACTTTGTATGGACTATACATTTATCAATTAATTATGCTTGTGAAAAATGATGTAAAGCACACAAATAAAAATAGTCAAATCCACAGGTACGACACGAGACGAAAGGATGATTTTCACCGTGTGAGGAGGAATTTCAACAAAACTGGCCGAAGTCCTTTTGTGATGGGGTCAATTTATTTCAACCTCCTACCAAACAATATAAAGGAATTAGAAGGCACTAAATTCAAAATTGCTCTGAAGAATTGGCTAGTTAAAAAAAGACCGTATTCATCAAAAATTTCAGATCCAACCGATTCGGCATAACAATTTGGAAAACTACATTTTGAGTGATCTAAGTTGAGCCCAGGTTTGTACACTAAGAGGTAATATTGTTTTATATACATTGAAATTGTATTCTTTTTTCTTTTATTTTGACATTGGTGACTTTTGTCTATGCATTGTATATATATGTTTATGGACAATAAATGATTTGATTGATTGACTTGTTGAGCTGTATTTTGTGTTCTATGTTTTGTGATATGGGTTTGCATGTTTTTATATTCTTTTCTTTATTGCTTTTAAGTATTTGTTTATTTCAGCGTGGATTTTTTAATCTGCAATTTTCATTGTGTCGGTCAGGTTCTTTGAACAATGTTTGCTGTATTCTTTGGTCTTTTTAAGATATTTTTCTCTATCGTAGTCATATTGAGGACATTGTAAAATCAGATAGTCTAAAAATCAGATCAGATCACATTAAAATAAATATATTAAACAGAGTTTTGAAGTGCTTTTTCACAAATAAAAAACACTTATCTAAATAAATTTACCATCAGACGCTTTGGCACTTTATAAATTAAGTTATTAAAATTAAAGATTTTGAATCGTTAAATAGGGGTAGCGGATTTCTACCCCCGGATATTTACCCCCATGAAAAAAACCCCTACGTCATTTTGACGCCACGAGGGGCGGGGCCTATACACGGTCAAGAAACTGCCCGCGACCGGAAATCTACCCCCGGAAATCTACCCCCCGTGGTCAGCTCTGCCACGTATCGGCCAATATTCATTGTTGTAAGTGATTTTATTAATTGCTTTATGTAAAGCAACGGCTTGAGGAGTATGTTTTATCTATGATAATGTTTACTAATGGACAACCACAGAGAACACTGAGGTCTCATGGGTAAACATTTCCAGACCACCTTTTCGGCAAGGAAAAAACTGTTGTCACTTCTCACCACTTGTCAGTCAGTGTTTGTTTGTTTATATATCGTCATATCGATGGTAGGTGGTTTAGTTTGGAGGTTTGAAAATAGTGGAAGATATATTGGGACCAGCTTTATTAACACTCATACTACATTAACTACACTGCACTGCATGGTTTACCACAGAAGGTGTGTTCAATTTCAATAAGTTATTCGGTCTAATATTTCGTGAGAGTAACGTGGATATTGATTTTACCTGTGGTTGCCAAACATAACCTAGGCCTATTGTGAATGTTGTACCATAGGCTACCATAGATAAAACATACTCCTCTACCCATGTGATTATCACTAACCTTAGATGTTATAAATTGGCAAGTGGTAAAGAGTTGTACTGTAACCATAACCATGCCTTAACCTTCAGTATTTGTAAATCAAATAACAGATATGGAAACTGAACCATCAGTTGCTGCAATAATAGGAATAAATAAAAGTGCAGGCCTAGATGAGATAGGAATCAAATATGACCATGAAATAGAAATAGGCATAGGCTAGATAATGAACAAGCCACTCCGACTGGTTGTAATACACACAAAAGGAAACTAAGTGAAGAGACAAATGAATTATTATCTGACAATACTGGTAAAAACCAAAGTAACCACTCGAAACGGGCTAACATAAGACAAATTATACTGTATTCCGATCACCACCAAGGACCATTTGAAGTAATTATTCAGAGCAAAAGCGGTGATAAAATCAACCCATTTGCCATAGGAAAAATAATTAAAAACCATCACAACAAGATAGATTTCATTAAAAGATCAGGAAAAGGACTGTGACATGTAAGGACACTGTAAGGAATAAGTTAACCAGATATAGGCCTAGCCTAAAAAGAACAAAAAAAAAATAAAAAAAATTGATAGGCTTGTACCAAGTTACAAACACAAATTTCATGACCGTAACCTTTCGGTCAGATAAGCTCCCAGATATATTTGAACGATGTCAGAATGCCAGTAGAGTAATATTTTTCACCAGTACAACAGTGTTACCTACAATTGTTTTGGACACACTGCTAGATTACCTTGTGGAAAGGGAAAAATATGCTGGGATTGTGGACAAAAATTCCATGGAGGACAACCATGCACAAATGCAAAATGTTGCACCAATTGTCAGGGACAACATAGCAGTAACAACAGATAATGTCCTGAATACCGGTACACTAGGAAAAAAATCATTAAAAGGATGACACTTTACAGAGAAGATTTTTTTTAAATGCCAAACAAAAAAACTATAATGTTAACTCAATGAATAGGCCCTAAACAATCTTATACTCTAAAATTTCTGGGAATAAGCGACATAATACACCAGTTCAAAGTCACCCATCACCTTCATGAGAAGGCCCAAACCAATCCAATCTTATACAGCTTAGAAACCAATTCACAGTACTTTCTGACACAGACCTAGAAAATAATAGCGACCACAACTATTCCCCACACAAGACAAAACCAAGAACTTACCCGTCCCAAACAAAGAACAAAATGGGAAACACATATCCTATATGTGTATAAGTTACACACCCGAGAGATAGGTACAACAATTAATCCTACCCTACCAACAGAATATTGTTAATGTAGGACCACCTGCAACAATGGACCCCTGAAAAAATTGCTGAATGAAAAAGTCAAAGGACTAAGAAACAAAATAAGCACATAAAGAAGTATCAGCAAAAAGACATGGCAGACAAAGAAATAAAATCATCTCACAGTAATACCGCAGGAAAACAAATGACAGTGGAAAACAAGTCTAGTAATCCTAGGCCATAGAGATAAAAATTATGACATCAGAAATTAATATAACTCAATGGAATTCAAAGTCAACCAAATATAAATGGTCTGAATTGAGCAATTATATGACAAAAAATCAAATTCACGACATAGGAATCATCCAAGAGACTTGGCTGATAGACAAAAAAATACATGATAAAAGTTTCAAATTTACCAAACTAGATAGACACGATGGCTACAGAGGAGATGCAATAATTACACACAATTCAGTGCATTTTAAAATCATAAAAGAATATAATGAAGGATCACTTCAAATGCTTGGCATGTGTGACCTTTTATTTATACACTATTTTAGCCACTTTCTTTAAAGTTGTATTAGGCCTATATGTTATTTTGATCACTGTAATGGGATATGAAAAATAATAGCCTAAAGCGAAATAATTTTAAAATACTCTTCTTTTATTATTTTAAAAATCAAATGCAAAAATCCATAATGTTTTTAATAATCTAAATAAGGTATTCCACCCAAAAAGGTCTGTTCTAACTGTTTGAATGGCAAGTTTAAATATAGGCCTAATATTTGATTTGAGTTTATAAACCAATAATACAAATATAAATAGCTAATCCTACTTGAATAGTGTTCTGATGAAAGTTTTGATCTAAGTTATTTACTCATCTGATGTCTCGTGAACTGGAACATGGCCGAAGAACCAGAGACCCTCCCTCCGAGTAAGTCCTTGTGACCTTGAACGTGGATGCCAATGAACATATTATTTCTTCACCGAAGAAGTCTATCTACTGACTGGCGGAGAAATATGTTGATCGGTCGAAGTCTATCTCGCACACTTAATCACAAGCCGATTATACGTGGTCCTTTATCGTCCACTCACGCCGACAGGAAACCATCGGTGACTCGGGTGTAGGCTACTCGAGCTTTGAACTATAGTCACTTCGGTATTCTACCAGACATTTATTCACAAGCCGATTACACATGGTTCTATGTCATCCACACAGGTTGATAGAAGACAGTTGATGACTAGTATGCACTCGAACTACAGTGTTCTATCAACTTCACGTTGAATTCCGTTGACTATCGTACACGCACGTCTGTTATCTCGGGCTCCCTCGTGCGACTCTCCTTGGACTGTATGCCCCTACGTCAGCGGAAGTGTTTTACTAGGACGCTCCTAGCGGTCAATCTCTGAAGTTATTGTAATCTCCATTTTGATAAGGCAGATTGTTGTAGTGTGCTGCGCTCTACGCTTTAGTTTTAAAACTATTATACCGTTTGTCAAATTTCCCCATCACACATGCAAATTACAAACACTACCAAACCATTCAACATCTACAAAAGGCCTATACATATATTGTACCAAAAACAATGTAAATAAATCCTTCTGGGAAACAGAGGTATTTAACCTAGACAAGGGATACAACATAATCTGTGGGGATTTTAATGCTCACCATCCCTTTTGGAACCCATCAAAACCAGATAAAAGGGGCAATGATATATATAGGCACTTCAGCACTTCCAACTTGATTCTAGCAAACAACCAATCTTTTACATCAATTCCAAATTTATTCAGCAAACAATCAGTGATAGACCTCACCTTTTTAACACATTAGTTATACACGTACACTTAAAAAAGTGGAAAGTTATATCTGATGCAATGGGGAGCAATCAATGATATTTGAAAATTTCAAACCAACTCAGAACACAAAAATTAGCCAAAAAGAAATGTACCTATCAAAAGCAAACTGGTCTCAGTACAGAAAAAAAATTGAAAGCAAAACCAATAACATTATTGACCTACCTTTAACCAAACAGATTGAAAACTTGAAGGAATAATACAGAACCTGCCAACAAAGCTATTCCTAACTGGATGAGTCCTAATTTGCAAAAAATGAAGGATGGTATCAAGTATGTGCTAAAATAGAGGAAAAAAATTGTAAATTTGTATGGAAGGTGATAAGAAAACTTAAACCGAATTAAAATCAACTAGATACTACACCAATGAATGAGAATATAGATCTTACTGAAAAATTCTTGAAACATATTGTTCCTGATTACGTAGCCCAAGCAGAGGAAATAAAATCACCCATAATTTGTGGAACAATCAACCTTCTGGAAAAAAAATACCATGAAAGAACTAATGGCTGCTATCAACTCGAAGAAAACAGATACTGCAACAGGCAGCGACACAATCACATACAGCATGATTATAAACCTTCCAGAAAATACCCTGACCATACTGCTAAAAATCTATAACAATATATGGATGGACAAAATAGGAATGCCTGATAAATGGAAGCAAATTAAAATAGTAGTTATATTAAAGCCGAACAAAGACATAAACGATGAGAAATCATACCGTCCCATATCCCTCATACCGTAATGATCAAAATCATGAATGTTATGGTTAAATACAGACGAGTGGTTTGATGAAAAACATATAATTCCTTCCACACAGTATGGATTTAGGAAAAAACGGGGTTGTTCTGATTATCTTCTCAACCTAATCTTCGACTTAGAAACTGTAAAAACATTGAACGAAATATCAATTCTGACATCGTTGGACATTTCAAGCGCATATGACAGAGTAAATCTAACATACTTATTAAAAAAAATGTATCTGTATGGAATACTCAAAAAATTCATCATACACTGTCAGAAATTTGGCTGGTTGACAAAACCCTCAACACAGAAGCCGAGAACCAAATAATTTCCAGAGTCACATGCCGTGGCCTTCTTCAAGGAAGCACACAAAGCCCCATTTTGTTTTCAATTTACATATCGAAAATAAATAAATGTTTACCTGATGGAGTCCTATCATTACAATATGCAGACGATGTCGCTATATATGCATCAAACAAAAAGGCAACACAAGCTACTGAGAATATGCAGATAGCCTAGCCCTAACAAACATCTCACTACAGCAACTAAGTGAAATGTTTTTGGAAATTAATGCAGAGAAATCTAAGATTATCATAATATCTAGAAAAAGGAAAAAAAGAAACTCCAACCTTGACCATGAATGGACATCAAATCCCACTGGAAGATCAAATTAACTTACTAGGTATTACAATTGAAAATAAATTAAAATTCAATGAACATATAAATAACATAACAAAGCAATGTGAGAAAGACATCAATATATTGAAAATGATAACATGCGAAAAAAAGGAGTTAATCCACAGTTTGCATTGAAGATATACAAGGGCTTGATCAGACCAAAATGGGAGTATTTTTCTTTCCTATTTTATCAGTGCCCCAAACAAATTCTTAACAAAATTGAAAAACATCCAAAATCATGCATTAAGGATTTCATAGGAGCCTTCAAATCATCACCAATAATAGCACTACAGAAAAAAGCAGCAATTGAATCAACTAAATTAGACACAACAATCTCACAGAAAGAACTATCTATAAAACACTCACTGACCACACAATTAATAGAAATAGACACAAAATCCTTTATTTTGATCTTCTAACAAAAATAAACCCGTACTGGAGACACAAAAGAATCCCTTCATAAATTGAAGTCAAATCGAATAGAATATAATTCAATCAACCATAACATTTTTTTACCCAAACCTATTAGAGAATGAACAGGAAAATGTAAGAACCACTGATTCGGACGAACCACCAATACTAACCCACATTCTAGTCCACATCAATGACACCTTAAATTATTTCCAGCAATAAAAAAAAGAGACAAACCCAATTTTTTATCAGCAGATGGCAAATGAAATATTAGGGACAACACACAGGAAATTATGTAAAATATTTACTTATGGATCCAAAACCACTAAAGGAACCGGAGCAGCATACATCATCCCACAACTTAAAATAGAAAAAAGATATAAGCTACCCAAGCACACATCAATTTACTCAGCGGAATCATTTGCACTACTCATCTGTACTCAGAATCTGGCTGAAATTCCTACCAATGAAGTATTGATATGTAGTGATTCACTTTCCGCAATTTCATCCATTAAAAACCTATGCAACAGAACATCAAATAATGCAAACAATATGAGCTTAGCAATCTTGAAAAATTGTATGGATTCCAAAAAGATGGCCACTCTTCAATGGGTTCCTAGCCATGTAGGATTAAGATATAATGGAAAAGTGGACACCGCAGCAAAGAAAGCAATAACAACTGGAAATGACAAAAATAACATAATTTTACCAATAAATGACTTGAGATCATATCAAAAGGATAGGACATGGAAACAAAGAAATAATACATTAAAAACTACACCCAAGGCCTACTGGTATAAATCCATACAAAATCGTAGCACACTAGCTCCATGGTACCACAGTACAGACTTGTACAATTTTTTTTTTTTTTTTTTGTCAATTTCAATATTTGTCATGAGAGCCGAAGCCCCCTGACTACATACCCGGTACCTATCGTGAGACTTACCCGGGCCCCATGATGTAGGCCGAAGCTTACGCATCAACCTTTTGCACATCATGGGCGGATGACTTAAGGTCATCAGGCTCACCGGCTGCCGAAGCAGACCCTTCGGAAAGAGGGTTACCCCTCAATCCTAACCAGGGTTTCCGGCTACTTGTTTAAGCGTCACTCCACCTGGGTTCCACTAGGTCGGGACCTAGAGGACCATGGTAGAGCGCCCCGACGCATTTAGTGCAAGTAACACTCGGGACCTATCTAATCCCTGACAGGCAAACCCGCCATCAATAGCCAGAAGGAAGGGGACCGTCAGCACGCTGACGGGGGGAACCCCAACCTCCCATTTACACCACTACCCGATCGAGGCCTTACCCAGTTGCTGGGAAACCAGAGATAACCAGAGCGATAGATCCCCAGATACCCCTGGCGGGCTCGGACCCAGCACCCGATCTACTTCGTTTGCCCGTCAGACCCAACATCACTGCCAGGCCATCAGGGTTTCCCAAAAGGAGGCAGGTATAGAAGTGGGACCCACCCGGATGAACCTATCCACCAGAGGTGGCGACACCCTTGACTCAATTGAGGTTCCGGGAAGAACCCCCCACACTCAAGATAACCATACCGTCCGTGCTCAGAGACAGGGATTGGTTTGCATAAGTGCCTACAAACCGTTACCCTCACACTGCGGAAAGTTACGTTGCCCTTGAGTGTCCCCGTGAGCTACGGGTACTTGCCCGTTTTCACCTCCAGGAAAGGTTACTTCCAAAGTCGAGGATTTGCCACACTGAATGCTGGTCGCACACAACAAGCAGGCCGAAGCCCAAAGAACCACAGACACAGGTAGGTTAGAGAATATGATGCACTTCCATCTCTCCTAGAGCTAAACACCCCTCCATCCTGGATAAAGGAATGTCACTGGGACCCAATGCCCAGTCGTCCAAGTCTGTGGCCTACTTGAAAATCCCGATACCAACACCGAGCAGTTACCTCCCCTTTGGGGGCTAGGTTTTTCACCTCCCAGGACGAGGCTACTTCCAAAGTCGAGGATATGCCTCACAAAATGTCAGTCGAACACAACAGGTAGGACGAGCCCGAAGAACTCAAGTCACAACCACAAGCTACAGGCAGGTGAAAGATCTATGAACTTAATCAACACTAGCAGAGCTAAACACCCCACCACCCTGAATGGAGGAAATGTCACTGGGTACTCTCACTTTGGGTACAACCCAAAGAGGCTGGCTTGTCCAGTCGTCCATAGCTTGTGGCCTACCTGAAGTGCCGGTTCCAACACCGGGCAATTACCTCCCCTCTGGGAGAGCTAGGGTCCGCGTGGTCGCCAGGCCACGTACCCACGCAAGCGTGGGCCCCCTGCGGGTTCAGACTTGTACAGATGGGAAATAACCAACGTCATAAGGATGAGGATTGGTCACACCATGTTAAATAAAACACTTCATAGAATGAATCTCTATTTCACGCCACTGTGCTTAAAATGCACTGCAGGGACTGTAGCATCAATAGAACATGTTATATTGGAATGTCCTCAATATGAATATGCGAGAAAGAAATGCTTTAAAGAAATAAACAGAATCACAAACTATGACTTAAAAAACAAAAAAAGAGAAATACTTGCCCGCCTAGACACTGAAATGTACAGAGAAATTTAATAACTATCTACGAACAATCAAGAAAAATATATAAACTCACATAGAACAACGACTCAAAAAACAATATCCTGTGGCATTGGGTTCTTCTTTCCGTGGTCCCCCTCCCTTTCAGGTTAGGGTAGGCCTGACGGACCCCTGGCCGAGAAGAGCATCTCAAATCCAAACCTTATATATCCTTGTACATCCTCTCCCTTAGAATTATCCCTCTTTAAAGTATACATACTAACTAAAACTCAAAAACAAAACAAGACATAACACATAAATGGCATCAGTGACTAACAAAAATCTATAGGCCATGTTTGTTACAGATAAATGTGAAAAAAAATCTACTAACCCAGGCATCCACAAGGTGATAAAAGGAAATTAAATTCAGAAGTTTGTGTAAAATTGATTACATGGTGATTAAATGCCAAGTCAGCCATTAGGTATTAAGGAGAAATTTAAAAAAGGTGTGTTATTTTTAAAGTTTACAGCTAAGTTTAGAGATGGACGGGTCTCGAAATTTTTGGGAAATGCTTATTAATTTTTTACATGGAAATATTGCTTGAATTGTTTTATAATTATTTTTGAAATAGATAATGATGAGAAGTTTTGTTAGTGTAAGCAGTGTGAGACATGTGACTGTTAACATAGCAAAAATAAGTCACACTAAAATAATTCTAAAAATAACACAAGACTTAAAAATTGTTACTTGATACTTAACTAGTAATACTGTTGTTTTAGACTTATAAATTTGATATTTTTCAAAGTTGAACTATAGTAAACTCCCTCTTATCCGGACACCTCTTATCCGGACACCTTTTAACCGGACTACACTCGACGGAAATGACATCTCTTTAACCGGACAATTTTTATCAGCACATTGGTTTAACCGGACTAGATCGCCAGGAAGTGGGCTGTACTGAAACGACTGTTCTTGTGGGAAAGATTTGAGACCAGTGATCACATGTCTAAATACAATGCTCTCCTACATTTAGGTCGAATATCTCAGTAAATAGTGTGTTTTAACGAGTTTTTGGGGACATTGGCTTAACCGGAAAACCCGTTATCCGGACTGGCCTCGGTCTCGAGGAAGTCCGGGTAAGAGGGAGTCTAGCCTACTTTATATACTAAACTGATATCTCCATGTTTTCTATGCTGAAGAGTTATTTTTAATAAGTTAGACCTTATTATATGTTTTTTATACTGATGTTTTTATTAATGTTTTTTAATAACAGTTTTTAAATATTTTTGTCTATTATTATTTTTTTATTCAACAAGTCTGTTATAAATCAGTAGGTATTTAAAAATGTTAAAAACAAACAGGTTAAAATGTAGAACAAGCATTTCCCGTTATGTATAAGAAGGGAAATCCCGTCTCAAAATTGTATGTAAAAAAATCCCGCCTCGTCTCGTCTCGAACTAAAAATCCAATCTCGTCCATCCCTAGCTAAGTTTAAACCAACTCTTCTTTTAAAACCTTCAATTTGGTTTTATAAATATAACCTGTAGTAAACTTCAGCTGCAAGTAATGCTGGGACCAATATAAGGTTTTAATATTCCAATTATAAATATCTAATCGTGAATGGTATATAAGCTTATATTTGAAGACAACATTGTTCTTTTGTTTAAGATATGCTATAGTCCGAAAGCAATGTTTCTGTAACCGATCAATAAGTAACTTTTCAATATCAATAAGGCTAAGTTAAGGCTTATAGGCTATTGATATCCTCAATCAGCAAACCTTCAGCAATAATTTTTCTGATGGTTAAAAATCAAGTTGTTGAGTCAAAAATTAGGTATTAATTATTTTTCCGTTTTAGGTTTTCTGCTCTGTACAGATTTAGCTTGCCCAATTTTGGAGGAAGATTTCTTTCACAATGGTAAGCTGTATTCAGAAATGTATTTAGCCTATGCCTACACTAGCTTGGATATTAATAACTTAAACAGCAGTGTTCATTTATTTTTTCAGCTTTGTGTTTCCTCAAAAAATAAGTCTAGCTTGAATGAAGCCAGGGACCACAATTCAATATTAAGACAAATAACAACAAGAGAATGAATTATAACTTTTTATTTAATTTAGAAGTTTTAATTCATTTTCTTATAGACATAAATATCTATTGTCTATTAAGATAATTTAAGATCATCATAAGACATTAAAAACAGTGTTAATGTAAACATAAACAATAAAGCAGTCTGTGACCAGGTTATGTTGAGCCTGTTTGGCGCCTTGTTGTCACTACTAGTAGGCTACTCACTTTTGATCCGACAAAAGACAAAAGCGCTGCGGCACTGACAACTGTCGGCCGTCCCACCAAAAATATTCCCCGCCTTGCATTTCACACTGAAGTAGGGCGGCAGTTCGGCATACAACATACAAATGCGCTCCGCTCTCTCCCATAATCATATTATTCTACGTGACGAAGTATGGATGTAGAATTGCCAAAAAAATATATTTAATAGTTTTCAATTCTAGTTAGTAGCCTACTACGATTCCATTCAAGCTATGAAAAAAGTTTATTTTTAATTATTCTTACAATTTGATTCAAAAGCCATTTTATTATTTTGCGCCCCTATGCTTCCTGCACCCTCTGCCACCAATGCATTGCTACGTCCCTGTCACCAGAATGAATAAACTGAAATTGTCAACATAAAGATCTACAGTAACCACCAAATGTCATTTGACCTAAGTTAGGCTACATTAACTTAAATACTATTTAAAAAAAATGTTCACTTAGGTATTATTGTTTTATATTACCTGATCAAACTAAAAGTAGCCTATTAATTTATTGTGTGTTACATGTAACTTATGTGTTGTGTATTACAGCCACCTCTAATACAAGGCCGCGACGTTCGAACTGGCAACGCAGCAATCACACCCCCTCTGTGTCCGTCTTCACACGCGCTAGGGTATGAACATCAATGAGAGTATTGCTGCTCTGTATCAATGAATGAAAGTATTTAAATACGTAATAACATATTTTAGTAGATTTTAAGGTATGGTAAAATAGACAAAATTGGAATCTAGGTTGTTTATTTAGTGAAAAATTGCAACATACCACAATATGTCTAAAACTAAAAATATACAAACATAATGTTTTTGGTTGCATTTATCATATTGTAAGTACGATGAATGTGGAAATAGATGGACTTTTCATATTTCCTTTGTTAATTTGATAATCTACACTATTATATAACAATCTCATGGTGTCTGTACATATGTGCGTTATTCAACATAGTAAAAACTACTAGACAGACTGTGCTTAAATTTTACAAAATAAAGCTACTATGCCAAGAATGGTAATACAGTAGGACTGACTAACTTATTGCCACTTCAATATTTCTAGAGACTTTGGGATTTGTAGAGACTAACATCTACCAATTTTGTTCGAATAAAATTAATTTTCATTTTTCAATAGGAATATTATGTTTTAGTCTACCTGAGAAAACCATTAGTTAGCGACAACAAAATTTTAAGTTTTCATTTTGAAGGCATACTGACTATAAATAAATTATTTTTTTTGAATAATTACTAAGCAAAACGTTTTTCATTTTGTAAACGATTTAAGAAGCTAGGCCTCCATATGGCTTTCCACAATATTAATAGAATTTTTTTTATCACATCAACATTCAGACTGGAGTCGGAGAATATGATGCTTTAATTGTTAGATAGTGTAGTACATATTTTTTACTAGTAGGCCTACTTAACAGAAACACCGGTTTATTTCTTCGAAGTGCTAGTTATTTAAGTTATTTTAATCACTTAACAACAGCTTTTATCAATAGATAGACAAATAAGCAAGGAAATAGTACGGCTTTCTCATACCTAAAACTCGCTTCTCGCGTGTATATTTACACGAATCAAAGTCTTATTCTTACATTTTTTTACAAATTTAAGTTCATATTCGTGAAAATGTTTCACACAAAAACGAGAATGGTTTTAAGATGTCTAATTTGATCGAAGAATAGCAGGAAGCAATTGTTGCTTACGCGACGGATCACGTAGAATCTTAGAACACTGTATGTATTATTCATTTTTAATTGAGCTATCGTAATAATTCTTGCATCCAGGCACATCACATCTATCTAGCATGCTGTAGTAATAAGTTTAAAGTCATTAATAATGATTAAAGGTAGTAGAAACGCGATTATGTACGTCGGTACGCGACTCCTCCATTCACTGTAATAATAAGACGACCGCGCACCAAGACACTGATGCGACGTTGCCGCTTTTCACTCGCCGCGGCCTTGTATTAGAGGTGGCTGTGATTTAAACCATCAACAAAGCCGTCCAAGCAGATTTAATGTTTTTTCCTGGACTGTATAGGCTAACTTAACTTAAGTTGGTGTTTGAAAATGGTAGCTTGCCAAAACATAGGCAAGTTGAAGTTGAGTTGTATATGTTGAATGTTACAATTTGAACTAATATGACAGGTAATATAAACCAATTACGCCTAGTCAATATTGCAGTTTTGGGGCCACTACAACCAATAAAAAGATTCACCAGTGACTATTGAAATCAAAGGGTAAATTAAACTATAGGCCTATGTTTCTTTTGACAAATATTATTCTTGATTCAATGTTAATAATATTAGACCTAGATAGATTTTGATGAGATTAGATTTTGACAAGGCTGTAGTATCAGAATACATAGGTCTATTTTAAGCAAAGATCAGTAGAAGGGTGAATGTTGAATGAATTTGATGGTGGCTTCGTTTTGTTACTGACCAGGATCTGCTGGTACTTCAGCCAGGATCATTTGTTAAAAGCCCAATGATTAAGAACAACTGGGTCCAGTTTTGACCCGTCAAAAAGATTTAACTGTAGGCTTACTCTGGTTGAACCAAGGCAGCTACTCTGCTATATGTGTTGGATGAATGTGCTTATTTCAGTTAATTTCCGTACATAAAATATTAAGATTAATGGGCTCAAGATAGTAAATGCTTACTAACTTATTGAAAAATATACCTTTTTAGGCCAGCAATAACCGTCCCAAATGGATGGTTCTAGAAGATTATAAGCAGCTTCAAAAACAAAAATCTCGGGACAGTTTAGAAGCTGAAAAGATGAAGATGGACAAGAATGCAGAGTGGCGTAACCTTCAGAGGAGGTTGAAAACAGAACAAACTGAAGCTGAAATGGAGACTTTACTTGCCAAAGTAAGTTTAAAGACGCATCCAACAAATATAATCAGTTGTTTGTATTTGTTCAGTAAATTACAAATAGAGATTAAGGGATATATTAAAACAGCGAATTTGATTGCATAAGTTTCAGAAAAAAGTAGAGGGTTCTTTTGTAAAGATAAGGTGTTAAGTTTAATTTTCTAAAAATTGTTGCCATATCAACTACCTAAAACTTTTTTCTCGGCACGAGTTAGTTATGTAACCTCCCTCAATGTATTTATAAACCTTGTGTTTTTGTTCTAAAATCCACTTAAAACTACAACCAGAATGTAATTACAGCCATAACATACTGCATATTCAATTGTTTTGAAATTTTAAAACAGCTTATTTTATGCATTGTAAGGTGTTAATTCCGAGGGGGGTAAAATTACACCTTATATGCCTCGGATCTGCTACCAGTCAGGTGTGTCCAGGGTTCAAGTTAAATTATTAATTGCTTGGCTCAGACCATAGGATATTATCATTTATTCAGTAAATCATTGATCATCATCATTGCCCAAATTAAAGCCAATTAATCCCCGATTGTGTTTTTATTATCATTTACGTTCAGTTAAAAGGCTAATCAAACGTCACAAAAAGAAAGAACCGTAGGTTAGCCGTGAACCAACACTACTGCTAGTGCGTTACCTACGCTCAAAAAATAAAATTACTTGTAAAAAGGTTACTTCACCTTTTAATCAAAACCAATAAAATCAAAAATAAGAATAACTAAAGAAAATTATTGTCACGACTAACAACTACGTCCTAGGTTCCCTGAGTTGTTTCCCCCGGGTGTGACGTGGGGAATATCTCAGGTTTAAATCAATTTTAAGTGAATTAATCTAAATAGATGGGTATTAATTAATAGACCACACGACGGGACGGATCACGACAAGGCTGTTCCGCCCGTCACCTAATAAGAATCTAAATTGGTAACAAGTGAAGTAATATAAGCAGAGCTTTTTCGTCCGCCACCTAGTAATTCTATTTAACAAAATAAAATACGTTCTGTAACAACTATAATTTATGGTTATGAGTGAGAAGTGCAGAACTAAGCTCCTATCGATAGACGTGAGCTGTTTCGCCCGTCCCCTAACAACCAAATTTTAATAACAAAATAAATGGAATACGTTCTTTAACAACTATAATTTATGGTTGTTAATGACAAGTGTAGAGCTAAGCTACTATCGATGGACGTGAGCTGTTTCGCCCGTCCCCTAACAATTCAATTTAATAAAATACGGTAGTAGACATCTATTAGTCTACACCAAGAATCAATCTAACTCTCAAGAAGACAACTAACAATACCCGTAAACAGTCTTGTTCAGACTATAACCTATCTACCTAGCTATTTAGCTCGAAACTATCTTGGCCTATAAATTCCACCAAAAAGGAATATAACAGAAAAAAATAATAATAGTGAATTTAATTATATTTAATACTCAGAATACTTACAGTTGGTGATCGTCCAGATTAGGGACGACGTCCACGTTTATTTTACCCAATGGGTTTGGTAAATTAGAGCAGGTTAACAAGGAGAAGCCAAGAGAGGGAAGTGACCAGCTACACGCCGGCCGATCGAATGCCGGTTGATCCTAGGTCCTGGAGAACTCTCGCCCTACCCCTACCACTACGTCCTTAAAACGCTACTAGTGCGGCAGGTGGACACTGCCGGTAACATTTCCCGCTCTAATTTAAAATTTAATAGAGATCCAATTTTGGACCTTACACTCTCTTCCCACTTTCGGGAAAGAAAAAAAAACAGACGGCATTGTTTGTATTCATATATACATTTGTAATATTGGTTTGCCCTTAGTTAGGGGTTATGTAAGGTAGTACCCAATGAAACGACAAGCACCATATTCTAAGTAACAGAACAATTTACTTCACAAAGGTACAAAACAACAGTAACATTCTATATAAAATAAAATTAAAATAACAAGCTTTTCGTCTAGCAAAATTAACGAATACTGTCACAAGGAACTAATTGGTAACAGAAAATACGGCCTTTTGGCCTACGGAAACAAAACTTCTCCTTTAAATGAAATCACCACTTTACCCTTTATAAACCCGATTAGTGCCAGCGCCTCCGGGATTGAGGCTTCAGTACTTTCTCCCGGTAGAAGGTCCCGTCCTCTCTCTACCTTCTTATTTTGTAGAAGCGGTTCGGCCTCCGCCGCCATTCTGATTCTCCGGGAAGTTCCTCTGGTCCCAGGAGAGTGTTACGCACCTCCCTCCACAATGGTCTGGTTAACGATGGACGAGAGCTGTTTCGCCCGTCTTCGGAAGCACCGATCTCGAGATTGTCTTCATCCACCAAAATACTCAGGACCGGTGTTGAGGGTCGACCTCCCCTTCTTCCAACTCGGGCTCCCGGGTAGCTTCCTCTTCCATCCCAGACATTTCAATAAAACTGGGCGCTGCCCTAAATGAGTTGTAGCCCCGGAAACTGACTTGATCCTCCATTAAATCGTCCTTTATTTGCCGTCCTTCTCTAGTGACTATCGATAATAGCAGGAGTCTGGCATGGGGAATTCCTGCATAACGTCGTCCGTGCTCGTCTGCCTGATTAACCTCAAGTAGGGCGAAGTTCTCATCTTCTAATCGGCCCCTCCTAAGGGTTCGGGCATTTTTTTTTGCCATTCGCACGGGTTGATGGTCAAGTCTTTAATAATCCCCGAATAATTGGATAGCTTTTCCGCCATTGCACACAAAAAGTTGCCACACGACGACTTATCAGGCTGTCGCGGAGCCTCGTCTGGTGTCTCAAAGAGGGACCATTCCCCGGGGTTGAACTCCACCCCCTGGACCAATGCCACCTTCTCTAGGTAACTCAACACTAGTTTCATTTGGGGAGCCCTGCGCAAGTGGACCGAGTCGTAGGCCTGCAAGAATTTTGCCCAAGTGTTCACCTCCACCAAGGCCCAATGCCCAACCTCACTGACCTCCGGAAGGTGTACCGGGAACAACAATAGTTCATGCACAAAAGAGGCAACTTCACTCACACGCTCCCTGGTAGCTCGGATACCGCCTTTCGCCCAGTCTCCAAAGAACTCAGTGTCAAAAGCCCAAGTGGAGGGCACTTCGCGATAATACCGACTTTGGGGCTCTAGGAGCCTTAAGTAGGCGTTAATTACCAGTCCATCAATACAATCATTATTGTACAGCGCAACCAGCTCACCACTACTAATTTTTATTATAGGCCTTAAGGTAGCCATGCTAAGGTGCACAGGGGATGGTGTGAAGCAAGAGTGGGGAACTATGATATCATGCACAAGCCAAGCACTACAATGCAAAAGTGGAACCTGCAAACAAGAGAAATCAATCAATTTTAGATAAAATAGTGATAAAACTATGCTACGCACCAACTATGTACAGCAAATTAAATACTAGTGAAATGAAAACTTAACTATTGGGACAATTTATGATTAGTCAACTGTGTAGATTTATTTATAAGTTAGTCGACCATCGGACGCTCCTGGAGTGCCTTTAAATCTTTGACATGAGCAGTTTGCTTTTTCCTTGAACCGGGCAATTGAATTTCATACATGTTTTAGCCTACTTTACGGGTAATAACAAATGACCCGTCATATTTTGGCGACAATTTTGTGGCCACGGCATTAGCTTTGGACGATAAAATATGAGTCCGTTTTAATTCTTGCTGACCAACCGCATATTGTACATCCCGGCATCGCAGATTATTGCTTGAGATGAAAACGTGTTTCGCAAGTTTCTTGGTATAGAGTTGCTTGGTATAGAGCCCTAAAACGTTGCATTCGCTCGTGGTGTAATTCATCAGGAGTTATTTCACCCCCGTCATTAGCAACCTCAAATAACAGACCACGGATCGCGTCAGGCACCCTGCGCCACTAGGGTTTTAATTACCCGGTTGCGCCTCTCAATAGGGTTGGACTGGGGACTGTATGGGGCTGTATTTTGACAGGTTATGTCCCAGTCCTTTGCTAGCTCCTGGAATACGCGAGCACAAAATTGAGTACCATTATCTATGAAAAGCACTTCAGGAGACCCATGCCGCAATAAGACCAGTTCCTTAAATTTCTGGGCTACTTGCGTGGCAGTGGCACTTCTAAGTAGCGCCGTTTCAGTCCACTTACTGTACTGATCTTGGAAGGCTACAATAAACGTGTTTCCTTTTTTAGAACATGGTAGGGGCCCCATAAGATCTGCCGAAACCGTGTGCCAGGGCCCACCGGGAGGGCGAAAATGCATAACTCTGGCCGGCTTTGTCTGTTCGACCTTAAACTTTTGGCACGTAGCACAACTTCTAACGTAAGCCCGGACGTCTTTCCGCGAGCCCGGCCAGAAATAACTCTCTCTAGTTCATTTGGCTGTTTTCTTAAAGCTGAAATGACTGGCAGTAAGGGAGTCGTGGGTTTCAACCAATACCCTTTCACAGTCCTCTACTCGAACACAAAGCTTCCAACATTCCTTCTGTTTGCCGTGGGACACTTTCCGCCTAAACAATTTATATAGCTTATCGTCCCGAATAGAGAATATATGGTTGGAAACTGGATTTCTGGCTACCTTTGCAAAAAGACGGTCATACTATTTATCCACGTACCCTGTAACACTGTCCTGGGGCTGTTTCACCACCTGACTCGGGGTGCTCACGTCCACGGGACAAGCTGACACGTCCAGGTCATCAGTCGTCAGATCCTCAACTGGAAAACACGCCATTGTGTCAGCTTCACGGTTGTATGCCCCTTTCCTACTCTACATCAAATTCATTTTGCTGGAGCTCAAGAACCCACCTGGCCAGCCGTTCAATAGGTTCTTTTAGACGCAAGAGCCACTTTAGCGTGATATGGTCCATCACCGCAATAAAGCGGTAACGCTCTAAATAGGGGCAAAATTTCTTTACCGCCCAGACTAAAGCCAAGCATTCTTTCTCGGTTACAGTGTACTTACGTTCGGCATTTGAAAGCAGACGACTCGCGTAGGCGATGACCACCTCCCCATTGTCACGACGTTGGGTGAGGGAGGCTCCTAATCCTTCGTCTGACGCGTCCACTTGGAGGACGAATTAGTAATAGTAATTCTATTTAACAAAATAAAATACGTTCTGTAACAACTATAATTTATGGTTATGAGTGTCAAGTGCAGTGAACTAAGCTCCTATCGATGGACGTGAGCTGTTTCGCCCGTCCCCTTGTAACGTTATTTCCATGATTAATTACTTTTTCATTTTGTGCAATTGGCCTAAAGAGGAGACCCAAAATAAAAATTCATCATTGTTACAAAAATCATAGTTTATTTAAAATAATACAATTACTCATAAAACACTTTCTGCTACACCTTTAGAGCCCAAAATCAAACTGAAATTTTTTTACATCCATTTGTTTTTTAATATAAAAAAATAACAAATTTAAAACATTTGGCTAATATTTTATTGGACATTTTAAAACAATTAATTCCTGGTACACACTTGAGCCCTGTGAACAAACAAACCCTTTCCTAGCTTATCTGTCTACAATACAAATACATATTTCTTTAATGTTTCAAACTTCTTTAAATTTAATTCAAACTTCTTTAAATTGAATTCAAACTTCTTTAAATTGAATTCAAACTTCTTCAAATTGAATTCAAACATCTTTAAATTAAAAAGCTAAACAATTTAATTAAAATCCTTTAAAAATTAAATTACACTAATTTCTTCCTGAATGGAATAAAATTTACAATTAATAAACTTTACTAGAAACTTTAAAAACTTTACTGTAATTAGCATTTATTGTTTTAATATCCAAATTTAACTCTTTTAAAAAAGTCTAAAAGAAAGGTGCATTTTATATTTACATCTTTTACTAATTGAAAGCAAAGTTTAAAATTTAAAAGAAAATATCTATGATCTTTCTTGTTATTACAATAATTAGCAGAGAGAGGGATAAAAGTGAATGGATTAAAATAACATCAAAATTATAATAAACTTACTACTCATATGAAAAGGATATGAAAAGGACTATTATGTATTAGTCCTTGAAAGAATAATTCAATGAATTCTGTATTAAAGGTAATGATTTGTCCCAGTTTGTCTGTTTATGGTGGTTACCTAATCTCTTTTAAGTGCTTCTCTCAAGCCCAAAGGCACAAAACAATCTAAAACTTCTTTGTGTAGGAACTCTAAATTTTTATGTGTAGATTTATTTACACTCCAAAATTTTACCACACAGAGGTCCACTACAATACTGTTGACACAACTCTAGAATGTGGCAATTTGGTAGATTAGTATCTTCTTTTATTCTTAGAGTCACGCTTAAAAAATTTTAATAAAGCGTCAATCTTTAGACCGTCACAGACTTGCAGATTTTCAAAATATTTCAGAATGGGGTTTGGTAATTTAGAAAAAAGGTTACTCTCAGGTGACGTGACATTGCCCAGATTAGAAGGTCCTACCTCAACATGGGAAAGTACAGCCCGTACATTTTGTTGCTCGATATTGTTAGCAAGTAGTTCCTTACTGTTATCTGATTCTATCTCTTGATAAGATTCTTTCTTTCCCTCCTCAGCTATATTACATTTTCGAATACATCATCTAAATTCTCTTCTTCAGTATTATTCTCACTTAACCTACGCAATAGTCCCGTCTTAATATCCTTGTCGATAGATTTACCTATTTCCTCAAATTTAATGTTTAGAGCTTTAAGTTCGTTAGAATATCTTTCAATAGTCTTTTTTGCTTCATCCGATACCTTATATTTTCCAATGTTAGTGATTCTTAGATTTAGGTGTTCAATTTTAGCTTCAAATCTTAAAATATCTATTGGTCGACTGCTGTCGTTTAGGTCCTTTAATTTACCACCCAAAACTTTCAAGCTCGTTTCTATGTAATTAAGTTCCTCATGTAATTACTAACTTGTTACTCAAATATTTGACATCACTATCTGCCTGGTTTCTAATCAACTGTCTTAACTTTTTTCTCAAAACTGAACTTGTACTCCTAACATCTGGCTCAAAGTTTCTTAATTTTAACTCATACTCTAATCCACTCTTAGACAACAAGTCTATCTTAGAACCCATCTTTATATTTATGCTTCCAAACTTCTTATTTCAATTGTCTTAAGACCAATCTTTAATGAAGCGTAAATTAATCCTGGATAATAAAACTAAGCAAAAGGCCCAGTAAGCAGAGTTGCGCAATTTATGTAATGTTATTTCCAAGATTAATTACTTTTTAATTTTGTGTTTCAACCTTCTTTAAATAAGTTTCAAACTTCTTTAAATTGAATTCAAACTTCTTTAAATTAAAAAGCTAAACAATTGAATTAAAATCCTTTAAAAATTCAATTACATTAATTTTTTCCTGAATGAAATAAAATGTACGATTGCTAAACTTTACTAGAAACTTTGAAAACTTTACTGTAATTAGCATTTATTGTTTTAATATCCATATTTGACTCTTTTAAAGAAATTCTAAAAGAAAGGTGCATTTTATATTTACATCTTTTACTAATTGAAAGCAAAGTTTAAAATTTAAAAGAAAACATCTATAATCTTTCTTGTTATTACAATAATTAGCAGAAAGAGGGATAAAAGTGAATGAATCAAAATAAGATCAAAAATAAAATAAACTTAATACTCATTGGGTAGGCTGCAGAAATTCACCCCAGGTCTGGACACGATACATTTACACTCTTGAACTGACAATCCCACATGGAAGCAGCTCCCTTATAAGATATCTCAGTTCTGGAACCTTCTACCCCTACTCGGGCCAGCACTTGCACTGGACCAGATGATAAGGAAGCTTCCAGAGCTTTCTTATCAAGATGTCTTGCTACTATAGGCTACTACTACATTAACTATTGTGAATGTAAAACTTTAATTTCAAATCTTTACAACAAAAAATAAAATAAAAATTATTTTCTCAAATTTCTATACACAACTAAACCATGTTACACCCTAACAACCAAATTTTAATAACAAAATAAATAGAATACGTTCGAACGGGACGACGTCCACGTTTATTTTACCCAATGGGTTTGGTAAATTAGAGCAGGTTAACAAGGAGCAGCCAAGAGAGGGAAGTGACCAGGCCGATCAAATGCCGGTTGATCCTAGGTCCTGGAGAACTCTCGCCCTACCCCTACCACTACATCCTTAAGACGCTACTAGTGCGGCGGGTGTACACTGCCGGTAACATTTCCCGCTCTAATTAAAAATTTAATAGAGGTACAATTTGGGACGTTACAGCATTCACTTTTGAATGATCAGATTTAAGGAAATTAAAAACACAATCTCCCACTGATCATGATGATTATGATCTGCATTTTATTTTAAAACATTGTTTAACAGAGAAGAGAAGAAGCAATTGCAGCAGCTACTGTGAGAGAGGAAGCTGAAAGATCCATCGCAGAAATGAATCGCCTTCAAAATGAAGAACTGAGAGAGAGAAAGATTCGGTGAGTTTATGGATAAAAAATAAGTTTCAAATAATCATTACTGGGTTAAAACTAAGTATACTTCCTTCAAAATTGAGGATCTATTGGGTGGTTCAAATAAGTTTTTATGAAATGAGCTAGGTTTATGTTCATTTTAGGTTTAGTAACCCATCTTTGGAGTGGTAGGCCTACTTGTTCATAAATACACTAATTATGCCTGTTTGTGCATCTATATTTATTGGTTAACCTATGAAAAGTAGCGAACAAATCGGTATTAAGGATTCAGAGCTGGCATTAGGGAGGAGCGAAGAGTGCCGTCGCACTGGCCCCCGCGCCTAGCGGACCCTGCCCTTTGCAGGAAAAAGTAGTATATAATAAATATGAAAGCCCTTGGCCAAACCTAGAACGTAACCTGTAAAAATGTGTTGTGATAAATGGAGTAGATTCAGTCATGTTCAAATAGTTTTAAAAATAAAAGTGCTCTGTTTAAGTTGTAAAATGTTATTCTTTTGAGCAAATCCTGATGTTTTTGTTATCCTGATATCACTGTTTTTCGCATCCATACTTCAATTTGGCTACCAACCAACCACAGTAATTGGACCATTTAACCAATCAGAACCTCAGTATGTACAGTCATCCAATGCAAGCCCCAAACAAAGTTACAAAAATTAAGCATCATCTTATAAAAATAATTTTGTCCTTGTAAGTAATTACATAATAACTTACTTATCTTTAACAAATTTAAACTTGTTGCAATTTAAATTTTAAAGACATAGGCCCCAACCTCAACAGATGATGTACACAATGACTCATTTTTAATTCTGCCATTTCACTAATAGAGTTTCTAGGTAATCAAAACCATTCAATTACCATTGAGTCTACTTGGCCGTGTTGTGAATTCTATGATTTCCATTGTCATTTACTGATTAGCTGCTAGTGTCATTAATTACTGAACCAGTTCAAATTTTGCGTTATTTATTTTTACTAGTCAGCAGTTGAGGGAATCCAGTGAAGAATTGAAGACTCTTGAAGCAAAACTGAAAGCTGCTTATGTCAGTAAAGAGTTGGCCGCACAAATAGCAGAGAAGAGGGCGGCTGCTGCCATAGAAAAAGTAAATTAACATTTTGTTTTTAAGATTTTTTAATTGCAAAAGCTAGTCTTGATAAAATTCTTGCAATATTGTATGAATAAATAATTAGATTAGAACATGGGATGCTTTTGATGGACTTTTAAACTGCGAATTTCTTGTCTCCACGACTTGTTACCTTTTAATTCCATTTTCAACTCCTTATCATAGTAAATCTCCTAAGTCCTAGTAGTACAAATATAAAGTAATGATATTAGGTCACTAACAATAGGCCTCCTCATATAAAAAAAATGTATAAAAAAAAGTTAAGTTTGCCAATCAAAAAAGAATGACAGAGTTCTTCTTTTCAAATAGCTTCGGCTAGTTAATATGCCTATTAAAAAAAATACAAGATAGTTTTAGGGTTTAATTAATAAGAACCTTTTCCTTGTGACAGAAAGAAAGGCGGAAAATTGAAGAGGTTGCTGAAGCCGAAAGGAGATTCATTGAAGAACAGGAGCGAGAGAAATACCAGGCAAACTTAGCTTCTAAGATAAGGTAACTTGTATGAAATATTGTTGCAAATGTTTGATTTGACATGTTTTTAAGATACTTTGCTCGACATTTTTGAACAATAAGGATCTTTATGCAAGTTATCTTTTTTTCATCTATTACTGTTTTAGAACCAATTTAAAAAACCCAATATGATCTTGTTGGTGTCAATCAATATCACCAGAGATGTGAAATAGCATGCTTAAAACCTTAAAAGTTAAAATTTATGAGCTTTATAAGAAAGTTAGAAAGGACAACACAGTACAGCAGGACAGGTAGCTGGCAGTCTATCTGGTCGCATACTGGCTTACTGCAAAGTAGAATTGAAGCATGCACACACAGTCGCGCCTAGCAGGTATTTGAGATGGTTGCAGTGACCTAAGCTGCATGCGACAAGAATTGCCAAGTCGATTGTTTATATAGCTGTAAGCAGGGATGGTTCGACTAGAGCATACAATGACACTTTTGAACCAAGGTGTTCTCGGATACGCTTGTTCCATTTGGGGACTCCGTATTAGTTTTTTATGGGGTATAGTGGTAAGTTTTTTTTAGTTTTTTAGTCATATTTCTCCTCCTGGAATGTGTCCTGAATAAGCACTATTAAGGAATTTAGAAAAATTGTCTGCTTAAGACTTACACATTGCAGGACCTCTTCCTGAAAATAAATTGTTGAGGTTTCTCATCCATCTTTATGAACTGCTCACCAATCATAGTATCTACTTTCACTTATTACGACCTCGGCAACGTCTTGGGAAATGTTTGTTGCAAAAGTCTTGATTTACAATCCAACAAAAGCAGTAGTTTACCATGTAGCTATGTGAATTTGATTTTATACTCATGTGGTTTGGAATTACGATTGATGACTCTACAGTAAAGCGCCATTAGTACCTTGCAGCGATTAAATTAATTTACAAAAAATTATACTCAGACAATTCAGTCTGTGCTTTATTCTTTTTTCTCATCTTAGGACGTTAGATCACTTTTATTTTTGGGATTCACAGGATGAACCTGAAACTTGTGTGCACTTACTTGAGTTTGTAAAAACCACTTGAAAGCAAAACCATCCAACCTCTTCATCACTTGGACTCGCCATCTCAACTTGTCAGCTGACAAGCGACTGACTGAGTGTCACTGTGTGTGTACAGATTCAAATATACTAATTCATTAGGCTATTTTTTTTTGCTCTACAATATGGCGCAAATTGAAATTGTGATATGTTATGTTTTTAGGGTCAAATTATTATAATTCAAACTAAGCAAACTTTATTTTACCAATATCTAGCCAAAGTAGTAGACACATGCTCCTTATAACTAGACAAGCATTATGATGTCCCTTCCATTCATAGCCCAAACTATTTTTGGTTGACTTCTCCTCTGTGAATATTGAGCTGATTTAAACGTCTGGGCGTTACAAAGCATATTTTGAATTATTCACTATTTTTATTCTGAAGAGCAAGAACTGCCGTCAAAGTTTTCTAGTGTAGTACTGCAATCTAGCCACACAGGGTAGCTACTAGCTAGTACGATGTAGTATTCAACGCTGCACCATACAGTACTGTATCGTTATTTCCAAGATTAATTACTTTTTCATTTTGTGCAATTTGCCTAAAGAGGAGACCCAAAATAAAAATTTGTCATTGTTACAAAATTCATAGTTTATTTAAAATAAAACAATTTCTTCTAACACACTTTCTACTACACCTTTAAGAGCCCGAAATCAAACTGAAATTTATTACTTCCATTAGTTTTTGGAATATAAAAAAATTAACAAATTTAAAACATTCGGCTAATATTTTTATGAGACATTTTAAAACAATTAATTCCTGGTACACAGAATGGTACACAGCCCTGTGAATAAACAAACCCTTTCCTAGCTTATCTGTCTACAATACAAATACATATTTATTTTAACGTTTCAAACTTCTTAAAAAAATTAAGAACTAAACAATTGAATTAAAATTCTTTAAAAATTAAATTAAACATTAATTCCTTCCTGAACAAAATAAAATTTACAACTGCTCAACTTTCCTAGAAAATTTAAAAACTTTACTTTAATTATTAACATTTATTGTTTTAATATCCAAATTTAACTTGTTTAAAGAAATTATAAAAGAATAAAAAGGTGTATTTTATATTTACATCTCTTACTAGTTGAAATCAAAGTTCAATATTTAATAATAAAACTTCCACAATCTTTCTTGTTATTACAATAATTAGCAGAGAGAGGGATAATAGTGAATGGATTAAAATAACATAAAATAAAATAAACTTACTACTCATTGAGTAGGCTGCAGAAATTCACCCCAGGTCTGGACACTATACATTTACACTCTTGAACTGACCACATGGAAGCACCTCCCTCATATAAGATATCTCAGTTCTGGAACCTTCTACCCCTACTCGGGTTAGCACTTGCACTGGACCAGGTGATAAGGAAGGTTCCAGAGCTTTCTTATCAAGATGTCTTGCTACTGCAGGCTACTCCTGACTGTTGTTAATGTAAAACTTTAAATTCAAATCTTTACAACAACAAAATAAAATAAAAATTATTTTCTCAAATTTCTATATGAAACTAAACCATGTTACAGTACATTGTTTTGTTCATATATTATCTTGTACATCTGGTTGATTGGTAAGTGTAATGGTACGAATCAGACTGAGTATCCAAGTTCAAATGGGATCATCCAAAAGCGACTATGACAGGCCATAAGGTAGGTATGAAGTAGCTCTGAATGGACGTGATGCGACACTTCTTTGATTGTAAACAAGGAAGATATGACAATGAACAGCAAACAAATTTTCACCAACCAAACAATAGTAAATAATGCCGAAAAATTACCCTAGTAGTAACAAAACAAACCATATTTTGGAGTGAAAATAGTCAGAGTTATTTTTAGCTTAAACAACATTTAAACATTTGTGTTACAGGTATCGTATTGAGCTTCAGGATCAGATAATAGCAGCTTACAAACGACAGCAAGAGGCTTATCAAGAATTTATCAAAGAAAAAGCTCTTCTTGACCAGATTGTAAAGGCAATCCATGAAGAAGATCAACGGTAAGTTTTATATAGTATAAAGTCTTTAGGTTTGTTTTCATCATTCAGTATAACTTAATTAATTTATTACTGAAGTGACTACGGTAATAAATAAAATAGTTCCCTTAAAGGGAATGGTTTTGACATTTACCATCATACTGGTAAATCTTGTGCTTCATAAAAAAAAACAGAAAAACTCAATTCTGTTTTTCAAACAAAATTTATATTATTTTTGTGATTACATTTTTTTGAATAGGGACTGAATAGTTTGAAAACACTTTTACCGGATACCTAAAACTTGTATAATTCTTATGGTACAAGAATATAAAAATTCAGATTAATGAGATTTTCCTTGGTAGTAGATTCAACTGAAAAGAAGAATACAGTAGAACCTCGATAGTAGTTCTTCACTCCCTATAGTTCGACACGGGTCGTAATCACTTGACATGTTGGCAGCAGCCATTGATGGGTTTACCATGGTAAAAAACTATACTCTTATTGTTTTTGAAAGAAAGAAGAAAGAAAGAAATAAAAAGCGCTTTATTTTCAAAATACCCAGTGCACAATACAAGTTTATTCGTCCCACGCAGGGGATGTGCCTACGCGCTACAGCAATAACCTCTCGGTCGTCTGCCGGGTTGGCACATCTAAAACTGAATCTAACAAAACAGTTATTGGATTCTTTTAAAATAAAATTAAAAATCTTTCCTTAAACTAACAATTATGGCCAAGACTTTAAAGTTAAGAAATAGAAATACAATTTAACCTGTTTCTCTAAATTCCTATAGTTAGGGCCTATATCGGATTTTTTTGTGTTGAGAAGTTTGGAGGGGTACGATAATTAAATTTTATGATTAGTTTATTTTTATTTTTTATTGTTAAATTCTTGTATTAAAATCCACCTGTATTGCCAGGCGTTTTTTAAACAATGTACTAACGCTCGCCAATCCCTACCATTTAAAAAACTAATATAATCCCCTTCCGAAAGGACCCTATCGTGTAAAATTGTTAATCTAAGATTACTTAACACTGGACATATAGCGATGAAATGAAATGTGGTTTAAATTTCGCCCATATTACAAAGAGAACAAAACTTATTTCCCGTTGACCAATGTTTACCATTCAAATAGAGCAACTCTGCCCTAGCCTTAATTATCCAGGAAATGAAGCTGAAATCGGCGTTATCAGTAAGGTAGCTTCTATCAACAAGTTCAAGGCCAAGGTCGAGACTGATCAGCTGACTGTGGTGTATGGACGTGCGTGCGCGCCCTATACACTCTCCTATCCATACGTCACTTAGCTTTTCCACCACCATCAGACATCTAGATTTTACCGCCTCTGCTCTATAATCTACATCGACCCCTACCTTCTCACCTAGCATCTTCCACTGTCTGCAACAATCTAAGTTATGGTTTATAATTTGTTTGGCTAGAATCAAAGGAAGTCTATTATCGGAGGAATGCAGTACTTTTAAGAGGTAATTTAAATTCGTAATCATATTATAAATTTTTTTTTTTTAAATCCACTTTCTAAATAAATCACATAGTTTGGCGTGTTATAAGGCAACCGGAAGAGTCTCTTTAAAAACAATTTTTGGACGGATTCTAGGATTTCAGATTCAAAGCAACCCCATACCTGAGCCCCATAGCTAACAATTGATTTTATGACGGAATTAAAACATATAATTTTAGATGATAAAGGCACAGATTTATTCTTGATTAAGTTGTCCCACACAGAGTTAATTGCTAATTTTGCTTGCCTCGCTTTATCTTTAAAATGTGATTGCCAAGATAACGTCGCTGTAAATAACACTTCAAGGTATTTATAGCTGTTTACTACTTCTACACGTTTCCCATTGAACCACCATTTATCTGACGAGGCCAATTTACCCCCATTTCTGAAAACGATTATTTTGATTTTTCAAGATAAACTCTCAAATTCCATATTTCACAGTAAGTTTCTAAATTTCTTATCATAAGTTGTAAGCAGGTGGACGTAGGCGCTAACAGCACGACAGTCGTCGGCATATAAAAGAATGTTTATCCTAGTCCCTCCAAAATTACAGCCGCCACCAAGTGCCTCAGGAAGATCATTAATAATTAAAGTGAACATTAAAGGACTTACAGAACATCCTTGTCTAAGACCTGTCGAAGTTTCAAAATTTGCTGTCACACTGTCTCCACACCACACACCAGCTCTAGTACCATCATAATAGTTCTTAAAAATATTTAAAAATTTTCTTGAAACGCCTATACAGGATAACTTAAACAGTAGCGACTTCCTATCAATAGTGTCGAATGTGCCGAGAAGTCAACAAAGAAAGCATATAGCTTACCTCCGGTCCTTGCCAGCCTTAGACGCACAATCGCATTTAGGTTAAAGATATTGTCGATGGTTGAATAACCTCTCTTAAATCCCGCCTGAAACTCACTTATTAACTGCCTATCTCTAACCCAATTACTTAACCTTGAATCTAAAATGTTTATAAAATCTTAGCTACACAGTTGATAAAGGACAGTCCTCTATAACTTTTGACGTCATTAATGTTGCCTTTTTTATGTAGAGGAAAAATAATAGACTCCTTGAAAGTTCGTGGGACATAACCACTCTCTAAAATACTATTATAAATATAAATAAGACCATTAAGTAATGGAGCCGGTGCATAAAAAAAAAACTCAAATGGCACCCTGTCAATGCCAGGTGCTTTGCCATTTTTTACCCATAACAACACAGCTTTTAATTCATCTAGAGAAATATTTGCATCAAGGTATTCGTCACAAACTACTGGCTGAGCATACGAAACAGTAGATACTAACAAGGGTGGATTTAATAGACACTTAAACTGTTTCGTCCAATCCTGTATCGCAATTTTACCAATTTGGTTTTGAAATTTTACTTTTAAAAGAATTTATTGCACTCCAAAACTGCTTGCTGTTCGTTACTTGAGACACATTATCTATAATTTGATTGTAGTAAGATTTTTTTTTCAAAGTGCTTTAAAAGCCTCAAAGCTCAAACTTTGACTATTCAATTAGTTAAAAAAATTATCTTCTAAGATCCAAAATGAACGGCAGTTCAATATTACAAACTATTTTATACAGTTAGACGCCAAAGAATGTACAGTAGAGATTTAAGTAGATAAGTTTGTTTATTTTTGTCAAGTTTTATACTATTCCATAAATGTGTTTGCTTTATATTGTGTTTTAAATACTCCCTAAAGTTTGGCAGCTGGATAGTTTGACACCCCTTAGTCCACAAGGTGTGGCACTATCAAGGTTCTAATGTACTGGTTATGTACATAATTGATTAATCCTATGTAACATATTTAGTATATTCATTCACTGTGTCAGTTTAAATAGCCTCCTTTACAGTAACATTTCATATTTTTTGGCAAGACTAATATTACAAGGATATATTATTCTTTTACAGCATATTTTATTTTCATTCTTTGCATCCAAACAAACTGATTAATACTCATAGCCTAGCAAAGAAAGCTTTTACATAGGCCTATTTTTAAAAGCAGAATCTGATGAAAAATTATTATTGGCACTATACATTATCAACATACAGGGTGATTGATATAAGTGTGCCAGCCGTTTTATTTGTAAACCATAAGAGATATCAAAAAAAGTTAAATGGTAACTGCCTTGGACTTTTTATTTAAAAAATTGTAGTAAAATTGAAAAAAATTATTTTAGCCGCCATTTTTCCAATATGGCCGCCAACTTAGATTTTTCTAATGAAACACCCTGTATTTTATGATGTATTCTGGTAAAAAATGTAATTTTAAGACAATTTTATTTTTGTGATTTTTTTCATAAACCTAACCGTTTCAAAGATATTAATGGTTTAAGTTGTGAAATTTTGAATGGTTTTCGAATAAAACAGCTGGCATGCTTGCTTAGGCCTTTATCGAAACTCTTTCTCATGCAGAAATTTTAAAAACTTTAACCATTATTATCTTTGAAACGGTTGAAAGAATAAAATTGTCTTAAAATTACCTTTTCTACCAGAATATATCATAAAATACAGGATGTTCCATAAGAAAAATCAAAGTTGGCAGCCATATTGGAAAAATGGCGGCTAAAATAATTTTTTCGACTTTACTACAATTTTTTAAATAAAAAATCCAAGGCACTTACCATTTAACTTTTTTTGATATCTCTTATAGTTTTTGAATAAAACGGCTGGCACACTTATATCAATCACCCTGTATTTGTACACATTTCAGACGTTATTTGAGTTGAAGTATTGGATATTGGGTTGAAAATTTGCAAAAGAATTGCCATTGTCATGACCCAAAGCCCTAGATAACAGTATTTATGTACCTTATTATATTTTGTTATTTTTATAGAAATAGTGCCAAGGGCCTAAATCGGCTCTTATCGATAAGAGATTAACTATATTTCTATTCTGTGAGCTGAATAATTCACAAAACACAAAAAAGTTATATGTTGTTTATCATTTGAGTTATAAGCCTGTAGAGTTATAAGTACAGTTAGGCTCTGGAGAGGTAAAACAGGACAAAATATGCAGTTAATTAAGGTTAAGGTCGATCAAATTGGGAAAAATAGACAACTGATTGTTGCATGACAACTTAAATGACAAAATCTTGCCTTTTTTTCTCTGACAGCAAGTTAGTTGATTTTTTCAAAAATAACCTCGCTACTTAAGTGGTGTATTTCTTATTTAGTATGCATGACTTTTGGTACTTTTTTGTAGGGGCAACCTTCAACTCAGGTAGCTTACCTCAACTAAAGGTGAAAAAGGTTTGAACTCCCAAAATAAAATATCACCCATCTTGTGTGCTATTACTTTATTCACTAACAGCTTTTTTGGGCGTTTGAAGATGGTTATATGGAATATTATTGTGCTAACGTAATAAGAAATTCAAATTCTCATTACTGAAATGATAAGGGGTGTTTGCAGTAGAGAAATCTAGGTACACTTTACCACAACAATAAACACAATACAATTTCAATAGCAATACAATAACTTAATCATTAACTTATTTAGAACTATTTTCTTGGACAAAACTAGTTCAATGTTATCTAATATGACCATGACCAACACAAATTACTTGTTATATAGAGATTAGTAGTAATATTCATTTATTTAACTGTTGATCTGATTATTGTCAGTGAGGAGGAGATTCGATTGGAAAAAATGCAGAACACTAAACAGGAAATTGAACAATTCCGCTTTCAACAAGAAATTTGGAAGAAAAGGGAAGAAGAAGAGAGGAAGAAAGAAGATAGGTAAGCAAAAATCGTCCTCAGATTTCACCAACAAAATTGAATAACATTTTAATTCTTGAATGCTTTTTCAGGAGGTTTTTAAATGTATCTACACTAATAAATAAAAAATCTGTGACTACTGTATGAATAGTAAAAAATGATTCCGGGAAGGCTGTTCCCAAATTGTCCATTCTTATTATACACGGTGGCTGAAAAGTAACTTGCACCCCCCCCCCCCTTAACTTTTCAACGATTTGAGATATTTGAAATCAGTAAAAAATAATAACAAAATGGCAGCTAAAAAGGATTAAGACAATGGTTACCTATTAAAAGTAATTTTTAGCTGCCATTTTGTTTTTAGTGGTCCGATTTCTATTTCCTTTATGTTAATTGTTTAGTTTTGACAAGACCTGTAAAATGATACGGAACTTGACCGTACTTCCTATTTGAAAATTTTTAGCCACCCTAACCCCCACTACCCCTAAGGGCAAAATTATTAAAACTAACCATCATTATTCTTCACCCTTCATATCTAAACAGGTTGCCGCAAACCGATTTTAAATATCTCAAATAGTTAAATTAGTTAATATAGTTAAAAGTTAAAATAGTTAATTTTCAGCCACCAACATGGTTATTTGGATTTGATACGTTTTAGGGCACGATTTTGTAGTTAGTGGGCCGATTTTGGTTTTCTTTATGTCAATTGTTTTGTCTCGTCAAGACTCGTAAAATGATACCAAACTCGACTACACTTGCTATTTAAAAATTTTGAGCCCCCACTACCCCTAAGGGCAAAATTTTCAAAATTGACCATAATTATTGTAGCCCCTTATATCTAAGAAGGTTTCCGCAAACGGATTTCAAATATCTCAAAAGGTTCAAAAGTTAAAGGGGGGTGCAAGTTACTTTTCAGCCACCCTGTATAAGAATAACGTCAAAGTTTAATTTTTAGGCTACATGTATAATGTTCATGTACCTACTACATGTGTGTGACTGTGTAAATCAGTGTACTTTTTCATAAAAATAACAGTACTAAGTAGAAGATAACTACAATAGCAAATTTAACAAAAATTACTGTTGGATTTAGTTGGTTATGGGGTTTAATAACTTCCATTATTCCTTGAATTTTTCTTAACAATAAGATTATTTGGTTGTAATATTTAAAATATGTATTGTAACATGTCTCCTTGTGTGTAGTTAGCTATATTGTATTCATTAACTGACCATGCTAATTTTAGCAGTTTTATGACATTGTCAATGATTTGTATAATCCACAAGACAATAAACGAATAAACACATTTAATTTCATTTCAATAGACACAAGTCCATGGACAGTCTTAAGATAGCACCAAGTTCTTGCCTAAACTAGTTGCTAAAAAGCAATTTAAGTGGTTAACATTTAACATACAGTCTAAACTCGGTATAACGAATCTAAAGAGACCAAACTGAATATTCGTTATATCAAGGATTTTGTTAAAATGAGGTTCGTTATATTGAGGTTAGTATTGAATTTCACTAAGTCGAGGTTCAGAAACAAGATCTCGGTCATCAGTCCTCAGGGAATGAAATCAGTTGTGGCGTGCACAGCAGAAAGATAAGGAGATGTAAAAAACAGTGCAGACGAATGTTGCACAAGTGTTGCCGTCATCTTACCATTTTATATTCATAAAAAACTCTCATTTTTCAAAAACAATAATGTGAGGGGAATTCGTTATATCGATGTAAAGACACAGACAATTCATTAAGTGGGGTGTTAAATTCGCTATGTAGAGGTTCTGACAATGATAAATTTGTTATATTGAGGTGTCTTATTTTAGCCGGGATCATCAAATATTTGTTAAATCAAGATTGATATGGTTTGTTCGTTATGTAAAGGTGAAATATACATTGAGTCTTATGGAGTGTTCTAGGTGATTTAAAAAAAATTGTTATATCAAGGAATTCGTTATATCAAGGTTAGACTGTACTAGCCTTTATACACGCCATTTTCAATAGACTATTTTAGCCATTTAATAGTTAATATCCTTGAATTATCGACTACCATTTAAAATTATGTAGGGAAGAAACTTTATAAAGGGGTTCATGAGAAATTCATCATGATACTTAAAAATACAAATTCAGCCTACTAGTCAATTAAACTCGTTTTATGGATCTGTAGTTTCATTTTTAAAACTAAATGTTTACCATTGCACTTAATTTTTAGACGAATCCAAGAATATCTGGAAAGACACCAAGAAGAGGAGAGGAAGAAACTAGAAGAACTGAAGGAAAAGGATGAAATAAAAAAGAAATTGCAAGAACGTGTGGAAGCAGAATTTTTATCTAAATTGGTAAGATTAAAATTTCCTATTTGACTTAAATCTTGACTACAGCTTTAAAAATGATTAAATTAAAAAGCTATATTAATGCTATCTATATACCTGCTGTAGGTACGTGGTATTCTAGTAATGATTTAATAGGATCATGGTTGTCCACCTATAAAATTGTCTCCAGAACTCAAGCTGCATGGAGGAATGTAGAGGCTGCATAAAGCAACAGAAAATTGATAATTAAATCCCTGATTTGTGATAAATAGACACAGAATGACAGAATGACTGTCGAAGGTGGTGCTCCAATTACTTTCCTCCGTATTTGAGTTCACATTATATTTGAACTATGATGTAAAATCATATGAGAGCTTGAACAAATCTATACTATTATATAAAAATCTTGTGGTGTCTGTATGTGTATTACTAATAGGCGCATAAACTACTGAACTGACTGGGCTTAAATTTTACAGAAATATAGCTACCATACCAAGGACCATAATAGGACTATTCACACTTCGATACTGACCGTGGGCTTTGCCCCTTTGGCTTTAAAAGTTCTGAGTTGAGGATTTTAAAAGTAAATATTGATTGGTCTCCATGGCTGCCATGAGAACAAACACAATGTTTACAATTTGCTATGCCACCCAAATGTAAACAAGCTGCACTGTCAAACCACATTAATTCACAATGCCACAGCTGGTTTATAAATAGGAGGCATATAATATGCTCTACAATCATGTTTATTTATTCTTATATTTGATGGTTCATTGATTATTTATTTTATGAAATTAGTGAGATTGTATATCTGATGCTGTATCTAACCCTAATTAATTATTTAAAATTTTGCTAATGTGAATAATTGTATTGAAAGAGTTTGGTGTAAAAATAGTGAAATTATAAAGTTCACATTTACTTGAATCATTTTAACATTTTTGAACAATTAACATGTGTTTAGAGTAGGGCACACACCTTAAAAATTGAAACATTTTTCTCAAGGAGATAATTAATTGTATATTTTTGCCATTTTGAGAGAAATATTTTTCACACCATTAGCCTTTTCCCAAATTTTTAAATCATATTTTCATATTACTACCCATAGAGTTATGATGTTTTCTAATCCAGAGGTAGCTACTACTCTATATTATAACTTTTTACACTTCCTGTAGATTTTACATTCTATTCTAATAATGAATATCTTTTTACGAGCGTTTCAAGGTCATTACATGTATAATTTCAACCAAGTTCCTCTTAACTTAACCTACCCTTACAATAACATTGTTTGAATGACATTAAATTTACTAATTCTAAGCTGATATACAAATATTTCAAATTAAAAACAACAATAAAAAAGTTGTATATATGCCTTTGCCTTTGGTGCATAAATATTAGGAGCTATAAATAGTAGGACTAAATACTAAATAGTCCTATTATTTAATAGCTAAATAGTATGTTTCTGTTTGTTTTGTTTTAGTAGTAAGAGTATTAATGTTTTTGTTTGTTCACATAGTATATAATAAGTTTTTTTTTATATTCAATGCTGAGTGAGCAATGCTTTTTAGAAGCAAGATCACCTGTTTCATTTCATTCAAATTAAATGCTATACCATAATATTAACCAGATGTTGTAAATTATTGTTTGTCTATGTTTTATTTTATAATTTAAAAGTAAGTAAAGGATTTGAGATTTTTATTTGTTTATTTTTTGAAAATGTTTTTTAAATGTAATTAGAAAGTTAAAAGTTTTTGATATATTAAGTTTTATATAAAGTTTTTTTTGATTTATTGGAATTTAATCTTTTTTAACATACATGTGGGACTTTCGGATATTAAAATGCCTAAAAGAAAAAAGAGCAACCTCTCCAGTCGTCCTGCTAAGGCAAGGGCAATGGCATCTTTGCGAGAAAGGGAGTCCTTTCAAGAGAGACAAGTCCGTCTGCAAAAAAACGCAGAAACTACAGCACTACAACGATTTTCTGTTTTAGAGGAATCTTTAATTATAAGTTGTCATAATTTGTCTTTGATTTTTGTTTTCTAAAATCTATAATACAAAATACTCTTATTTTATCTTAACATAGCTTTCAGTTCAAATTTTACTTTATTTGATAAATTTATTGTTTGTGTTTTGCCACACCACTGATTAAATTAAACCAAGGAAAATATCATAAAACTAAGCAGTACACAGTGTTCTTTTGTTTCTAAAATCAATGAAATATCTGTTACTATGTTTTCCTAATGGTAAGTGTGAAAATGTAAAGGCAATGGACGATGGAACTGATTAAAAGAACTGGTTTGTATATTAAGTTGTTTGTTGATATTTTTGTATAGTAGAATCAGAGATGCAAAGAAACATATTCCGTATTTGCTATTACATTTTTTAGTCCTTGATGCTTTGATAATCATATTAGTTTTGTCTGCTGTCTTTAATGCTAAATTATTTGTTTGAAATTTTTTATAGTACCTATGGATATAGTTTCTTTAATATTTCAAAAGACTGTATTGATAAGGCACAGCAATATTTATAAAGTTTATAACAGCTGACTTAGTTTTGCTAATGATTTATTGTGAGTGAAAAAACTGAAGATGAAAGGATTTGTGAATTAATATAAATAAGAGTTTAATATAAAGATATTTAAATTTAATAATTAGTATTTTTGCAACTTCAAAATTGAAATTGAAAATGTCAATAATAAATCAAAAGATTTGTAATTAAGGGAGTTGAAGGTAAATCTGGAAAATCATGTTCAAGTTTTACTCGAAGATTTGGTCAGTTTTTCTCATGTCAGCCTCCACAAGATTTAAAATTAATCAAAACCAAAATGGTGGTATCCACTACTTACCAGATTTAAAAATCATAACTTGAACGTTTCTATTAAGGCTATAAAAGTTGAATTTTTGTTTCTAAAAGCGTTGGCGGATCTGTAACTATTATATGCAAGAGATAATGATTAAAATGTTTCTATTTTGTGTCCTCTTCCCGTTGCAAAGCACGGGTACAACAGCTAGTAATAGATATTTTGGTCTAATATGCCGATGGGGGAGTGAGCTGGTCTAGTGGTTAGAGCGGGGGATTTCGGTCCAAGAGGTTCTGGGTTCAAATCCCGCCAATCACAAATAGATTTTATCTAAGTAATAATGCCACAACCACTAGGTCTAGCCTGAAGTAATGTGAAAAACAATCCCGGGCTCATGCCTTGCGGTCTAGGATAAAAAAATTTGCCGATGTGAAGAACTGGCTTTGTCAACTTATTCAACTTTGTGTTAGGGAGTTGTTTTACCCACAGCCATAATGCAGTTAGTTCATGCAGTTGTTGCCTGTTATTTGTGTCTGTTTTTTTATTACTGAAGATCTTGTTTTATAAAATTTATAATAATCGTTACCAAATGGAATTTATCATGAGGGATAATGCACAGTGAAGAAAAAATAAATTATAAAAGTCTTGTGAGCCTGTGGTAGACTGATATTTAATCTGATTGAATAGATGTTCATGATAATTACCACCGGTACACAGTAATTGGCCTGTATTGTGACTGTAGGTTGCAAGAATAAGATTAAAAAAGGTTCAAATACCTGCTATTAAGCAATCCAAATTTGTTGTTAGAACAACTAGTTTCGGTGTCTGTGTGACACCATCATCAGGCTGCACAAGGACAGTTTTCTTTCTTCATACGAAGAGCGTCATATTTACACGAAAATAAATAAACATTTACAGACGACACAAACACGAACACGAGACATTTATGGTAACTGATCAGTTAAGAAAATAGACGACGCTAACCCGGCGGAGTTTGAGTCCAGACTGCGGGTGGTCAGTGCAGTGGTGTACGTCCGCTATCTTATCATCCCAGGTTGCGTCCTGTCAATCACACCTCCCCTCTCCAGTAAACCGATGGCAGTGTCATACATAAAATTAGACGAGAAAAATTGTTGGTCATATAGTACATTATGGTGGTCGGATTTTACTGCCTTATATATCTCAAACTCTTCCAATGTGTTAAGTTTATATCTGTCTTTACAAAAATGTAGAATATCCATATTGCTGCTAATGTTGGTATAATTGTGGCTTTGGGATATTAAATGTTCGGCAAAAGATGATGTTTGGTGGGCTGTTGACGCTTTTGGAATATGCTCTTTGAATCGTTTTGTAAAGGAACGTGCTGTTTGGCCGATGTAATATTTCGTACAATAGGTGCAATTGATCTTGTAAACGCCAGTTTTATCATAAGATTGTGTCATCGTGGGACTGCGTTCCTTTAACAATGAACCAAGCTTGTTTTCTGTTCTGACGGAAACTGTGATTTTGTTTTTTGCCATGAGATTTTTATATTTATTGCTCATAAAGGTGCCAAATTTTGCAGAGATGAAAGTGTTCCTGCATTGATGAAAGTGTTCTGTTTATTAGTTCCTCCTGTTTTATTTTTATGTTTGTAGATGAGTTTATCCACAATACTACTTGGATAACCATTTGATACGGCTATATGTTTTATTGTAATTACTTCTTCGTTGTAGTCCTGTTCATTCATTGGAATTGTAAGCAATCGGTGTACGAAACTATTATATGCAGCTAATTTTTGTGAGTACGGATGATGGGATTCTGAGTGAATGGTCTGGTCAGTGCATGTCGGTTTCCTGTATATTTTAAACTCAAATTTATTTTGATGCTTTTTTATGGTGAGGTCCAGAAAATTCAAACAATTATTGTTTTCTTCCTCCAATGTAAACTTCATGTTGCTGTGAATACCACATAAGTATGCGTTGAGTAACGATAACTGTCTACTGTTTCCGTTGAACAAAACAATAGTGTCGTCTACATATCTGAAATAAAACAGGATCTTTTCTTTGTAGCGGTTGGAATCAGAAAATAAATGTTTATTTTCCAGGTTGTTGAGAAAAATCTCTGCTAAAATACTGGAGAGGAGGGAACCCATTGCCAGCCCTTCTTTCTGGGAATAATAGTCATTGTTGAATCTGAAGTAATTCTGATTTAGCACTAATCTTGTGAGTGAAACTAACTCATTTACTGATTCTCTGGATAAACTTGAGTTTTTAATGAGGTTTTGGTGTAGGAGAGCTATTGTTTCTTGAACAGGGACGTTGGTGTACAAATTTACAATGTCAAATGATGCCAATTTGTAGTTATCTTTAACAGCATGGTTCTTAATTCTATCAACGAGTTCTAGGCTATTTTTTATACTATGACTATTCTCCAATAAAATTTGGTCTTTTATTATTTTATCTAGCTTCTTGGCAATTTTGTAGGCTGGACTTGGCATAAAATTTACCAAGGGTCTGATGGGGACGTCAGGTTTATGGATCTTGGGGAGGCCTCTGAGTATAGGGGCTTGTGGATTAGTTACTTTCAGTGAGGTGATTTCACTTTAATAGCAGGTATTTGAACCTTTTTTAATATTATTTGGCAATCCGGAGGCTAACAACTACAATCAAGAATAAGAATTTATACGAAATCTGTGAAAATCAATACTTGCCGTACTTAAACTCACTGAACATTTCTCTCAAATTTAATGTAAGTTAGTTTTATGAAACAGTATCTAACAGCTTTATTATCATATTTTGGTATCTATACCAAATGAAGGTATAGACTCGCAATCAAAATTACTTGTACCGATTTAAAAAGCAGTGGCTTGAAGCTCTAATTGAATGTTGAAAATCTAGAAACAAAGACTCGCTTTAAAATGTATGTAATAACATTTCATAGTGATACTAGGCTAACTTTTTATTCCAAAACATCTGTTGTCCTATGCTCTCTAAACACCTCAATACCTCTCGTATAATAAATCAATGTCATCTGTTGCTACACAAACATTATCCATCCAAGGGATACTTTATCGTATTTTATTTAGTTGGTGGAAATTGTCATTTACTGATCATGCATTCAGTTGTTGTACAAATGAATGAATGAAATCCATTATTTTAACAGGCAAAGTGAAGGCCACATTGTCATTTCTTGCACTTAACCTGCATACATATGAAATACACAGACATACAATACAACATTTACACAGACATTATAAAAAAAAAACTTAAATAACAAAAACTGTCCAACAAAATGACACACACTCAATCACTCAGTCAGAAATTACGGAAGCGCCAAAACAGTCCTAGGACGTACCAGCCAAAGCCATATGCTTGAAGTACAACTTTTTGGGTGCTGCCACAAACCGGGAACAACACTATCAAGGATTTTATGGATAGAGGAAGTTTGTTCCAAAGACGTTAGACGACAGGCAGTTACAACAAAGACCCTGTCATGTATGCTGATGTACTTTTGTTTCACAACAGAGAGGAATCAAAATATAAATCTGTTTACAAATAGATCTGAGATCAGTAACACAAACTATTTCAAAGGATTTGGTGATAGATAAGTTGCAAGTTTATTATTCTTACTAATAATAAACACACAAAACATATTATTTTCTAAACTACATTTCCTTCTTCAGTTGTAGAATCTTTGTTCTTACTGTTCAACCTATCCACAGAATCCTTCAAACTTGGCCTAAAGCTGTCTTTGCCCAGTAATGTTTCAACACAAAACATTTTAAATGGATCAATGCATTTGAAGCTAAAGCCATTGATATGGAAACTTGAATCAAATAGTTGTCTTTAACTTGTAGGAGGTTGTCCATGCCATATGGATTTATAAAACTAGCTGTGTGTCGCTTTTTGATAAATTTCACTTTTTTCTTTAGTACCTTTACAAACAAACACATGATTACAATTAGAATGTGTTTCAATCCATGCAGTTTTGAGAACATAACTTAATTAAGTTATAACTTTGCAGGAGAGGAAGAGGGAAAGAGAAGAGGTATTGGCTGAGTTGGCTGCAGAAGAACGAAGAGAAAGGGAGGCAGAAAAAGCAAAACAGGAAATAGAGGAGGCAGTGCGTCGAAGACAAGATTTACAGAGAAGCTACAGGCAACAGCTAGAGGAGAGAAGAAGAAGACTGCAAGAGGAGGAACAACAAACAGAACTTTACAGGCAACAGGTATAGTTCTGAAACTTAAGAGTATTTGTCGTTTACTTCTGATAAAGATACCTGGCACAGAGCATGTAGTAGTTAGAGTCTATGACGTCAGGTCTAGAGGAAAGGGTTAAAATTTGTTTAAAAAAGGGTTAAAACCGCAGACGACGACCTTACTTCAATATTTTATCTATAAAATTATTTTAAAATTGTTAATATTTTTTTTATAACTATGTTTTGCTATAAATTAATTTACTTTTAGGGCCATTATACAATAAACAGCTCACTAAGGGTTAAAATGTTCACAATTTTCCAATGGCAATAAGCAAGGAGCATTGGTAATGTGATAATGTCAGTGTCCTCCTTCAATTCCATTCAATCCTATTAATTTATTTCCACGGTAAGTAACACCATTTTACATATAGGTACAGTAAATCTATACCAACTTCAACTCTAGTTTCACTTATCTAGAAAACAAAAAAAGATTAGTCTCTTGAGCAAGGTGAATTGTCTTATTCTGGAGCAAAAAATTAGAAAGCCACCGCCTAGATCATTAAACAAGCACGTAGTTTTTTTTTATGTTTTTCAACTAATACCAGCTGTCCTTAGCCATTGGGCTTTCTTTGTCCTTGCTTAAGAAACAGCTAATATCAGTCAGTATCAAAGCTACACAGATCATGCACTTAATTCTAAATCCACCTTGTTATTCATATCTTCAGCTTAAAATATGCAAAGTATGTTCTTGTCTAAGTGAAGTGATTAAGGGATTTTGATTTTGAGACAAAATAGTTTTAATGTTGGATTTAAAGCTACTTAATATCCAGTAATACTATGAATTGAGTATTGAAGTTTTTCAAATCCAACTAGTTGTTACAATGAATTGGTGTGTACAGTTGTTGGCCAAGTTTGCGGACGACACGAGGATAGAGCAGCTAACAGCAGAGAAGAGACGACTCAAGACGTTGGAACATCGGAGACAGGTGCAACAACTCCTAGAGGAGCGCCAACAGAGACGGCGGCAGGAGTGGGAACAGTTGGCTAAACTAGAGGCTCTACGACAAGCTGAGGAAAAACACAGGTGAGAGACGCCAAGATAGACTGCTATACTCCTCACGCGACTAACTATAAGTTTTCCATTGAAATTCATAAGAAACCTAACACTTTGACAGATAAACACAGGCTGATGTGTTCCAAGATCTCTATTTAGAGAACATTTTAAAATCCAAACAATTTATAATAAGAGTTTCTTAATAAATTATTGCACTACACATTGTTTGATCAGTTTTAATTGGCTATGAGAAAATGATTTATGGTTTTGGGGGAGAAATGAAACGGATAGAATGATTAAGAGCAAGAATTAAAGCTCCTGGTAGATTTTGATTTCAATAGTGGATACATAAATTTTTAGAAATAAATCATTGCTTTGCCTAATTACAAAATTAAAGATAGCCCTTATCCAACATCTAATGCTAAAAGGTAGTTGCTAAACATGGAACTAATACATACCAGAGCGTTCTGCTTACTAGTGATGGTAGAGTAGTTGACTCTTTGGTTTAATCAAAGTCCGAGCAGTTTCCCCGGCTAGGATATAGCATTGTAGATCAAGGGCTGAAATCTTCTGTAGATCAAGTTGGTTGCGAAACTCATGAGGAGTTGACCTGTCTGTGGATGAGCTTGGGGTAGACCTGCCTTAGGAAAAATGTGTTAGCGTCAGTTGAATTATAATAGTGATGTGTCAAAACTCAAAACTGAATCTCAAATCTCAAAACCATCAAAACTTTAGAAAAGTTTCGTTTTCGAGATTCGATCACCGAGTTTTGAGATTCAAAAGTTTTGAAATTGAAGATTTTGGCAGTTTTATTCTGGAAACTGCTGACATATTTGGTGTCATTATTATTGTGTCTAACACTGTTTCCACTTTCCACACAAGCTGGTAGCAATAGATACAACTAATCACCATAAACAGTAATGAAAACAGTAAATTGTATTCTGATTCTGAACTACAAAAGGCATCTTAAATACTATAACTGGAACAACATACAACTCAGTTTCATAGCTATATTTAATAATCAGAAATAAATATTAACCACTAAATGTTCTAATTAATCTAATATTCTTGTTTATGTTGGTGCCAGTAGCTTAATTTACTTTAATGTTATAAAAAATTAAGTTGTTTTGGGTTTTTCAGTCACATTTATATTGTTATGTCAGTGTCAGGAGTCGACCTCTTTCAAAAAAAGGTTTCGCGTCTAGGTTAAGAGATTCGAGATTCAGGATTTGATTTTTGAAAGTTTCAGTTTCGGTTTTCAGATTCGGATTTTCTGGTTTTGACCATCACTAAATTATAATATCATTTTAAGAAGCTTATTCTCAAACTCAAATCATCAGTTGTTTACTGCAATCAGATTTCTATAGGTTAATTTGGAAGGTTTCAAGTTTCAATATTAGCAGTTATTTAATAAGTGTAATCAAAGCTGACTTGGCTTGCTTTGCTTTCTGGTCTGGGTAAAAGATCTCAGTCCTCTGGTTCCCGGCAAGGTTTCCAACAAGATTATCAAAGTCAATTTTGGTAGCAGCCAACATAGGTTAGGGCTCAGATAGGTTTGGGGTCTGATTTCCAGGCTCTGGTCCAACATTGTACAAGCTACATAGCTAGTCTGAGCACCTATTTCCAACTTGAATCAGTTAGCCACACCGTACACACGACATCTATTCTGTATACTAATACATCACATACAGTTACGTATATCAGCAGATCTTTTCCGATTTAATGTTCACAAGAGGAGGAAAAACATGGTAAAAATGTCTGAATCAGCCCAATCTCAATTAATTCGGAGAATCGAAACCTCTACTGAATTAATAAATCATTAAATCTTTCTGAATGTTATGAATAATCAAGCATTGGTTTCATAAATTTAAAATATATCTTGTATATTGTAATAGATTAATTATATCTATGAGATCTGCTCAATTAATCAATGTGTTTGTCTGCAGGAGAGAGCTGATAGAAGAGGAACGAGTCCGTTTGTTGAAGACTCACGCCACCAAGTTGCTGGGGTACCTGCCACGAGGAGTATTACAACCAGATGACCTAACCCATCTAGGTTCTGACTTCCTTGAGGAGTTCAACAAATACAAAGCTATGAACTGCCCGAGGAATGCCATTGAAATGTAACTTTTTAAAAACTTATTGTGATTTGGTAGATGATTTTGGACTTTCACTGATACAAAAAAAATGTTCAACTGCCATTTTCATGTTTCATTCTGAAGAAATAAGATTCTGGAGGAGCGAAATAAGTTAAAATTGTGTTTTAAAGCTGTGTGCTATCAAGTATCAACTGCCTAACACTCTTTTCTTGGGTAAATTAGTTGTTTATTGATCAATGAGCCAATGACTTCTTTGGTTGATGGGAAGGGGTGGAACCCTTAGTCCATGCACGCCAACCATAGCTTATTTTGTATTTCCCTGATAAGAGTACAATCTTGTATTTTTATTTTGAGATGAAAAACGAAAAAAGTCTGTTTGAATTAGTGCACTCAAAGATTTATTGGACAAAACAATTCAAATTATCATCACTGTTCTATCTCCATTTTTATCCATAAAAATATTAAATCCACAGTAATATTCACAGTCCATAATTATCTCCCAAATAACATCGTTTTAGACATAAAACTGAAGCACGTTTTGTAAAAAGCATATTCACTTTGACTGATTATTTTGTGAATCATCCGTCCTTTTGTAATCAAATATTTGTGTTGTTGTAAAAATAAATATAATTTTTTTAATAAGATCTGTGTTCATAAATCTTTAGCTACCATCTATCTGTTGTCAATAATAGATTTTTTTGAAATATATTAAACTGGAATTTCATATATATATATTTTTTAGTTGTAGTTTTCAAAAATAAAATGATATTTGTCAAAGATATTTTAAAACCTAACGTAATGGAATTATTGGGGTGCAAATGTAATTCCATCAGTGATAATGAACATGGAAGGAATAAAGAAGAATTATAAGTAATATTATGTACGTTGCCCAAGTAAAGACCAAACTTGAAGCCCATTGACATTGAAGAGTTTCAGTTTCAGAAAGATTGCTTAACAAGCCAAATAGCTTGGGGTGTTTGACAACTTAAAAGTTGACATTCATCAAGTTATTTTTAAAGTACAGCTGCTGTGACCAACAACAAATTAAACTTTTCCATTGCACATTGTTTGAGCCTGGCTCATTGTTAATATGCCCCAAATTAATCTTAAACATTTATGGTGCAACAATGTTCATTCCAATAACACAAATGTCACGGTTTATTGGGTATTTTTTTATATCTAAATCACATCCGACTTTTTGGGATTAGGATTTTAAGTGTAAAAAATGTACAAATCCATGAACCTACCCAATCCAAAGGAGGAAATGTTTAATTCATTACTAGGACCGATAGTGACATTTTCTGGCACGCGCTCAAGTTTTTGTGTAAGGCGAAGCAGAACACAGAAAACCCCAATTTCACGTGCAAGACGAAGCCGAATCGCCGAGTACGGGAATGATGGAGTAAGTGCCAGAAAATAACGTTCGTTACGAGTTATGAACGATACTTTTCATCACGACGCAAAAATACACAAACACATAATAACAGACCTCAGTAATATTACTACTATTTTATATCTCAATTAATTTATTTGAACATAAAAATAAAATACAATCTTTTAAAAGGAAACCTTCGTATATTTTCGATTAATTTTAAAACATAAAAATAAAATAAAATATTGTAGGCTAAAGGAATCTACGTATATTTCTCAATAATTTTTTTTTTACATTAAAATAAAATAACAAAACAACTTTTAACAATACATAAAGCTGATTCAAATCATTAAATTAAACCGTAACAAAACACTAGCACGCGTAGTGAGTAAATGGAGAACTTATCGAGAGCGAGGGAAAGTCAATTTAGAGCGAGGGAAAATCAGCTGATCGATTTTCCCTCGCCCTAAATTAGAGCTTGGGAAACGACTACCTACATTGATGTCAGCTGTTATCAAAAATATTAACTTTCGTTACGGAGTGATGAACAGATCTTTTGTTGGAGGGTTTATGGGAGTGTTGCACGACGTCCAATGAAATAAGTCAGTTCCACGACGTCCAAAATATAATTTTTGAGCTATTTCACAATGTCCAATATAAAATATTCGTCCAAATCTCACCATGTCCAAAAGTACAGTAACTGCAAAAAATATATACTTTTTACAAGCTCTGGATTAATGAGATTGGTCAACAGCGTACTTTACACTCTTAATAAAGTAGTTGTCGTCCAAAGCCGCTGAGTTGCACGACGTCCAGAGTGCCTGTACACTTTGAATTCTGTTTTACCGACTTTAGTGCATACAGTTTGCATCGCAATTACTGAAGGCAACTAGGCCTATTATAACAACTGTTTCAAGTTGTCAACAGCTTATTGAGCTTAATCTTTGATTAATGTTTAAAATTATTATATGGTTATAATTAGAACTAATTATCTGAAAATCTCAAACTTTACTATATGAAAAATAAATACTATGTCACCGTACAATGATGCAGTATTTATTTTGGCATGATTGAATAACGATTTCTAAAAAACAATTTACATCATAGAATCAAAATTAAAAATTAACTACACTATTCCACTATACGAATTACAAAAACGTTGACATAATTTGATATGTTATATTGAAATTTTTCAATTTAATAATTTAACTTAATTAATATCAATATTATTATAATAATTAAAATGTTTAAAATATACTTAAATGTTTAAAATCTATTTTAATAAACAAATTAAAGTTGCACTATTATATTGCCATATTTTCATTGGTTTAATTTGATAAGCAGTGCAGCAAAACACAAACACTAAATTTATTGAAATGAAATTAAGTCAATGATGTGCACTATTGTTGCTTGTTGGTTCCAAAATTTGACTGTCTGTTTGATTGGATTTCCTTGTAGTTGACTTAAACAGCAAGCAGGAGCAGTGGCGGTTCTAAGACTTTATCAAGGGTGGGGGATAACCCAGGAGGAGGGTTTGGGGGTTCTCCTCTGGAAAATTAGGCTATTTTAAAGCCCTTTGGTGACTTTTTAAAGCTATTTTCAACGTCTAACTGTGTCTAAAAACCTGCCATTGCATTTCAATTTCGAAATGTATTTTTAATTTATCTTTTGAGGGTCCAAGGGGGGGGGTGCTTTAGCCCCTTGGAACCACCACTGAGCAGGAGTTACTTACGGCCCAAAACGGATGAAAAAAGAGGAACTTTAAAGACACCGATAAGACAAGGGTAGAACAATCAAGATTTGGTCAAGAGAAGAAGAAAGGGTAACAGACAAGAATCAAGCCAAAGATGGTTATAGTAGTATGTTTTCTGTGTTGCAACTATAGGTCTCGCCACCCTAAGTTGAGGCAGCCCAGACGGACAGGCAGGGTCATTATCGGCCGGTCCCGCCCGACCCTTTATAATCCGATTAGTGACACTTCCATGAACGCTCTAGTTCCATAATTGTCATTAACAAAGTTAAAAGCCGATGTATAAATTTAGTCTTTTACATTAATAACGTCGATTTAACAAACATTTCCGTTTTTGTCCCATCAAAATCGGACAATGTTTACGGTTTTTGGATTTTGGGATCTACACTAATTTGTTTTTTGTTTATAGCTCACAAACCGTAAACATTGTCCGATTTCGATGGGACAAAAACGGAAATGTTTGTTAAATCGACGTTATTAATGTAAAAGACTAAATTTATACATAGGTTTTTAACTTTGTTAATGACAATTATGGAACTAAAGCGTTCACGGAAGTGTCACTAATCGGATTATAAAGGGTCGGGCGGGACCGGCCGATAATGACCCTGCCTGTCCGTCTGGGCTGCCTCAACTTAGGGTGGCGAGACCTATAATCTCCAGCGGTCACGTATCACTAAAGCTGCCATATACCATATAATATTCTTCCAATTTTTAAAAAAAGGTGTCAAACAATTTGTAATTAAATTGCCTTGTAAAGGTTATCCTTGAATAACTTCGATAAAATCAATGGTTTTTGAGTTATTTAAGAAACAAAATTGTAAATGGCCGCCATTTTGTTTTATGAATTTGGAAAATTGTCATAATTCTTTTGTAGCTTTTTCTAATTGTCATAAATATTTGTGCAAAGTTTCAATTTTGTATGTTGTTACAAAAAATTAATAGGTGAATAAAACAAAATGGTAGATTTGTAAGTAACTAAGGACTATTTAAATGTGATATTTAGATGAGTTTCTTACCCAGGAACAATGCTCTAAAATATTGGTAGAGAGTTCCGGGACACCCTGTATGTATGTATACCTATTGTGTCGTGTGCACTACTAAGTGTTTCTACAAGACAATTCGTTTAGTTTCCCACATCAATGAAAAGGCTTGAAACGACTTGTTATTGGGAAACAATTCAATGCAGCGTTCTCGTGGTGTTCCGCAATTCGGTTGAAATCCTTAAACTCCCTAAAACATTGCAGGGTAATTGGTAGAGGACCAACAGTTGTGGGAAGTTTTCCAATAGTAATTACGGATATATTAAGAAAAATAAGAGATGTGTATAAAGTTATAGGCCTATTGTTTTCCCCCTCTGTAGTATTCTTTATTTTGTCCTCATATTTTTTGTCTAGGGTAAATTGACAAGTATTTACATTGATCAGGTGGTAAGAACTAATTTTTCTCTCGGAATACAGGCTTCAGACATGATATATATTTTTTTTTTAATTTGTAGGTTTATTAGTTTTTAAACATGTTTATTACATTGAATGGGTTTACAAAGTATAGTTTTCACCATTATAGCCACTTAATATATTATACGTACGATACCATTTTATGTATATTTATGCAGTAAAATCTAACACATTGAGGTCAGATTGTTACATAACTTATATTTTCTGATTCAGAAAATTATAATTTAACGAGTTTTAAATCCCGCACGAAAGAAAGAATTAGGAGGAGCGTGAAAGAGAGGAATTGGGGGAGGGAGAGTGCAGCCCCGCTCTCGCGCGGAACAAGATAGATGTCCGCGGAACAAAAACGATGTTTCGGCCATTCCCGGAATTCTAGCCAGTTTTCATTGCACTAGAACATCACGACCTACAGATTGCTACCGCTCCCAAGTCTTTCGCTGATATCACCCTTGTCCTTCATGACGAGATGTCGTCAATACTATGTCATCTACACACTTTACATATGTCCATGGACGACGATTGCGGATTCAACTATACTTAACCAACCTTATGGGCCATACCACTTTCTGTTGTATAGTTCAGTTCCGTGTAAATGACTCTATGGTTTAAGAATAGAATATTACCATTAAACATAGATATATGGAATAGACATATTCAACGATATCTAGAGTACATTGATCTGCACACAACGTCACAAGACGTCATTTCGGGCAGGACGGTATATTGTTCCACAGCCCCCCACCCCCACCCCCCCTTACGTACGCAAAATTTTATAATTTTCATTTACTTAATACGTTACATTTTTTTAGTATGATGATACATAAACTATTCAGATTTTGTGTATCACGCATTAAACTGTCAAATTCAATACAACGCATAGGTACTAAACTTCTAAATTTGGTTTCTAACCATGGAGTGTCCTTGCAGTTCTGCATCACAGTCGCAACAGCCAATTAGAGAATCCAACCGTCAATTTATACAACGCTCAGTTATAATTGACTTGAAATCACCAACAGACTAATCTATATGGGCAGTTGATTCAACCTTTTCTAAGCGTTTCACAGCTGT